AAAATAATAAAGCTAAATCCCATTAAAGAGAGGAAAAAATGTTGAATTTTAAGAAAATCGGATTTTTGAATTTTTTCGAATTTTTGATAATTTTTGATTTTTTACCAAAGAGTCGAGACAATTTAATAAGTAAAGTATTTTCCACATTAAAAAGTTTGACATTAAAAAATATATAAAAAATGCCAATACTTAACCCACAAAATTTAATTTTCAAAACAAACAAATGAATGCAGATAATTTGCTAACGGAAAGGAAACTTACGATTATTATAATGTATGTATATGTATATGTATATTTCTATTTTTTATCAAAACGTATAAAAAACAAAAGAATAACTATAACTAACTTCAAGTGTGGACAGAGATCCGGAAATCTGGAATCACGACGATTATTATATATAATTTTAATAATTTTAATTGAAAATTTTGAAAGCAAATTTTTATGAAGAAGAATTTTATTAAAATTGTATTAAAAATAATTGCATTCTTGCGATGAATTTTAGGTACTATTTATAAAAATAATTGAATTATTGCGAAGAATTTTATTATTTATAAAAATAATTGAAATGCTTCAAAGAATTTATTAAAATTTTAAGAAATAATTAAATTCTTATGAAGAATTTTATAGAAATATTTGAAAATAATGGAATTTTTTCGAAAAATTCAATTATAAAGTTATTTCGAAAATAAATAGATTTTTTTAAAGAATTTTATTAAAATTAAGTAATATTCAAAATAATTGAATTTATCACAAGAAATTTATTACATTTTTTGAAAATAATTGAATTCTTTCAATTTTTTTTTAAGAATATATATTTAAAATCTTTCGTGTAATTTTATTTAAATTGGATTAAAAATAATTTAATTCCTGCAAAGAATTTTAGTATTTATAAAAATAGTTGAATTGTTTCGAAGAATTTATTAAAATTTTAGGAAATAAATGAAATTTATGGAAATATTTTTAAATATTTGAATTCATCCGAGGAATTCAATTAAAATTATTTTGAAAATAATTGAATTCCTGCAAAGAATTTTAATATTTATAAAATTAATTGAATTCTTGCGAAGAATTTTAGTATTTATAAAAATAATTGCATTTTTTCGAAGGATTTATTAAAATTTTAGAAAAAAATTTAATTTTTTCGAAATGTGTTAAAATTTAAACTCTTCCGAGGCATTTAATTAAAATTGTTTTGAAAATAATTGAATTTTTGTAAAGATTTTACTATTTAAAGAAATAAATGGAATTGTTTAGAAGGATTTATTAAAATTTTAGAAAATAATTGAATTCTTTAATAAAATTATATCAAAAAAAAATTTTATTAAAAAAAATTAATTTTGTACTTAATAAGTGGATTTTAAAAATTTTTATTATGAAATTATTTAAAAAATTTATATTTGAAAATAAAAAATTTTGAAAATTGGCATAATAATAATAAATTGAATACTATTTATAGGATAATAAAAATAATTTAATATTTTATTTATAATACTGATATGAAATTTTTCTAATCCCAATAAAATCCCAAATCAAAATAATATAAATAAATGAATTTGCTAATTTTCTTTCACCGGCAGAAAAAAAACCTAATAAATATAAAGAGTAAATATCTAAATGAAATTTAGAAAAGTTCTCCTTTTTTTTACCCCTTTTTTTATCGTGCGTGTCTTTAGAGTTGAGAAAAGTTCTATATATAGTATATACATATAACGTGAATAGTCTTTTTTTTCCTGACGATCACGTCCTGAATTCCTTGGAGGATACTATTGCTAATCTCGCCAAAGAGTAAAAGCACAGCAACTCCCTCGTAAAATAAGTTTTCTGTAAACACAACTACGAGTCGAGCATATTGAATGCGCGTGTAAAAGGTAGCTTCAAACATTCGAGAATTGGATGTTATATCGTTATCGATCTCTCTCCTCTCTTTTGTGTGTGCCTATATATACATGTAGACAAACATTCAACATTTTTCAGGATTCCATCCTCTTTTCAATATTTATTTAACTTTTCCTTTATTAGTGTTTTAATTTCCTAATTAATTTTCTATATTAATAAATTTATCCATTTTCGATTTTTTATTTTAGTAATTAAATTTTCATCTACATATTTAAATGCGGACATTGAATTATTCAAGATTAATAAAATTTCATTCATATTAAATTAAATTAGGTAAGTTAATTTTAAATTTTTGGATAAATGAATTTCTATTTTAATAAATTAAATTCGTTTTAAAAAAAGCATCTAATATTTAAATAACTACATTTTTTATTATTTATATAATATTTTTATCATTAATTATATTTTAATTTTTATTATTATTTGAAGTTGAATCATTATGACGTCACAGCTTTAGAACATTTTGCTTTGCACAAAATGTAACGTCATAATGGTTCAAATCTCCTTAAAGTTGAAACTCAATTAAATTGAATTAATTAAATTTCTTTCTTCAGTTTTTAATTTTAGTATAATTTCTTTTTTATTTTTAAATTTTAAATAATTTTTTTTCTAATTATGATTAATTTTCTGTTCTCTTTATATATTTTTTTTTTCATAAAATAATGGGACTTGCCCTTTGTAATTATAGTGTTTTTACTCTTTATTTAAAACTTTTAACTAATTTCTCTCTTTAAATTAATTTTCTTTCTTTCATTAAAATTTTCTCCTACATTTTTACATTAATTTCGGTTAATTTTTTATACATTAGTTTTTTATTTCATAAGCCGGACGCTAAAAAAAGAAACTTTCATTACAGCGGATTTCTCTAATCTTAATGCATATTTTTCTCTTATTATATTAAATTAAAAGAAATTTTTTTTTGTTTTTACATGTAAGAGGATTACCTTAATAGGAATTTATTTGTTAATAGACAAGCAATCAGTTCTTTTAATTAAATAAATTCTCCTCTATAAATAACAATAATAATAATAATAATAATAATAATAATAATAAATTAAATAAAGATAATATACAATTTATTTATTTATTAGTCCATTTATTTATTCGATCAACAATTATTATATTTTATAACTACAATATTTTAATACGAGCGAATACCCTCTCGTGCAAAATGTTACAAGTTACCAATAACGAAATTAAAAATTAAATACTGCGATGTTACGAAATTATGATGAGAATTATGTTTCGTCGGTATTTAAAGCGAGACTACGCAATTTATTTATATAAGCACTCAATAGAAATGCCCAAAGAAATCAATAAAATTATGGTATTCATTGCCCTCGTGAATAATAATAAATGAGAATAATAAATTAAAATATTTTATTGCTAATAAAATCGAAAAATTTATAAATTTATTATTTTTTCATTTTACTTGAATTCACTGCTTTTGACATCAAAATGTCGAGAAAAAATTCTTCTTTTAGCATAATAACCAGCAAAGAAAAAAAATATTTTTAATTCAAGTGGAAAACTTTTATTTTGAGAAGAAAAATTTTAATAATTCAAAATTTTCTAAAATTAGTTAAATTTGTCAATATATATAGGTATTTAATTAATTATTAAAAATAATGGATTTATAGAAGAATTTTAGTTAAAAACAATTAAAAAAAATAGAATTTTGAAGAAATTACAAATTATTGCAGAAATTCAATTATTTTCAAAAGTAATAGAATTCTTATCACAAAATTCAATTATGTTCAAAATTTACAAGAAAATCTCGACAAAATCACAATTATTATCTTTTTTTTTTATTTTAATAAAATTCTTGTCAAAATTTCAATTATTTTCAAAAAATTTTCCTCATTTCAATGATTTTCAATATCTACTATTTTAATAAAAGTACCCAAAAGAATTCAATTATTTAAAAAAAAATTTAATAAAATTGTACGCAAGCGTTTAATTATTTTCATGAATAATAAAAATTTCACAGAAATTCAAATATTTACAAAATTTTTTATAAGTTTCTTCTCAATAATTCAATTATTTTTAGAAATAATGAAACTCATCGCGGAATTTCAATTATTTTTAATACAATTTCAATCGAATTGTTAGAAAAATGTAAAGTGAAAAATTTTATTAAAATTCGTCAAAAGAATTGAATTATTTAAAAATTTGTTGATAAAATTCTTTATGAGAATTAAATTTTAAGAAACGTTCAATTATTCAATAAATAATTTATTTATTTATTTTTATTTTATTTTTTATAAATAAAAAGGAGAATAATTTGCATAATAATTTAGATCAGTCAAACAAAATTTGTTATAGAAATAAGTAAGTAAAAAACAATAAGTAAGTAAATAAATAAGTAAATTAAAAATAATTAAATGAGTAAATAAATTATCAAGTAAATAAAAAATTAATAAATGAATAAGTAAGTAAATTATTAAGTAAATAAAAAATTAATAAATGAATAAGTAAGTAAATAAGTAAGTAAATAAGTAAGTAAATAAAAAATAATTAAATGAGTAAATAAATTATTAAGTAAATAAAAAATTAATAAATGAATAAGTAAGTAAATAAGTAAGTAAATAAATAAGTAAATAAGTAAATAAAAAATAAGCAAATGAATAAACAAGTCAATAACTAAATAAGTAAATACAAAATAAATAAATGAGTAAATAAATTATCAAGTAAATAAAAAATTAATAATTGAATAAGTAAGTAAATAAATAAGTAAATAAAAAATAAGCAAATGAATAAACAAGTCAATAAAGAAATAAGTAAATAAAAAGTAAGTAAACAAGTAAATGAATAAATAAATAAATATTAGTAATTAAATTAAATTTTCCGTTTTATATTTTCTCTAATTTTTTAAAATTAGATTTTATATTATTTATTTTAAACAAAAGAACTAAAGATAATTTTTTTTCCGTTTTTTGTTCTATTTTTGGCACCTTTTGAAGAGAAAGGAAAATTTTTTTTATACAATAGTTGGATAGTGGAGTTTATGATCTTGGCTCCGCATTTACGTTATATGGAACATAAATTGTATGATGAGACATTTTACTTGAGTTTTCTTTTCTTTTTTGCCATTTTTCTTGCAGTTCAGCGTCTCAACTTTCTGGCATTGAAGGAGAAGAGGAGCCAAATAGTAGTCGAGTGCCTACTTACAAGGTGGGCATGCTCGGAGCTTCTGGGGTTGGAAAAACCGCCCTTACCGCTCAATTTACAACGAGTGATTACATCTGTGCCTATGACGCATCTCTCGGTAAATTTAAAAAAAATATATTAATTTCATATCTCACTTTTTCTATAACTAATAAATTCTACAGTTCAAAATAAATAGTAAAATATTTTTACTAATTTTTATTTATTTTTTTTTATTTATTTATTTATACATTCGCCTTATCATCAAAATTAATTATTGTTGTATTTATTTTTTATATTTTCTTTCTTATTATTCTATTTTTATTTTTTTAATATTTATTTCAAGACCAAGTCGTGAAGTTAAAAAATTACATTAATTTTTCTTTTACATTTTTGTGATAAATTAAATTAATAATTTATTTATTTAGTATCAATGGGCGAACGAAAGAATAATAAATTAATTTCTTTTCTTTTTATGAATTCTTTCTTTATAAAATAAAATTTATAATCAATAAAACATATTTTTAAACATTTCCCTTTTTTTAATTTATTTTAAAACATAAAAAGACAATATAGAATAAAGGAAATTTTAATAGAAAATATTTATTTATTTTTATTTTATTTATTTTTTTTTATTTTTTATTTATTTATGAAAATAAAAAATTGAAGTATTAAAAAAATGAAAAATATTATATGAAATATTGAAATAATGTAATAAAAAAAATATTCTTTTAATATATATTTTTTCCCGAAGAATTTTATGTGCGCGCTAAAGAAATTGGCAGCAGGAAAAATTTTTCATTTCTTTCTAATTCAAAAAGATTTTTCAATTTAAACTTGATCGTTTAATATATCGTCTCGACAAATGTATAGAAAATAGCTTAAATCTTATGCTCCAATTTGTAATTTCAAAAACGTTTCCTGAAAAAAGGGACTTTTTTTTCTTCTATTTTCTTAATTTTATTCCGAGACCTTTTTATATCGAAGAAATTTTCTAATATATTATGCTATATAGATATTGCACATATATAATACGAAAAGTATTTTCACTCCTTCTGAATAAGTAAAGAATCATAAAAATCGAAGCAAGCAAAAATGTCGTAGCACACGGGATTTTTTTTTATTTTGACTCAGAAATATTTTTTTAAAAAATGACAAATATGCTTTTTTTAATTTTAATTTTACAAATTAAAAAAAAATTTTTTTTTAAATTAGAAAATAAACTTAGTTTTTTTTATATTTTTGTTCTTTAGTTTTTTTTGTTAAGAACGCAAAAAGCGTCAAAAAAAGTTCGTTCTAATTAAAATAAATAAATTAAACATTTTTTATAGAAAATATTTTTTTAAATAACTATATAGAAAAATCTTTTTACAGAAATTATTTTTTTAAATAACAAGAGAATACTTTTTTTATAGGAATTATTTTTTTGAATAACTAGAAAATACTTTTTCACAGAAAATACCTACATTTTTATAGGAAACATTTTTTATAGAAGTTATTTTCGTACAGAAAATATGTTTCGAAATAATTATAAAATACTAAAAAAAAATGGTTTTTTATAAGAAAACATTTTTTTTAATAATTAGAAAATACTTTTTATAGAAAATACTTTTTTTTATAGAAAATACTTTTTTATAGAAAATACTTTTTTTATAGAAAATACTTTTTTATAGAAAATACTTTTTTTTATAGAAAGTACTTTTTTATAGAAAATATTGTTTTATAGAAAATACTTTTTTATAGAAAATACTGTTTTATAGAAAATACTTTTTTTTAGAAAATACTGTTTTATAGAAAATACTTTTATATAAAAGATATTTTTTACAAAAAACATTTTTTTTTTATAATATATATATTTTTTTTAACTATAAAGTACCTTTTTATAGAAAATAATTTTTAATAGAAAATACGTTTCTATAGAAAATATTTTTTATGAAAATTATTTTTTCATAGAAAATACGTTTTTAAATAATTAAAAAATATTTTTTCATACAAAATATATTCTTAAATACTAAGAAAATATTTTTTGTTTTATTTTCTATTTTTAAAAAATGAGAAAGTACTTTTTTCTGAAAAATTATCTAAAAAAAGAAACGATTCTTTATATTATTAAGGAGAAAAGAACTTTTTTCTTATGTGGTGCCATTATAAAGTTACTTTCTGTATATAAGATTGCAATTTCATACCCAATATAGTCCATAGAATTGTAATTTGATTCATAAAAAAAAGAAAATCCTAACGATTTTTTTTTATATTGCATTTACTATTTTTACATACGAATGGGATTCGATTTAAGGCCACGCATTTTCCTTCACAATATAAACTGACATTGCAAAAGGAAATTTCACATTATGCAAATGATTTTTTCCTCGACTCATTCTTGTAATAATAAAAAGTCATTTTTCCCAATCGTAAAAACTTATTGTCTATATATACAGAGAGCGAGAGATTTTTGCGATAGTAATATCAAACGGAAAATGACTTCAGAACAATGCACCGCAAATTTTATTTTGTTAAAAATTTACCCATTTATTAAAAAATAAAAATTATTAATTATTTAATTATTACCTATTATTGTTTATGAATTATATTGAATTTATTATTATTAAATTTATTATTAAAAAATTAATTATTATTTATTTATAATATTTATGTACTAATAATAGTCTCTGTAAACATATTTCTTTTTTCCTCTAGACTTTTTTACAATAACAGAATTTTTACAGGACAGGGAAATAAATACAGTAAGAAAATTTCATCTAAAGTATTCAAAAAATATCAAATTATTCAAAATCTTTAATATTCTACGAATTTTCTTTCTCAAATTAAAAAACAAATACGTAAATAGAGTTACAATTTTTACTAATAATAAATTATTTCATCAGTTATTTTTGTATTTAAAATTTTAAATAGATTGAATTTTCGTACAACTTTTTAATAAGAATTGATTCGAAAAAGAATTTCACTTAAAATTTTAGAAAATATTTATGAAAAATTGAAAGAGCTGCAGTTCTAATTTTTAGAAATAATTAAATTCCCGAAAAATATTTTCAAAAATTGAAAAATAGAAATTTTTCTCAAATTAAAATAAATAACAACAAGTTTTTAAATATTTGTTTAACAAAAATGGTTAAATTTTTGAATAATTTAACGTAAAAATTCTTAAAAATGAGGTTTTTCAAAAAATCGTAATCAAAACTTTTTAAAAACAGTTGAATTCCTGAAATTAAATTCAAACAATTGAAAAAATTGAAAAATTTTCACAAATTTCATTAAAATAAATTTTATAATTCAATGAATGTTATTTTCTGAATTTAAAAAATTATTTTTAAACATTATTATCATTTTTAAAGTATTTGTAGCTAAAAATTTGGATAATAATAAAAATTTTACAAAAAATTTTGTATTTAAATAATTCAATTATCGTTGAATTTGGAAAAATAATTTGGAAATTTGGAAAAATAATAGAATATTATTAAAAGCGTTGTAACAAGAATTTTAAAAAATAATTTAATTTTTAAACCTTCTTTAAAATTTTCTCAAATTTCATTAAAATAAATTTTATATTTAAATGAATTTTATTTTTTCACTTGAAAAAATTATTTTTAAACTATTATTGTATTTTTTTTAAGAAAATTTTTATTAAAAAATTGGAAAATAATTAAATTTTACAAAAAATTTTGTATTTAAATAATTCACTAATTTATCGTTGAATTTTAATAAGAATATTGATTTCAGTTAAAATTTGGAAGAATAATTGAATATCAGAATATCAGAATAATTAAATTTCAAAAGATTTTTAAATTGAAATTAAAATTTTTCAAAAGCAGTTGAATTCCAGAAGTAATTAAAAAAATTGAAATTCAATTAGAAGTTTTGGCAAATTTCATTGATGTAAATTTTATATTTGAAATATTCCATTTAGATTACTGGAGTATTACAGGAATATAATATTTTATTAATAATAAATAATAAATAATAATAAATAATAGTAAATAATAGTAAATAATAATAAATAATAATAATATTAATAATAATAAATAATAATAAATAATAATAAATAATAATAAATAATAATAAATAATAATAATAGTAATAGTAATAATAATAATAATAATAATAATAATAATAATAATAATAACAATAATAACAATAATAATAATAATAATAATAATAATAAATTAAACAAAAAATTTTTTTGCATTTCGTATAATTATGACGTAACGGAAGAAATGGTAATTAATGAAAAAAAGAAGGGAGAAAACAAAAGCTTAAAATCGATGGTAGTATTTTTTTTACTCTGTGGCTTGCGAAGCCTGACAATTGCGTGTCCATTCGGTCATTTCCCTCTCTTTTAGTGTGTTTGAGACTTGTGATGCAAGGAAGTAGTTACAGCTATTTTTACCCGACGCCTTTTTCCAGTAGTACGTGCCTCACGTGATCAGACAACAACCATATATATATATAGTAAATATGGTTTTGACGTTGGCAAAACCGCGAGTAATTGCCCGTAATTTTCTAATATTTTCCTTTTTTTCAAGAACAAAAAAAATTGACACGTTCTTTTACGTATATTTAAGGGGAAAAAAATCATTATCTAACTTCCAATCTCTCGCACTGACCTAGAATGATATTTTTATAATTTTTGAATCTTAAATTATCATTTCATTTGACATTTTCATTTTTAATTAATTTTGGATTTGGAATTTTTCAATTTTTTGGAAAAAAATTAATTTTGAGTAATATTATTTGGACAAATTGATAATTTGAAAAGAAAAGAAAAAGTTTAATATTTTATTACCAAACAAAAAATTACTCGAAGAGAGTCTAAAATATTTATTGAAAAGAAAATATAATTTTGCAGTTTACCAAAAAAAAAAGTGTATTCAGAGACAGTCCAAAATATTTAAAAATTTAGAAAAGAAATTTTTCTCTTAAAACAAGAATATTTTTTTTTTCGAGGCAAAAAAACTTTACTTGTAAAGTCTAAAATATTCATTGAAAAACAAAGAAACAATTTAAAAAACAAAGTTTATAAATTAACGAAAAGAATTTACTCGAGAAGAGTTTAAAAATACTTGAGAAAAAAAGAATAGATTTCAAAGTTAAGTAAAAAAATTCACTCGGAAAGAGTCTATAAAATATTGGAAAAGAAAAGAAAATTTAGAAGTTTATCAAAAAAAAATTTACTGGCAGAGAGTTTGTAAAATATTTAAAGGGAAAGGAAAAATTGTTAAGTTTACCAAACAAATTTACTTGAAGAGTGCAAAAAAAAAATTCAGGAAAAAAAATTAAGATTAAAAGAGATAATTTTAAAAAATTGACATTATTTTTTTGTCTCTAATGAGGATAAAAATGTTGTCTTCTGCATTTTGTTCATGTATATTCCCGCTTTTTTCGCTTCACTTGACCGACATTTTTCTCTAGCCACTAAATTAAATGTCCATCACTTGTCCTATAAAAAGAAATACTCTTCACATAACAGTAAATTTTTTTTTGTAAAATAATTCCATTTTTCGAAAAATAGTAAACTTTTTCTGATCGATAAAGAAAAATTTTGTTGCTCCTTTAAAAAATATTGGTAAGAAAAATTATTTTCTCACGTAAAAAGAAATATTTTTTACATATTTACAAATATTTAGGAAAAAAAAATTATTTTCTTACGAAAAAAATCATTTTTTTGCTTATTTACTTGTAATTATTAATTATTTGGAAAAATAATAAATTATTTTCCTCCAAAGAACAATAATTTTTTGCTTTTTATTTAACATTAATTAAGGGGAAAAAATCATTTTCTAACAAAGAAATTTTTTTTTTTGAATTTCAAAATAAAGAATAAATTTACAACACCAATTTTCAAATGACTAAAAATTAGGTGTCAAATACTTTTATTTTTTTTTCTCTTAAGATTTATATCTGTAAAATACAGTTTCTTATTTCTTGGCTTTTCTCATTTTTCACCGCACACCGAAAAATTATATACTTTTAACTCACTTTTTTAAAGTACAGCTATAAATTCATGAAAATAAAGATATACATATGCAACGTTAAAGTACATTAAGAGCTGAAAAAACTTACGTTTCCTGGAAAATTTACACTCTTTCTAGAAAAATGTGCTTTTAAAAAAAAAAAAAGAAGAAGAAAAAAATAGTTAAACAAGTTGCTTTGAAGATTGCAGGACAAATTCACACCTTTAGACAAAATGGGGAAAAAATATTTATGAACTCTATTCTTCATTTACTTTTTCCTACTTTTTCAGAACAATTTGTATTACAACAATTTTACACTGGTTATAATTTAGTTTTTCAGTTTTTGCTAATAATTTTGTTTGTATTTTTTTTTACTTAACCAATTCGTTTCCTTAATTTTTTTATTTCAAATATAGAATTTACTTTTTTGATTTTGCTGGTAATTTTTTTTTTTTATTTTTTACTTTAATTGATTTTTGTAAATAGGATTGTTCTTTTTTCTGCTACAAATTTGACTTTTACTACTTAAAAATATTGTCTGACCCAAATTTTACTTTTGCTACTAAAATTTTACTCTTGTCTGACCGAAATCTTACTTTTACTACTAAAATTTTCCTTTTTGTCAAATAGAAATTAATTGTTTCCATCTAAACAATTAAGACGATAAATAATGTCTTGTCTGACTAAAAATTGTTATTACTACTGAATTTTTTTACTAATGTCTGATTGAAACTTGTTTTTACTACTTTTGATTTTTTTACTATCGTCTGGCGTTAACTGTTCTTTTCTACTAACAAAAAACAATAAAATATATTTTTTTGTCTGACCTAAATTTGACTTTTACTACTTAAAAATTTATTATCGTCTAACCCAAATCATACTTTTACTACTAAAATTTTCCTTTCTGTCGAATAGAAATTAATTGTTTCCATCTAAGCATTCAAGAAATTAAATAAAGTTTTGTCTGACTAAAAATTACTATTACTACTGAAAATGTTTACTAGTGTCTGACTGAAACTTGATTTTACTACTTTCAAATCTTTTACTATTGCCTGACTGAAACATTTTTTACTACTTTAAAAACTGTTACTATATTGTCTGACAGAAACTTACTTTTACTACTAATTAAATTTTTACTATTTTCTATTTGACTATTTTGTTTAATTTATTTAGAGAAATCAATATAAAAAAAATTGTTTTGCCTGACCAAAATTTGACTTTTACTACTTAAGATTTTCCTAATGTCTGACATAAACTAATATTTTTTATACTTATTATAAATGTCAATAAAAAATGTTTCGCCTGACCCAAAGTTTACTTTTACTACTGAAAATTTTATTTTTGTCTGACCCAAAATTTGGGTTTACTACTGAAATTTTCATTCTTTTCTAATATAGAAATTATAATTGTTTTTATCTTTAAAATTGATGAATTAAACAGTGTTTTGTCAGAAATTTAGAATAAAAATAACTTTTACTACTGCAACTTAAGAACTGAAAAGCTGAAAAATAATATTGTCTGACTTAAATTTTCTTTGACTACTTTTCGTATTTTTACTATATTAACAGACAGAAACTAATCCTTTCTGTAGTTTAAAAAATTAATAAAAAATTATTCGTCTGACCCAAAATTGATTTGTACTACTGAAAAGTTAACTATTGTCTGACCCAAATCTTACTTTTACTACTAGAATTTTTCCTACTCTCTAATAGAAATTTTAATTGTTTTTATCTAAAAAATTAGTGAAATAAGCATTGTTTTGTCAGAATAAAAATGATTTTTATTACTGAAACTTAAGAACTGAAAAGCTGAAAAATAATATTGTCTGACTAAAATTTTCTTTGACTACTTTTCGTATTTTTACCATTATCAGACAGAAACTAATCCTTTCTGTAGTTTAAAAAATTAATAAAAAATTATTCGTCTGACCCAAATTTGACTTGTACTACTGAAAATTTTACCATTGTCTGACCCAAATCTCAGTTATACTACTGAAATTTCTACTACATTATTAACAACTCATTTTGCCTATACTTTGAAAAATCAAAAAAAAATTATTCGTCTGACCAAAATTTGACTTCCACTACTGAAAATTTTACTATTGTCTGACCCAAATCTTACTTATACTACTGAAATTTCTACTACATCAATTAATCTTTTCTATACTAAAAAAAAATCAATTAAAAATTATTCGTCTGAACCAAATTTGATTGTTCCAACTGAAAATTTTTAATATCGTCTGACCCAAATCTTACTTCTACTAATGAAATTTTCCCCGCATTTTCCAATTTTATAAATTTATGAATGAAACAAAGTTTAAATATAACAACTAATTGAAATTTCTCTTTACTATTGCTTTGAACATATATATTAATTTTTTTTCTCTTAAAAGAACATCACTATATACTGAATAATGTAATTTCTCATATATCGTGAGTTTGCACTTTTGCAGATAAACGAAACAAGCATAATTTCTAAATTACATACGTACAATATATGCGCATACAAGATATATACCTATATATATATATAGTTTTCTCTTTGAAGTTCTCTTCATTTTTCATTCTTTTTTCAATAAAATTGTTTCCCTAACGCGTGTATTTTATACTTTTTCGTTATTAAATCGCAAAAAGCTTGCAACAAAATGTAAATAGAATGTATCTACATATAAACGTGTATATAAAATATTTATGAAGCTAAGCCTCTGAATTCTGAAATTTCACTGAAATTAAATGAATGTCAAGATTTTAATTATAAATCCCCGTCTATATGTGTATAAATGTACAATATAATAATGAGTTTACTCAAAGTTTTAAAATATTTTATGTATATCGAAAGATTTATCCAAAAATATTTATTATGCATTTTTTAAATAGGAAATATTGTTTATTTTTACTTTTTTTTACTTGTTTTATTTATTAAATATTGTTTATTATTATTTATTTATTACATTATAACGTAGAGTGTTTATTACATTATAATATCTATATTTTATGTCTAAAATAAATAATAAATTCTACGGAATTTGCTATTAATTATTGTACATACTGAGAAAATTTTCTTTTAATCCAAAAATAAGGAACCAATTTAAAAAAAATATGTTTGAATTCAACATATTTTACAATTGGATTAAAAGTAATAAATTTTTATTGAATCAAACTTATTGTGTATTGAATCAAAATTATTATGCTTAATTCAAAAATAATTTTTTGTTGATTGTATTTAACAAAGATAATTATGTTGGACTCAAATATATTGTATTCTCAGTGTATATAATTCTAATAAATTATTTTTTATTTCTAATTATAATAGAATATTATTCTTATTAATTATTTCAAAATTTTTATTTCAAATTAAAAATATCAATTAATTTCTACTCCTCTAAATTTGAACTAGTAGAAATTTTCACTAATTTGGACTTTTCGCTTTTGAATTAATAAATTTTACTAATAAATAATAATTTCTACTAATAAATAGTAATTTTTACTAATAAATAATAATTTCTACTAATAAATAATAATTTCTACTAATTTATTAGTATGATTTACTTATTCAAAAGCAAAAATAAATCAGACACTTATTCAATTTAACATTTTTACTAAATTAAATTTAGAGAGTAATTATAGTAATATAATTGTGAATTAATTATTTTTATTTTTAATTAAAAATATAAATTAATTTCTAATCAATTATTATTTCAATAAATTATTTTAAAATTCGAATAAAAAATACTAATTAATTTGTCATTAATACCTAGTATAAAATTCCAATTAATTATTTTTAATTTCTAATTATTGTGAATGAAATACTTTTCTCTGTAAACAAGAATTTTTAATTTTTATATAAATTTGCTTATTATTTGTAAAAAAAAAATGTTTTTTTTTTTTGAAGGATAATTAGAAACAAGGCAAAAAATCATGAAACTTTTTTTCTTTTGTTAAAGATGATGAATATGGTCAAAAAAGTGTTTCTGTGATGATCGATGGTCAAGAGACAGAACTCGAAATAATTGATCATCCAGCCTCTGAGATGTCGGTGAGTTCATTCAGTAATTATTATTATTTGTGTATTTCTATAATCGTAGCTGTTAAATTTTGTAAATAATTTTTTATTATTAATATAGTGTATTTTATTTCTTTATTTCTTTATTTCTTTATTTCTTTAATCTTTATTTCTTTATATTTATTTATTTGCTTATTTATTTATTTATTTATTTATTTCTGTGAACAAAATACGGACTTTATTATTTTTGTAGCATTTTTTTAAAGTCCATTTATTACTAAAATAAATAACGAATAAAAAAAATTTGCTCGTTAATAAAAAAAGGGAGAACAAATTTAATACAAAAAATTTTAATATCGACTTTTGTTTAATTGTATATTTAATAATCTAACTTTTTACACTTTAATTTAATATTTACAAAAAAAAAAAATTGAAAACAAAATAATCAAAAACCATCTGATAAAATTGATATAAATAATAAGACAATAAAACCTAATTGTCCCTTAAAAGCTCGATTAGAAAGTAATTATCAGTTTGTATTTATAACCAATTGTTCAGGGTGAGTTCGATAACTATTAATATCATACGCATCATTATCCCTAACAGGTTCTAATGAAAGATTATTGACACAATATATGTACACTATACATCAGTTTAATGACTTGAATTCTCAAAAATTAAGGCAAAATTGAAGAAAATAATTATTAATTAATAAGTGAATATTTTTTTGTTTGTTCTTTTATTTTTAATTTTGTTAATCAATCAAAACGGATTTTTCTGAAATTAAAAATTTCCTATTTGCGAATGCTATTAATTAGTAATTATTGATTTTGTCACATATGTTCAATTAGTGACGTTTAATTTATATGGTATGTGAAAAATGAGCACACAGATAGCGTATAATGAAAAGTTACTGACAAAAAAAAAAATCTCGATAACTGATAAAAAAAAATGTTTCCAATTAATACTAATTTTTGTAATTTTTTTAATTTATATTTTTGCAATTTTTCTTGTTTATTTATTCAAATTCACGGGCGCAAAGCCAATTAGTAACGTAACAATATTTTAAGATCAATTATCATTTTAATATTTTTCTAAATTAATTTTTGTTAAATTGATTTTTTAATTCATTTTTGTAATTTTTTTAAAATTAATTAATTCATTTATTCATTTTTGTAGTTTTATTTATTTTTGTAATTTGTTGAAATTATTGTTTGTATTTTTTAATTTAGTTTTATAATTTTAAAAAATTTATGTTTTTTAAATTTATTTTTAGAATTTACTTTATTAAATTTATTTTTATAACTTGTTTTTTAAAATTATTCTATTGTAAATTTTGTCAAAATGCGAAATAAAGGAATTTTGTTTTTATAGAAAAAAATTGATCTCATACTGTTTGCGTATATATATTATAATTTTTATTCATTAAATGAAGAAAGATTTTCTCATTTTTCTTGCGTTGGAAATTTCATCTCCCTGTTCTTATCTTTTGTACACAGATATATATTATCCAGACAAAAGAAAATTTCATTTATTACCTTCAACTTCTTTTTTTGGCAAAGTAAAAGCGCGCTTAGTGTCTTTTTTTCTCAGACACAGACTTTTCATCAACTTTTTTTCTCCAGTTATCAAAAGATTAAAGATGCTTCTGGTTATTATACAATAATACACTTTTTCGAGTCATTATTTATTTATTGTATTTTGAAAAAAAATAATTTATCAACCCGTTTGACTCTCACTTTTATTTTCACTTCTTTAAAAATTTTTTATTTTCACTTTTTTCAGTAAATTTCTTATCAATTATTTTATTTTTATTTTTCTAATCCCTTATTTGATTTGTGTATTTGAAAATATTTTTATGTTTAAAAATAAGTTCGTTTGAAAATATTTTTTATGCTTGAAAATAGTTTTATTTTCTTCATTCTTTATATTTGAAAATATTTTTTATACTTGAAGAAATATTTTAATACCAATTTTTTATACACATGAAAAAATATTTTTCCTTTCTTAAAAATTTTTTATTTACATTACATTTTATTTTTTTAATACCAACTTTTTCATATTTGAAAATATTATTATTTATAAACATGAAAAAATATTTTTCCCTTCCCAAAAAAAAAGAGTAAAAATTTAAAAACAGGATACATAAAAAAACTCCTAAAAGGATTTTTGTTGAAAGAAAATAAGTTGAGTGGATATAAAGGAAAATGGTTTAGAAAAAAAAAATATGAAAGAAAATTCGAGAGGGAAAATATATGAGAAAACGTAAAAAAAATTTCATCTGTTAATTTTTTGTTTAAAAATTATAAATTAATTGAATGGACAATGAATTTGAAGGAAAATCGATAATAAAACTGATTTTTAATAGATTTTAATTTTAAAAAATTTTAATTTATTTTTAATATTTAATTTTTTTATTTTTAAATAAAAGTTTTGAAAATATGTAAAAAATTTTTATTGATTTGTTGGCAAAATGGAAAAAATAGCTTTTCGAGAAACTATTGAATATAAATTCATAAGCACACTGTCTCTTGTGTCCTATTTTCTCTAATATCCTTATCATAGAGAACGATTTAATGTCTGCTTTTAGTGTCGTGAGAAAGGCAGTTTGTAAAGTGAAAACTGAAACTAACATCTATTTCGATTAACTTTCAACACATCTGTATTTAGGTTCACTTATAAATAGTAGAGGGGGAAAATATGAAAAAATAATTACTAAGAAAACACCCTCTACGTGAATTTATAAATATTGCAGGCAATTAATTCACAAGGCAAAAAAATTCCACCTTTTTTTAATAAAAAAAAATTTTTAGCTTAAATATAAAAATTTAATTCAAGAAATTATTCTTTGTAACTATTTTTTTTTATTTAATTTCTTACGTAATTTGTTATTCTATTTTTTTAAGTTTTCTTTTATTGCTCAATTTTCCATGTGATTATTTAATTTTTTTACGTTTCTTTTATTGCTCAATTTTTCATGTAAATATTTTTAGGTGAATTTTTTTACGAAATTTTATTATTCAATTTGTTAATTTTTTTAGGTTTCTTTTATTGCTCAATTTTCCATGTAAATATTGTTTAGTAAATTTTTGTTACGTAATTGTATTATTCAATTTTTTTAGGTTGTTCCTTATTTAATTTTTTTATGTAAATTTTTTAGGTGAATTTTATTTTTATTTTTCCATGTAATTTTATTATTTAATATTTTGTATTTATTTGTATTTAAATTTTTTACATTCAATTTTCTTGTGTAATTTTTGAATTTTTTTGTATATTTATATTTTATTATTTGATTTTTTATGACAATTTTGTTGTTTTTTCTTATTCAATTTTTTTTATGTGAATTTGTTTAGGTAAATTTTATTTTTCTATGTAACTTTATTATTCAATTTTTTCTATTTTATTTTTAATTCAATTTTTTTATTCAACTTTTTTAAATTTATTTATTTTTTTATTTAAATTTTTCCATTTATTTCTTTATGTAATTTTTTTTATTTAATTTCTAAGTAAAAATTTTGTATCATTCATGTTAAATAATACCAATAAAAAATTTGCTTAAAGAATTTTTTGATTGTGAAAAAATTTAAATTATTAATAATTACAATTTTTTAATTAAACTATAAAAATAGTTTCACTGTAATTTTTTTTAATTTTCTGAATTTTTTTTATATTTTTCCGAATTTTTCTCAAGTTTTTTTTGTTTCTTTTTCTCTGAAAGGTTGAAACATTCTGTTCCACGTATAATCCTGACGTGTACGTAGTCGTCTACTCGGTGGTTGACAGAAGAAGTTTGAAATTTGCTGAGGAGACTTTACTACATTTATGGAAAAGCGATTACATGGCTTCGCACGGTGTCATTCTCGTGGGAAATAAAGTTGATCTCGAGAGGAAACGAGAAGTTCCATCCATGAGTGAGTTATTAAAAAAAATTACAATTTTTTTACTAAAATATTTTCATAAAACTAATTTAAATAAAATTTTTCTCTCCCATCGATTATTTCGAAAAAAAAAAAATTTCTTCATTATAAAACTAAAAGAATAAAAATCAAAGAAAAAGAAGAAAATAAAAGTAAAAAAAAGAAAATTAAATTAAAATAAAAAAATAAAATTAAAATTAGAAAATAAAATCAAAATAAGAACAAAATTTTTGTACTCAAATATTTTATAGAGAAATTAATTTAATTTCAATAAAATATTTTTTCTTGTCGATTATTAAAAATAAAAAATTTTCTTCTATCAATTATAAAATTAAAAGAAACGAAATAAAAATTTAAAGAAGAAAATAAAATTTTGCTATACCTATTCGTGAATTAACAATGAAAAATGAGAGACAAAAAATTAATTAACTATAAAAACACCTGGTTTTTCTATAAATTAGACATTTCATGATAAAATCAATATACATAGTGGGTCGAAGGATTGCAAACAGCTGCGGCTGCAAATTCATCGAAACTTCATCTGGCTTAGCTCATCACGTTGACGAGCTTCTAGTGGGAATATTGGCTCAAATTAAATTGAATCCACAACGCGATCGGGACCAAGCAACGAGAAGACGAAGGAGCAAAAATAGAAAAAAAATTCTCAAACATCTTTTAGGTTTTAAGCGAAAAACCAAAAGTTGTGAAAATCTTTTTATCTTATAACAATTTCAGAAAATAATAATACCCATAATAATCGACTCGAAATTGCAAAAAAAAAATAATTTCATTTCCTAAAACAAAAAAAAATAGTTAAAAAATACTTTTTATTTTAGAAAATCTAATAATTATTACCTATAAAATTAATTATTACCCATAATAATCATAATTATTTTACCTAATTAATAATTAATTTTGTAACTAATTTTTAAATATTTTAATATTTGATTTTTAACTATTAAATTAAGTTACAATAGTATTGATTAAAAATAATTTTTATTATTTTATTTAATTATTATTATATTTTTAGTATTTTAAATTTTTAACATATCTATTCAAATTTAATTTTTGATTTAAATTTCCCAATTTTCCAAATTAGATATTTTCATTCCTTTTCTTTGTCTTCTTGGAAAAAAAATTAAAGTATTCCTAAAACAAAAAAAATTCTACAGTATAATATTCAAATGCTGTAAAAACGAATTAAATGATAATTATAATAAATACCGAATGCAAATTAATTTCGAAAGGGAAAATGTAAAAATTATATATTCTTGTAACAGGAAAATTCTACTTTTTAAGAAAAAAATTCTCTACAAAGAGAATAAATTTTAGAAATTGCAATGCTGGGAATTGTACATAAATATACATATTTAAATGTCTTTCCATTCAGAGAAAATTTTTAAACTTAAATATTGAGAATATTTTCCCCAGTTTTTAAAAATTTTAGGCACTAATATAATTTTAGTAATAATTTATTATTAACTATTATTTAATATAATCAGTATAATTAATATAATTAATATAACTAATTTAATTAATCTAATTGGTCTAATTAATCTAATTAATCTAATTAATAAAATTAATTTAATTAATTCCGGGAAAATTCAAATAATTTAATTAGTGTAATTAATCTAATTATTCCATTAATAATAATTTTTTTTTTTTAAATTTTTTGCGAATAAAATGTTCTTTCATACAATAAATGAAATTATTTTTTTAATTCAGGTAAATATTCACTTTAGTTTCAAAATTACGTTAATATTTACAAAATTTTCGTTGCATCGAAACAACGAATTAAAGTTAAAAAAAATTCACTTTACAATTAGAGTAAAAATTATTACCTACAATTAACATTAAATAAGATTTTTTTCCAGTAGTGAAAAAAAGAGAATATTTACCAGAATTTGTCGAAAAAAGAAACAAATTTTGTAACTATTTATTCAGTTTTATTTTAAATTCTTTTAGAATTTCAATTTTCAAAATAAATTCCACAGAAATTCGTAATAATTGATAAAATTTAATTAACAAAATTAAAAAACCAAAAATTAATCATAAAATTAATTTTGTAAATAAATATTAGATTTATTGGAAATTTATAATATTATAGATATTTAATTTCGAAAGGGAAAATGTAATATTTAGTATTTCAATAAATATTTAGGTATTTCAATAATATTTAGATATTTAAAAAATGTATATAGCTAATAAATAATAGTTACCGAAAAAAAAAATTCGACACAAAGAATTACAACATAAAAATAAAATTAGCATCTACTATTTAATAATAATTTAAGATTTTAATTTTTTCTCTAAAGAAAAAAATATTCTAAAGAAAACATATTTTTTTCCTATTTATTCTAGAGAAATTTTTAATTTTTGTTCGTAATACAGCTTTAGAGCTTGAATAAAAAAAAGAAGGGAAAAAAATAGGAAAAAAGTTGGTCAAGATTGTAATCTAGGAGACGATCGGTTCATTAACCATTGTGCTCTAAAGCGTTCTTTTATTGCGACCGGAACGTCGTCATCGCTTTTTTTTAAGGGTCTTTTGTCTTATGTACTTGACTCCTAACTGAAGCGTATACTAATGAGAAAGACTTTTTTTCCCCTTTCAAAAATTTCTAATCAAATTGTATTGTATTTTATAATTCTAATTCTATTGATATAAATATATTTAATCATTTTCCTTTTGAATTCAATTTTTAATTCTGCAATTTAAATCGTTTAGGATTCTAATTTTAAATTATTGTTTTCTTCAAATTTGAATGGAGAGAAAATATCTTTTAGTGAATTAAAGAATAAATTTATAATTAAAAAATAGTTTCTAATTTGAAAATTAATTTCTAACTGAAAATTAATTTCTAACTGAAAATTAATTTCTAACTGAAAATTAATTTCCAACTGTAAATTAATTTCTAACTGAAAATTAATTTCTAACTGAATATTAATTTCTAATTGAAAACTAATTTCTAACTAAAAAATAATTTCTAATTAAAAAATAATTGACAATTAAAAAATAATGTATAATTAAAAAATGACTTATAATTGAAAAGTAATTTATAATTAAAAAATAATTTAAAACTGAAAAATAATTTATACTTTAAATATAATTTATATAATAATTACAGTTAAAGGAAAGTAAACTAGTAGTAAACTATTTAAGAATGTAAAAAATTGTGTGAAATGAAAATAAATTATAATTTCCATTGAAAGAGGACCAAAAATAATAAAATACAAAATTGAAAAATCAATTATTATTATTAAACAAAAACGTTTAGTATTTAAAAAGAAATCGTAAATTTCTAGAATTGATTTTCAACCTGAAAAACATAATTTAACACTGCAATGTCAAATAACTTACAATAATAATGATAATAATAAAATAATAATATAATAATTATAATTATAATAAAATATAGAAATTACGTTTTTAAAATTAAAATTAAAATTTTCTTTTTCAATTCTTACAAAATTTTTCTATTTGTATTTATTTGATTGTTATGAAAAGTCATTCGTGAGTGATGATGCAAAATTGCGAATTAGAAAAAAGTGAAAAAAGCTACGAAAAAAGAAATCATGTTTAATTATAATAAAAATACATATTGTATAAATATACCTGCATATCCATTGTATTATATAACATGTTTACTGTATCAAAAAATATATATTCATGTAAAACTACCTTTCCTAACATTATAAAGACTATATTAATTATTGAGTCACACTTATTTATTCCTTTTCAAATTTTTAATTATTTTTTGAATTTTACATCTTTTAGGGCTTTAACTTTTCAAATTTATTATTTATTACTGCTTTTATTATTTCTATTATTATTATCATTATTATTATTTTTTTATTGTTATTTTTATTTGTATTATCATTATTATTTTTACTGTTATTTACAATATCATTTTATTATCAATTATTATTTATTAACTAGCAAATGTTACAAAAATTCAATTATTTTTTACAAAATTTTAATAAATCCTTCGAAACAATTCAATTATTTTTTTTAAATAGTAAAATCTTAGCAAGAATTCAATTATTTTTATAAATAATAACATTTTTCAGAAGAATTTAATTATTTTCAACAAAATTTTAATCATATTTTAAGAAAGAATTCAAATATTTTCTAAAATTATAATAAATCCTTCGAAACAATTGAATTATTTTTTTAAATAGTAGAATCTGTGCAAAAATTTAATTATTTCCAAGACAATTCCACGAAAGAATTCAATTTTTTTTCTTAATTCGGTATAGAATTGTTCAAAAGAATTTAATTATTTTCTAATAATAAAATTCTTCAAAGGAATTCAATTATTTTCATAAATATTAAATGTTTCTGATGAATTCAATTATTTTCAATACAATTTTAATAAAATTTCTCGAAAGAATACAATTATTTTTAAAAATATTATTTAAATTCAATTATTTTCAACTATATTCTTCGAAACAATTTAATTCTTTTTATAAATTGTAAAATTTTTGTCAAGAATTCAATTATGCTTGTAAATAATAAAATTCTACTGAGAAATTCAATTATTTTCAACACAATTTTAATAAAATTCCTAGGAAAAAATTCAATTATATTCAAGATAATTTTAGTAAAATTTCTCTAACAGGTTCAATTATTTTAAAAAATTGTAATAACATTTTTCTAAACAATTCAATTGTTCTTTTAACTTTTAATCAAAAATTTTAATTCTTCAATCAAAATTCTTTGTAAATTTTAATTATTTTCAAAATTTCCAATTGAAATTACTTCAAAAAATTACATTATTTTTACGAAATTTAATGAAATTCTTAAAAAAAATGAAATTATTTACAAAAACTGTAATAAAATTATAGAAAAGAATTTAATTTTCTGTGAGTAATTTCACTAGAATTTAATTAGGAAAATCGTTAATTACAAATTAATAATAAATACGATTATTTTAAAAACTTAAAAGAAATTCTTCAATTAAAATTCAATTATTTTCAAAATTTTCAGTAAAAATTATTCAAAAAACTTCACTATTTTCAAGAATATTGAAATAAATTATAAATTCTTCAAAACAACTCAATTATTTTAAAGAATTTTACTAAAAATATTTCCAAGAATTAAATTATTTTCAATACAATTTTAATTACATTTTCTCGAAAGAATTCAATTATTGAGGAAAAAGTTGATAAAATTCTTGAAATGAATTCAATTATTTTAAAATTTTTTTTATAAATACTTCACAAGAATTCAATGATTTTCAGTACATTAATTTTAAAATTGAAAACTTTTGAAAAGGAAAATTATTTCAAAAATTAGAAAACGAATAAGCAAACAGCGACTAACTCCAAACTGCGAACAGATTACTGGAATACAACGATTATTAATATAGAAGATAATAAAAAAAAAGATTAGAATAATCATTTTTAGGTAAAAAGAAAAAAATACTTTTGTAAAAATTATTTATAAATTTTATCCTTACTATTAGCAGTAGTAATCAATCATTTACAATTAATATTATTTCAATGTTCAGATGGTTGAAAATGAAAATTCAAAATTATGATACAGTATAAATAAAAAATTGAATTTTACTCACATAATCTATTTAACAGTAATACTGACAATTCTAATGTCATCATAAGGTTTGTCTGTTTTCGGATTTGTTTTAACTTGACTAATATTCTGTACAACTTCCATTCCTTTGACAACTCTGCCAAAAACCGTGTGTTTATTATCCAACCACGACTGAAAATAAAATTCAATTTTAATCACAAGAGTATAAAAAATATAAAAAATGTACCCAAAAAAAAAATAATAACAAACATACCGTTGGCGTGAGTGTGATAAAAAATTGACTTCCATTCGTATTGGGTCCGGCATTTGCCATACTAAGCGTATAGGGTCTATCGTGCTTTAAATGTGGTTTAAATTCATCTTCGAATTCACCGCCCCATATACTCTCGCCACCAGTTCCCGTCCCAGTTGGATCTCCGGTTTGAATCATAAATGTCTTCATGACCCGATGAAATATGTGATTATTGTAGTAACCATTTTTCGAGTGTACACAAAAATTTTCAACAGTCTTAGGCACATCTTTACTGAAGAAATTCAAATGAATATCGCCCATTGTTGTATGAACAATTGCATTGTCATAAATTCTTTGCATATTCGTGGCCTCTGTCGCTGAAATAATATCCTCCTTCGATGGTTTTTCATTGAACACATCACGATCACAATCTTGACTCTTTGTGTCCTCGGGCTCACGTCTTGTAAATAGATAGAAACGACTTTTTTTCAAAGCCGTACAAAATAGCGTTGGATCTGCTTTATTCAATTCTAATGTGGAATTTTCCGATGCTTCCATTTCTACACTTACAGCGCCCGCTGGTTTTTTTGCTCTTCCCTTTTTTTAAATATAATTAAAAAAATATTCGTTAATTTCTAAATTACAAAAAGCATAACATTTTACTTAAAACTATAAATTAAATTTTTCATATAACTATAAACATGAAGATGATCGACTGATAAAATCATTATTTCATATTATAAGAATTATTGTTACTGTAACTTCTACAAAATTATTTTCCTCAATTCAAAATTCTTCTATAAATCAAATATTTTTAAATAATTTTTGAAAAAATATTTTGACAATTTTTAAATCCATTTGTTTACAATTCAATTTTACGAAATTTCAATTATTAGTAAATTCTTCAATAAAATTATATATTAAAAAATAACAACTTCAAAAAATTACAAAAAAAAAATTCAATTAAACATTTTGAAAAAATTAATTTTACAGAATTTTTAGTTAAGATTTAAATTTTCAAAGATTTTAATTTGAAACCTTTTCAGAATAAATAATAACAATTCTACAGAAGAATTCCATTATTTCTAAAAATAGTAATTGCAAAAATTCAATTATTTTCAACAAGATTTCAATAAAATTTCAGGAAAGAATTCAATTATTTTTAAAAATTTAAATATCCTTGCAAAAAAATTCAATTATTTTCAATAAAATTAAACTAAAAAATCCAATTTTTATCTTAATTCGTTATAAAATTTTTCAAAAGATTTCAATTATTTTCTAAAATTGAAATGAATTCTTTAAATAAAAAATTGTTTTTTTAAATAGTAAAATTCTTTGCAAAACTCCAATTATTTTCAATACAATTATAATAATATTTCGTGAAAAAATTCAACTTTTTTTAATTTTTAATAATTTTGTATGAAAAAATTCTATTATTTTCTAAAAATTCACGCTATAATGCTTTTAATATTCAATTATCTAAAATTTTAACTAAAATTCATTTTTAAATTTATATTATTCATAAAAATAATTGAATCATTGCGAAAAAATTTATAAAAAAATTTGCAAATCATTTAATTCTTGCAAACAATTTTATCAAAAAATTTGATAATTGAATACCTTTGAAGAATTTTTTTTATTTCTTTAAAATAAAATAATAATAATAATAATTTCTTTCTTTTGTTCAAGAATTTTATTATAATTTTTGAAAATAATTGAATTTTAAAGAAGAATTTTATTCTTTATAAAAATAATTGAGATTTTGATGAGAATTTAAAAAAATGTTTGAACATAATTGAATTTTTGCCAAGAATTTTATTACTTTTGAAAATAATTGAATTTTTCCAATCATTTGTAACTTCTCAAAAATTTTTCAAATTATATAGTTAAATTTACGAACTTTTTTTGCTTTTTCAATTAAATTACGAACTTTACAGAGCTTTTTTTTAAAAAAAAACTGACTTTTACTAACTTTAAACAAATTTATGGACTTTTACGGTATTTACGGACCTAGTTCGAGCCTTGCAAAAAGGATAAAATTAAAAAAATTGTTGAAAGAAATAAAAAGTATAGAAGAAAAAAGTTCCTTACTTGAAAAAGTGCCAAGTGCATAGGACGAATATTCTCCGGTTTCGCCAAAACCCTAATACATCGATTGGTGTAAATATTTACGAGTTTAATTCCAAGCATTGTACTGTAAAGAACGATATAGCCAGATTCGTCGAATACAATGTTCCCGAGATTCGCTTCTGTTTTGTCCAACTCCCTCTCAACAGCCATTCTATTCAAAAATAAATAATAAAAGTTTAATAATCAAATAATCAATAATAAAATTTTGAATTTATTTATTTGTTTTAAAATTTTTAATATAATTTATCAATCAACTAGGATCGACTATTTATTTATCAATTTATTGTCATCGACTTTAAATGAATATAATTTATAGTCATTAGAAGAGAAAAGAATTAAAAGTTCCATAAAATGAATATCGTACCTACGACCGAATTCCATGTTCGGTAATTGCAGTGTTGTTTGCTGAAGTTCCGTGTATCTTTGAAGACTCTCGTCAAATACACGATACAATTTACCGGTGAGAAAATGAAATATTCTCACACGTCTATCGCGATTGAGCGAGGCGAATTTCTTTCCATCTGGAGATATTGCCAAACCACAGGGGTATGTTTTATTCTTGGCAAATTCAAATAAATCCGTATCTAATTTCGAGTCGAATTTAACACACTTTGGAAATTTGTACTCCAATTTTGGTCCTGTCCAATACTCCAATATTCCAGCTTTGTCAACCGATATACATGTTTCGTAGATTGCGTTGTACTGTAAATTAGAATAATTAGAATTTACAAGCTAATTTGTCTTTAATTGTAAAATTATTCGAAAACATCAATAACTTGATTTTTAAATAAATAATTAATCATTCTTATTTTTACGTAGAAATTAAGATTTTCAAAACATTCAAATTCAAACAAGTATTTGTTATAAAACATGAAGATATCGATTGCTCCGAGTCGAAGACTCGGATAAAATCATAATTTTATATTACATATAAGAATATTGTTACTGAAACTTCACCAAAATTATTTTCATCATTTCAATTCAATTATTATTTTCTATAATTTTTAATTAAATTTAATTACAAATTTTTTATTTACAAATACAAATTTTTGAATAATATCATAATAAAAATTTTAAAAATTTTAAAAATTTAATATAATTTAATATAAATAACAATCTTTGGAAGAATCTCATTATTTTTATAAATAGTAATTGCAAAAATTCAATTATTTTCAACAAAATTTCATTAAAATTTCACGATAGAATTCAATTATTTTCTAAAATTTTAATAGATCCTTCGAAACAATTAAAATACTTTTTTAAAAAAATTAAAAAAAAAAAAAATTTTTTTTTTTTTTTTTTTTTTAAAAATCCTTGCAAAAAATTAATTATTTTAAAACAAAATTTAACCAAATAATCCAATTTTTGTCTGCATTCATTATAAAATATTTCAAAATAAATTCAGTAATTACTTTTTAAAATTCTAATAAATCCTTGGAATCAGAAATTATTATTTTAATAAATAGTAAAATATGAAAATAAAATATTAGAAAATTCGACGAGAATTTAATTATTTAAATTCAAAAATAAATAATTTATTCAATAATTGAACGTTTCTTAAACTTAAATTCTCATAAGGAATTTTATCAACAAATTTTTAAATAATTGAATTCTTTCGACGAATTTTAATAAAATTTTTAAGAATAATTACCTACATTTTTCAAGAAATTCGATTACAATTGTATTAAAAATAATTAAAATTCTGCCAATGAGTTTTATTATGTATAAAAATAATTGAATTATTGCGAAGAAATTTATAAAAAAAATTTGTAAATAATTAAATTCCAATGAAATTTTTATTATTTATGGAAATAATTAAATTTTTGCGTAGAATTTTATTAAAATTATTTTTTAAATAATTGAATTCTTTTAGAAAATGTTATTAAAACAGAAGATATTGAAAATAATTGAATTGAAGGAAATTTTTGAGAAGAATTTTATTATTTATAATAATAATCAAAATTTTGCCAAGAATTTTATGAAAATTTTTCAAAATAATTGAATTTCTGAAAAGAATTTTAATAATTTTGAAAATGATTGAATTTCTGCAATCATTTGTAATTGCTTCAAAATTCAATTTGTTTTAGTGTTTTTCATTAAAATTCTTCTATAAATCCATTGTTGTTAATAATTAATTAAATAAATATTAAAAAATTTAACTAATTTCAGAAAAATTTGAATTATTAAAATTTTTCAAAAATCTAAGTTCTTTAAAATGTCTAATTAAATTCATTCAAAATCGAAATTTTCTAAAATTTGAAATTGAAACCTTTTGAAGTTGATCTATTTATGAAGATTGTAAACTCAACTTTTTTAGAATTCAATTAGGTTTGAAATATTGAAGTAAAATTATTCATTAAATAATTTATAAGTAATTATTTTGATGATAGTTCTTCAAAAATTAAGTTATTTAAAAAGAAATTATTGACAGAAATATAAAAAATTGAAGGTTTTGTATTAGAATTCGTTGTAATTTCATAGTTTATAAAACAAACAAAAAGACACCAAAATTCAGAATTTTCTTATGAATTTTAAGAGTTTAATTTCCAGTACTTTTAGTAAAAAATCCCTAACTTTTCCCTGATTTTCCTGAACTGTAGTAACAATTATTTAATAGAATTAGTAATAATTAATTATAATTAATAATTTACCTTTAACGCTACGACTGGTTTTGTGTGCAGTTTCTCAAAAATATGCAAAGGTTCCGAATTTCCCACTGCATCGTAAACGTAAATTTTATTTGAATCCTGATCAGCTACTGCAACTGCAGGAATAGCATCGCCATCGGAATAAATCCACTCAGCGCATGAAGGTATGTAGTTTAAATTTAATATATTAATCATGTCTATAAAGAAAAAGAGAATCAACAAATACATAAAATAGTATCTCAAAATATTTCAACAAGTATTTAAAGTATTCTGTATAAAAGGATATTGTCCCTTTTATTACTTAAATAAATAAATAAAGAATAAATAAAATTAAACTTCAACTTATACTAAAAATAAAAAATTATTACCAAAATTAATTACGTCAAAGACTTTCATTGTTTTGTCATTACTAATTGTACAGGCGTGAACTCCATTACTGCTTGAACATAATGCGACAATGTTCGACCTATAGTGAGCACGATAATGTTTTACAAATTCTATCAGTTCTTCTTGTTTCTTCCAAAATTTAATACTACCATCACAACTACCAGTTATCACAAAATTCGTTCTGCTGAAATACGAAAAAAGATTTATTTTACGAGAACGATTATTGTAATCGTAGACAGATAAATTCTTAAGTATGAATTTAATTAATCAACTTAATTATTTAGTATTAATAATGAATTTAGTTAGTAAATTTAGTTTTAATTATGAACTTACTTTGTCAACAAAACGTGAGTAATAACATCTTTGTGCATATAACTTTTTTCGTAAGTTTCACTGCATGGCAGGTTGTCAACATAAACCCTCTCGTATTCCAAAACTAAATTATTTAAAAATAGGAAAAAGGATACAATTTTATAATAAAATTAGAGTAAATTACTGTATTTAATAACTCAGGAGTTTATAGGTTATGTTAGACAAACCTCGTTTTTTCTTCACAGGCGCAGCTTCTGACGGTAATGGACCAATCCATTCTTCTTCACTATCACTGTGTTCTCTTTTTTCACTACTCATGTTAAAAACAATAGTTTCTAATATTCTATTTTCTAAATTTAATAAACTTTTATTATTATTTGTGTTATTTTTGTTTACTATTGGGCACTCACGTCACATTTCCAGAAGCCCAGGGATGGGAAGCTAACTTTCAAAACATTACGCGTCCATAACGGCTGATTTACAATTTCCTAAAGCTCTATTCATCAATTCAGTCATATTTCACATCATCCACCGGAGACTGGACATTCCCAATTCTGATTTAAATTTAATGATTAACGTAGTGAACAGTAACCAGATTTCCGGTCAAAAGAAGGACTCGTGTCGCATGCAAACCCCATGCGGTGTCTTGCTGTTCTGTTGCGAATGGTGCATTTAATTTTAAATAACTGTCGGTGTTGCCTGTAAATTATCATTAAAGACTTTATTTCTATTATCACATAAACATAATGGCCGATTTAGATGATTTTTTCGCGAAAAAAGATCGCAAAAAAGCGAAGGGAAAAAAATTCACAACCACCGAAGAGATAGCAAAAAAATTGGAAGAAACTGGAAAGCGTATTGAAAAACCAAAACCTAAAGAAAAACCAACAAATCCCGAGGGTGAAGAAGTACAGCAAGTTGAGGTAATTTGTTTATTATTCGGTTAGAAAAGAAAAAAATTATCTTTTATCATTTGTAACCTCATTTCGAAATACCATTAGAAAGTGGATTTCGGCCATTGCCATGTTTGATCTCGCAAACGTCACTCCGAATTGTCGAGAAATCGACACAATTCAGAGGAGACCCCCTCATGGAACGATCATTGAAAATTTTTACTCAACCTAAAGCCGGTTGTTACATAAGTTTTCAGCTACTTTCAAGTTCTTTAAAACAAAAAAATCCTTAATTTACCCATTGGATATGTTTTTACTTTAGTCTATTATTCCTTTTAATAAATTAATTTTCTCCCCTTTAAATTTAATCAAAATTATTATTTTAATATTTTTTTTTGAGAATATAATATTAATTATGTGTAAATAGTATTTTTCTACTATTCAATAATTATTAATTCTAGCGAAAATTTCAATGTTTAGATTACAAATCGATAAGGTAAATTTCACATATGTTTAAAAACCATTTTTTTTACCGAGGAATATTTTACAGGAATATTTTTTACAAATGAAATTTTTACTCCAGTAAAACTTGAATTCTATTTAAAACTTGATTTTGTAAATTTATTGCAAATATATTGTAAATTCAGGGTTGCCACAGGTCAGGGAATTCAGGGAAAAGTCAGGGAAAGTAAAATTGGTCAGGGAAGTCAGGGATTTTTACTAAAAGTACTGGAAAAATTGAATTTTTAAAATTCATGAGAAAACTGATTTTTTTTTCTTTTTGCCATGTAAACTATGAAATTACCACAAATTTTAATACAAAACCTTCAATTTTTTCTATTTCTGACAATAATTTCTTTTTAAATAACTTAAATTTTCAAAAACTATCATAAAATTATGACTTATAAATTATTTTATGAATAATTTTTACAATTTTCATAAATACTAGATTGATAGAAGAATTTTAGTTAAAAATACTTTTAAAAAAATTGGATTTTGAAAGAGTTACAAATAATTACAGAAATTCAATTATTTTCAAAAGTTACAAAAATTCTTCGCAGAATTTCAATTATGTTCAAAAATTTAAAAAAAATTCTCATAAAAATTACAATTATCTTTATAAATAATAAAATACTTCATCGACATTCAATTATTTTTAAAAGTTTTAATAAAATTCTTGACAAAATTCCACAGGAATTCAATTATTTAAAATACAAAATTTTATAAAATTTTTCGAAAAATATCAATTATATAAAAAGATTTTTATAAAATTTTTTCAGGAATTAATTATTTTTATAAATAATAAAATTCTTCACCGAAATTCAATTACTTTTATAAACTTGAATAAAATTCGTTGTAAGAATTCAATTATTTATATAAATAATGAAATTCTTCACAGAAATACAGTTATTTTTATAAATTTGAATAAAATTCGTTGAAAGAATTAAATTATTTTCAAAATGTAATAAAATTCTTCGCTAAAATCCAATTATGTTCAAAAATTAAAAAAAAAATTCTTGTTAAAATTCCAAGTAACTTTATAAATAATAAAATTCTTAGGAAAATTTAAATTATTTATAAATAATAAAACTCATCGCAGTATTTTAATGATTTTTTATACAATATATATATTTTAATTAAATTCCACGAAAACTGTAATTATTCTTAAAAATTTTATTAAAATTTGTCAAATTAAATTCAATTATTTAAAAATTTATTGATAAAATTCTTTATGAGAATTCAATTTTAACGCAAACATTCAATAATTCAAAAAATTATTTATTTTTTAATTTAAATAGTTGAATTTTTCTAGAATTTTCTAATAAAAAAAATGGATTTAAAAATGAATTAACGAATAATCGATTTATTTATTATTTATGAAAGTAATTGAATTATTGCAACGAATTTTATTACATTTTTTTTAAATAATTGATTTTTTCTTTGAGAAATTGTACTGCTTGTAAAAATAATTGAATTCTTGCGAAGGATTTTATTAGGATTTTTGTAAATAATTAACTTATTTTGGATAATTTTATGGTAATTTAAATTATTACAAAACATGGAAAAGGCGATCACTCCGAGTCGAAGACTCGGAGAGATCGCCTTCTTCATGTTTTGTAATAATATTCTTATAAGTTGTTGAATTTCAAAAAGGTTTGAATTTGAATGTTTTGAAGAATTTTAATTCCTACAGAAAAATAATAATGATTAAATATTTATTTAAAAAAGAAGTTATTGATGTTTTTGAATAATTTTACAATTAAAGAAATTTGTAAATAAATGTAATAGAACATTTTTTCTTGATTATCTAATAATTTTTAGAGAGAATCAGAATATTCTTTAGGGTCAGGGAAAAAGGGAAAATTTTTTCTGGAAATCAGGGAAAAGTCAGGGAAAAATAAAATTAAATATTTGTGGCAACCCTGAAATTGATTGTAAATTAATTTTTTTTTATGTAAATTTTTCTATAAATAGGAGGAAGATGAATGGAGAGAATTTGAGGAGGAAAAGAAGGATTATTCGGGATTGAAGATTGGAAATTTACAAGTAACCGAATCGACGGATGCTGAATCGGACGATGGCCGAGGTACAGGTGATAATAGTTCGGATGGAGAATCAGGAGAACCCGGCAACAAACACAGTGGACCTTGGAAAAAGCCTGAATTACCACCACAAACAGAAGTTGAACCCGAAGTCCAACAGAAACCAGAAAAGCAAGTCACCAGCAGTAGTTATAAAGCTCCGCATTTAAGGAATCAATCATCATCAGTAAATAGTCCGCGACAACGAGCAAGGAACATTGCACCAGATATTAAGAGCGAGGAATATTTTCCAAGTTTAAGTTCAAAACAGCAACAGAGTAATGAACCTTCCGGACCATGGGGCGTCAGACGGTAATTTTTTTACATTAAACGATTTTTTTTTTCTAGTCCACTTTATTAATTAATTAATTAATTACCTAACTAACTAATTAATTAATTAAATAATAAATCAATTAATTAAGTAAAAATAAATAAATTAAAACGCAATGTTCACTGTGTTAATTTATTTTCATTATACAATGTAATATTATGCAAATTTTTATTTTCATATATCAACTTTAATTTTTAAATATGATTTAAGATTTAAAATATAAAAATATTAACTAGCTTTAATATTAATTAGCTTTAAACTGCGAACAGACTACTGTAATTGAATTTTATTCAATTATTAATTTATACTTTAATTCAATTATTAATTTACTTTAATTCAATTATTAATTTACTTTAATTCAATTATTAATTTAATTTACTTCAATTATTAATTTAACTTAATTGAATCATTCATTTTATTTTATTTTATATTTAAAATTGATTTTAGATTTAATTTGAATTAATAGTCTTTTTTCATATTCAAAGTTAGGAAATAATAAATGAAACAATTTAAATAATTACAGGAAACGAGATGATAATACATTTGAAGAAGTTCGAAATAAAGGAAGCAGTAGAACGATGACTGTACATGAAACACAATCACAAGGGCCAAAACTTTCTTTGGGCAATAAATATGGAGCATTATCACAAGATCAGAGCTGAAAGTGACAAAATTTGTCTGATTACATGATAAATAATCAATTCGTCATTGCCTCGCTCCAGTTTGCGGCCCAGTCATGCTACAAAACAAAACAAAATAAACTTGATAGGCTAAGCTTTCGTGTGTAACGCCTTAACATTTACATCCCCCCTTTTTACACACCTTTTATATCTTGGATGTACATACATGTAGCTCTTGTGTCTTAAATGTACAACCTTGTTTTTCTTTTTAAAAAACAAAAACACAGTCAAATTTCACCTTCGTCCAAATAAGACTGTTGCTTCTTTGGATATTTTTTTCTTTTTTTTACAAAAAAGTTTCTAAAACGCAGTTTTTTTTAAATTTCGAAACACTAGCCTAGAATTGAGATAAAAGAGCATTTTTTTATTAATTGTGGGAATTCAGATCAATTGCAAATTTATATTCTCTTTATCTCTCTTTACGAAAATTTGCAATTCAAAATCAATGTTAGTCAATTTTTCAAATTTTATGACCGATAAAATTGCAAAGAAAGAAATGTACTTTTTGTTTTGCGAGTGAATTTCAATTTGCACATTTTTGAACAATCACACTTGGGAAAAAAAGAGAAGAATATTATTGTTGAGTCGAAAAATTTTTCGTGAATTCTCATACAATTGAAAATTTTTTTTTTCTTTCTCTGAACGCCGTTAAACATTATTAAATAGTTAAATAAAGGAAATTATACGAATATAGAAAAGGAAATATTCGAGGCTGGGCTTCGAATTTGTAACAAGTCTTAATTGAATTGAATTAGGGGAAAAGAAAAGAAAAAAGAAAAATCGAGTAAAGAATTTGTAATTTTGTTGATGCTTGTTTAAATAATTTTTTCTTTAGTGTAAGTTTCCTTTTTTTAAGTGGCACTGGTGTGTTGTTTGTGTGAGACTAGCGAAGAGATTGTTTTATGAAAAAACTATTTTTGGGGTGTTATTTGCATAGAACATTTTCAAGTGGTGTACGAAGTCTCAGGCCAAGATTGGAAATATATAGGAAATGAAAATTTGTAATTATTTATGTGAAAAAAAAACTGAAAGAGCGCCTATTTATATTAAGGGAGAAAAAAAAGTAACTGGATAATCTTCCTATCAATTAATTGCATTGGCCAATTTTTTTTTCTTTTTTTTTAAATAATAATAATTTATTATTCTTTTGCGACTATTTGCATTTGTAATCCAAATTATTATTTGTATCGTGTACTATGTGTTCTCATTCTTTTTAAATTATGTATTTCTAATAGAATTTTCAAAAAAATCCAGTACTCTTTTTACACCGAATTTGTCGATATTGCTTTCTTTTTTTTCAAAAAAAAAAAAAAAAACGATCATTCTCGAACTGAATTTCTGATTTGTCGGTTCACGTTAATTTTTGTTATTACGGGGTTTTTGAATTTTTTTTTCAATTTACTCCAGTTGAGTGAAAAACGACAGAATGCCAGAAAGTGCGAACGAGTGTATGTGATGCAAGCATATGTGACGAAAAATTCTCAAATAAACTATCAAATGTAAAATAATGTCTTTTTATAAAAAAGCGAATGTTAAGAACACGTATATAATCCTATAAATTATAATAGAAAATGAATAATCAGGTAAAAGTTAAATCGTCGAAAGATCTTTTTCAATATATAGGCTGAAGGAAAATTTATACCTAATGGGGTTTTTTTAGTAGTCAATAAGTTTGACTGGTTCAAAAAATATTGAATTTATAATTGTTTAAAGAGGTTCTTTATTTAACAAACAGGTTTATTAACATTATTTTTCTGTAAACAATTTTGATTTATTAAAAGAAATTTCAACCTGATGAAAATCTTTCTTTTTCGTAAGTTGAAAACCTTATTTCATTTTTCGTTTATTTGAAAAATAGTCTCACTTTCTTAAAAATTAGTTATTGTCTTATTTAAATATTTTGTTCTGTGTATTTTCTTCAAGAAACATCTTCTGGCTTGGAGAATTCATTTTCGCTGTAAAAAAAAGTAGATTTTATTAATTTCCAATGCGAAAATTATCTAAAAATAAATAAATTGATATGAACGTGTTATACAAAGATGAAAATTTTATTATTATTTGTGTAATAAAAAAAATAAATGATTACCATGATTAATTGGCAGTGGTGAAAATAAGAAAAGAAAGAAGCTAAATATCATGCAACAACTTCTTTTCGATGATTATAAGATGGATCCCGAAGGTACCTTTCTCTGTACTTTAAACCATGACTTCCATTATTGCTGTAAGACGAAAACATTTGCTGTTCGAGCAATTCGGTTTTAAAATTTGGCAAAAAATATATCCACGCTTTTATTAAGCTCGTGTCCTAAAAATTAAAAATCAGATGCATTTAAAAAAAAACGTTATACTAATTATAAAATCAGTAAATTATAGTGTAACCCTTTTTATTAAATAATTTTATTATGATTTTAATTAAAATAATTTATAAATTTAAAAATTTCACATTTTTATAAAAATATAAACACATAGTCACCTCATTTAAAATTGTATCCGAAATATTTTGATCCTGTGAATCCAGGAGAATGTGTTCTTCCGTCCGTAGATAAAAATCAGGATGTTCCTCTAATTCATCTAATTTTTTCAACATCTCAGTATCAACGTCATAAACTTCTCCTATTATTTGCTAAAAAATTATTAATAAACGATAAATAAATTAGAAGAAATAGAAAAATTTCCCTGACAATTTATTAACATTAAAATTATTTTCCCTGACCAAATTTTTTTTACAGGAAAATATGAAAGTTTCCAAATAATGAGTAAACTTAATGAATTTTAATAATTTCTAAAAATTATAATTATAGCCCCACGAGAATTAAATTATTTTCTACAATTTTCAACTAAACTTTAGGATTTCTAAATCAATTATTTTAAATAATTTTTCGAAAGTTCTTCTAGTATTCAATTATTTAAATAAAAAAACTCAATTTATTATAATAATTATAACTGTCTGTGTTTCTTTCTTAAATTTAAGGTAAAATATTTTCAAAAAATTAAAATAAAGAAATTGTTACAATTAATTTTTAAAAAAATATTTTTCAATAATTTTTGAAAGATTTTAGTTTGTTTAATTAATATACAATTGAAAAATTTTCAACCAATTGAAATTTGGTAAAATCTTTTAAAAATAATTGAATTTTTGAAAAATATAAATAAAAATAATCAAATTTTTAAAGAATTTTAATTATAAATATTTATAATTTTTTAATAATTGTTTGAAAATAATTGAATTTCTTAAAAGAATTTTTGTATAATTTAAAAAACTAATTAATTTTTTGATGAATTTTAATTAAAAATTTTTAACATGATTTTTTTCTCCAAAATGTTAAAAATTGAAAATATTGAAAATATTAAATTTTAAAAAATTAGAAGCTAATTTTCATTAATTTTCATTTTTAAATTTGCCATTTAAAGATTTTTTATTAACATTTTTGATAGTTCAATTATTTTCCATATTTGTAATTAAAATTCTTCAAAAGTTGATTTTCCAAAATTGTAACAAAATACTTGAAAAAAATTTATTATTTTCAATTAAATTTTAGAAAATTTCAATTATTCAAAAAGATTTACAGATATATTTGGAAAATTTAATTATATCTTAAAAAAGTGATTCAAAAATAATTTTTGAAAGATTTGTTAATGAAGTTATTTTTCGCATTTTAAAAATAGATATAAGTTGCATTTTCTACTAAAAAATGTGGTATTTTGTTGCAATATTTGGAAGAAAAATCGAAAAAGTCGTAATTTTTTAAAGTAAATCGAAAAAAGTCTTAATTTTCTTAATTTCCCTGCCAAAAAAATTTTTTTCTGACTTTACTGACATGTGGCCTCCCTGTACCTAAATAAACAATAAAAAATAAATAAATTAGAAGTACAAAATACTCCAAAAATAATTGTACTGGTTAATTTTGTAAACAAATATTAAAAGATAAATGTAAAATACCTTTAAAATTCTAATGTAAAATTATCAATTAAGATAATTAAACTCACGTGACCAATTCCGGATTTTTTTAATAAAAAAGGAACATTAAATTTCGTTGCAATTACTAATGGATATTTGGTAACTGTTTTTCCAGAACCTAAAAACTTTGCATAGCCGTTCGTTGTGTTTTCAATTAGTTTATGATTCGGTTCTCCTCTTTTCAACGTTCCATAAACAAATACTCGGTAAAGAGAGTTCTGGAAAAAATTGCAAAGTACATTATCAGCAAGTGTAAATAAAAAAAAAACGTAGAATATTAATCTGATAAGACAAGAAGTCATTATTATAGATATCGTATTGCGAAGTTATAATAAATTCTCTAATGAAAAAAAACAGTTTATTTCCTTTTAAAGAAACACAATTAATTTGTTAAAATATAGACACAGAATTATAACATAATAGGTAATTAAAATAAATAATTTTCAAACCATTTTGACAGTCCTTATTGGTCCCAAATTCCATGGAAGTAGTCCGATGATTTTTCAATAATTGACATTTAAAAATAAAGGCACTTTTACAAAACTCGTTTCTATCCACCAATTACAATCATTTTCGTGTCACGTTTTAAAGGCGCTTACACACCTTACTTTTTCTCGCAACAATGAAAACAAAAAGCGTCTTCCTGTTAAATACATTTTAATGAATAAACAACAATCGTAATTTATGATAAACTCCAAAAATTAGTTTTTAATTAGAAGATGAATTTAAAAACGAATTTTAAATCCCCTCCACAGAATTACAAATGTCCAGCAAGATCCCTGCGTTTTTAGACAGTAAACGACGCTTAATCTTAATTACATTGGAAAAAAGTGCAATGTGTATGAACATTAATTTTATAATATCTGTCAGTTCGGTTTCACTCCAATAAGACACAAATTTATTTATTGCAAAAAGAAAAGAAGATGAAACATGTTAAAGTTATTGTTTAATGATTATAATTGATTACGCCTCCCATGCTGTATTTGCACTGTGTATCCAATTAGTCATAACCACATCTAATAATTAGGAAAAAGCAACATTTTTTTACTTTTAAAAATGAGTAAAAAAAATATATTTCTGAAAATTACTAAAGGAAAACCCGATAAAGTAGCAGAGGGTTTAAAAGAATTTTATGATCTTGTAAGTTAATTTTAAAAATAAATAATTCAATCATTTAATTCATAAATTGTCAAGGAAATATTTATGTCGAGGCGGGATACGACACGTCATAGACCATAATTTTTTCATGTCAATCTCTGATTTAATTTTAAGTGACAAAAAAGTTCTGCGAATATTTTTTAATAACAAATCATAAAAGTATTTCTAGATATTAAAAATTGATAGATAAAAAATTGATGGATAAAAAATAAAATTAAAAAGAACGAAAACTGGAGAGTTTACGTAGTTTTTACGAATTAAAATATAAGTAAAGGGTTTTTTCTTCTGAATTAATGAATATGTGATAAAAAAAAGTGACAATGGTTTTTAAAAATATGAATTAATCGAAAAATATAATTTACAGTGTGAAAATATGTCAGAATTTCCAATTCTAAATGGACTTAATTTACGACTGGATGTTTGGAAAACATTATTATGGTATCTTTCAAATGATATTTATTCATCACTTCATTTACAGTGTTTAAGAACACTTCGTGTACTGAGGTCAGTAATTATTGAATAATTATTAATTATTAAATAAAAATTAAATCAGTTAAAATTGTACTTTGCTATTAGATAATTATTCGTTATAAATTTATAATCTGATACATTAATTACTTCAATATATTAAAGTTATTAAATATTAATTAAATATAATATGTTTATAATTTGTTTTTAGTCGTGACAAAACTGACTTGGATAATATTCTAACGTTACCAAATCTTACGTTTCTATTAACGATCGCAAATCTTTTTAAAGAAAATAAACAGAAATTCGTCTACGAACCAGGTAATTTTGTTTTATCTACTCTTAGATTGAATAAATTATAATTTAATTATTAATCACTAATTATTAGTGTTGGAAAATAAAAGGATTAATTATTAATTAAAATTCCTTTATTTATTGTAATTTCAGAAGTTATATTCGAGGGTCAAAAACTGCTCTGTAATATATTATTTAACAGTCCAAAGGTACAAGTAATGATAGGTAAACCCGACTATCTAAGATGTCTTATAGAACGTATTGAAAATCCCATTGAAAGTTTTACACAAGAAATGCGATTATTCGATATTCGAATATTATTCCTGGTAACTGCCTTCAATGAATATTCCAGAAGATTTGTTAAAAATGAATTCAAAGGCGATGTATGTCTTGCAAAAATTTTAGAAGACATTTCTTCTCAATATAATTCGAGTCCAATAAAGGTATTTATTTCATTTTCAATGATTATTAAATTAAATAATATTTAGAAAAATTGAAATTCTTTTTTTTTTACAGGAAGATGATGTTAATCTTGCTTGTGAAATTTTAAAAACCCTGTTTAATGTGTACATTCATGTCGAGGACCCCAGCGAAAAAGTAACAGAGAAATTTAAAAATTTAGTCTCCATTTTACGCAAATTAATTCTTTGTCAATGTGAGATAAAGAAGGAGGAACTTCACAGGTGACTTTTTACTTTAAAATTTGATTATTTAATTTAAAAAGTAAATTACTTGTTTTTAATCAAAAATTGACATTTTTTTTCTTTATTTCAGTAATATTGTTAATTTATTGACGGAGGTTCCGCCGGAAAGTTATTCAAATCTCCTACAACCTGTAGAAAGTGATAATTGTACTCATGTCTATGAGAACACGGACATGTCAGTTATAAAAGTTTTACTTCAACTTTTAGACATTAAATTAGAATATAAATTAGATTTGATAGAAAATATCACACCAGTTTTATCCTGTTTAATCAAATTAGTAAAAAGTGAACGATTAATGAGGAAATTTATGCGACTAGAGGTATTTTGAATTTTATTTTTTCCTTTCAAATAATAATTGAATATTTACAATTGAATTTTTTATTATTCATTTTTTCGTAGATTTTACCACCTTTAAAGGACGTAATGAAAAGACCCGAGGAAGGAAATACTACGAAAGCCAAATTGTGTCAGCTTCTAACATCGCCAATAACCGAAATACGAGATTTGGTTGCGGAGTTTCTGTTTATTCTTTGCAAAGAAAATGGTAAAAAAAATTGCTCACTGATATTTTAATTTTATAAATTTTCTATTTCTATTTCTTTGGTTTAACAGTTGATCGAATGATAAAGTACACGGGCTATGGAAATGCAGCGGGAATGTTTGCAAATAAAGGTTTATTGGGTCATCCGCAACCAAAGACTGATTACTCTTCAGAATCTGAGGACAGTGAAACTGAGGAATATTCAAAGTACAAAGAACAGTAAGTTTTTTAATAGTATTTTAAATTCGCTAATACCAGAAATTAAAAAACTATTTTCAAAAATTATAATCAAATTCTTTAAAACGATTCAATAATTTCCAATATCAAGTATTTTCATTAATTAACAATTTCCACAGGAATTCAAATTAATTTAGAAGAGCATTTTCAAAAGAATTTCGAAAAAATCAATCATTTAACAAATTTTTATACAATTCTTCACAATAATTCAAATATTTTCACTAATAACATTTTTCATGGAAATTCAATTTTTTAAAAAAAAATTTGTTAAAATTCTATGCAAGAATGCAATTATTTTCATGAATTATAAAACTCATCGAAGAATTTCAATTATTTTTAATACAATTTTAAATTAATTAATCGAAAAATTCAATTTTTTCCACAAGAATTCAATTCTTCTTAAACATTTTAAAAGAATTTTTCGCAATAATTCAATTATTTTCATAAATAATAAAATTCTTCTTAGGAATTCAATTATTTTTGAAAATGTTAATAAAATTCTTAGCAACTATTCAATTATTTTCATTAAATAATAATATCTTTTCAGAATCAATCCAGTCACGGGATGTTACGAAAAGCCAAAACCAAATCCTCTGGAAGGAATGAGCGAAGAACAAAAAGAATATGAAGTTATGCAATTAATAGGACTCGTTGATAAATTAACAAGGCAAATAATAATATGTTAATAACAATAGTTAATAGTACTGAAAATTAATAGTATCGAAATATTAAAAAAAAAATAATTATTTGAATCGTCAATATTTAAATTTAACAATGTCAATAAAAAAATTGATTATTTCTTTTAGAGAGGGAGTAGTGCAACCGTGTCGAATTGGCGAGGATGGAAAGCCAGTTCCAATAGAGCACGTCCTTGAATTACAAAATAACCTTCCAAAACAACAAACGACTTGTGATACATCAGACTCCGATTAATCAATAATATAAATTGTATTATATATTCTTTACTTTGTGGTTGTTTTTTTTTATTTACATACTATTTATTTTTGTAAATCCTGAAATTAACTTTCATTGAAAGAAAGAATTGTGTAGATACTTTTAATTTACTAAAAAAAAAGAATTATTCTTTAAAAATGAAAATAATAAATTAAGAATTAATAAGTATAATAACTATTAATTTTTAAATCCTTTTTATTGACAATAATAGCCGTGGAATATAATATTTATTTGAAAGTATACAACTATTGTTACTGTGAAAAATTTGTTTTAATTTACCATTTTTCACCTTCTGGAATTTTCGGTGGGAAAGCATTGAAGAAGAAGCTATCTGATTGCACTATCTGTAAAAAAAAAATAAATATTCATTAATATTTTTTTCATTTAACTGAAAAAAAATTGCAAAAGGCAAAGAAATTAATTTTTAAAATAAAAATTTTTTAAGTATGTCAAGTATACGTACATATGTAATGGTACCACCCAAAATTGAAAGACCTGCTACCAGTTGCATATTATATGTCTTTTGTTTTGCATCGTAATTCTTTTGCCAGGATCCCTTAGGAACTGGAAGTTGATTCATGTGAGCGAAGGCTTTCTCTTTAGAAGATGAGTCGTAAGATGAAAACCGTACTCCTGCAATAAAACAAATATTGAAAAAGATGAAATTAATTTTCAGAAAATTTCAGCCAATTTTAAACAAATTAACTTGATTTTTAATATCACCAAGATTATACTACAAACGTGGGTGAAGTGTTTTCTTTAGTCTGAGACTATTACATAACTTAGATTTCAACTCCAATATTTTACGTTTTACACTTTTTTTTTTATAAAAAATACGATCTCACAGCCAAGATATACATTAATATTAATTAATTAATATTTCATCAAGTGGAAGAAATTAATTTTATCAATCTTTATGGTGTCAAATATTATAAATTACCATTTTTGGATATTCTTCGAATAACAGTTCTGGCTGCATTCAACATTTTCAAATAAAATTTGAATTACTTAGAGCTACGAAATTACTTCTAAATAAAATTAAATCTTTAATTTATTATCCACTTTATTAGAAAAATGCCAGAAAGAAAAAATTTTTCTCCAACCAATTTTTAATCAATCAATCAACCATAGATCACAAATCACATGGATTACACAGTAAAACCCCTGTTGTTTCCACCTTTTTCTTTTTGGACAACTTTCATTGCGCAAGCACTTTCATATGTATCAGACTTTAATAAACACATTCCCAACCGTGTAATCAATTTAAATTTTTTTAATTTCCTCCTATTGGCTGAACTTATGAATAATATTGGCAACACTGTTAGTAAATAAAAATGGCTGGGAAGTTAAAAGTTTGTTCCTTATCAATGTGGTGAAAAAATAAATAATATGAGTTGAAAATTATAGAATTATGTTCTTAAAAACGTAGAATTTAAAAGTTAATCATATTAGTTTTAACAATTTACAATCATTAATTATAATTGAATGTAAGAAATAAAATAATTTTCTATTGTGAAAACATCTGGAGCTAGCGCCATAGTGTGGATAAGAAGCAGTCGAAAATAAGGATATTTTCGTTTCAAGTGTTCAACAGTAAGACATGAATTCCTTCTATTTTTAGACTGTGGCTTCGGTGAGTTTGTTCATCGAATCTCCTTCAGTTCCTGAACTGACAGCGTATTACATTACATTCTCTAATAGTCATTCAAATTAAAAAAAGAGTTTATCAAAAAAAAAGTTGATGTTCTTTAATTTTTTACACTCAAATTTTTCACTTCATTATTTTTGCAATAATTGTAATTCATTTGTTTTCCCTTTTTTTTACTTAATTGTTATGAAAAATATTACAGATCGAATTTTATTTAAATGGAACAAAAGCGATTAAGTTTCTACTCTTCCTTCTAAATATTAGGTTGCTATTTTTAGTTCTAAGAAATCTTATATACCAATTTGGATAATTCCTTTACACAAGCAAATAATGTTTTTAGAGTTTTTGAAAAATAATAATAAAATTTTTAATTTTTTACTATATTATGATTAGTATTAAACATGTTCAATAAATTGAAAAATCGAAAAAGCCATAATGGACTATTTTTAAATTGATGATAAATGGTTTCAACATTTAATTCAAAAATAAAATTTTTAACGCTAACATTATATTTGAATGTAAATATCTTTCGAAATATTTTCGACTATGACGAATCAAACTACGTATAAATGTTTAGATAAGTTTAGAGTAACTGTTTACAATTTTTGGCTTGTAAAATTATTTTATTTTTGAAAAAAAAAATGGAAAAAATTCCAGAGATGAAAGAAATTTTAGCAAATTTGCATAATTTCATTTTATGAAATTGAATACAAGACTTGTAAGGTTTCGAGTCGACATAAATTTGCTATTCATTCGTCAGGGACAAACCGATTAAAAGCCTCTTTTATATTCAAGTGTCTGCATATGTGTTACTTTTTTTTTACTCAGTTTGGCAAAATTCGTTGCCAAATGAATAAAATTAAGTATTTTCTATTTAAATTTTATTTCTCTTGAGGAATATAATTAATTTCTTCCTTTTGGCAGATAAATTATCAAAATGGTTGTGGGAGAGGCCAGTATACACAATATAATGGGGGGCATGGAAAGTACAGGAGGTGTACGACTTCATAATCATAAAAGAAAATTAAAACAAAGGTAAAATTTTGAAACAATATTTATTAATAAATATAGTTAATAATTTTTTGTAATGTTCTTTTGTAATCATTAAATTTTTTTTACTCGTAGGTTTGATATAATTAAAAAATTAGGTCAAGGAACATATGGCAAAGTACAGTTAGGAATAAATAAAGAAACCGGCCAAGAAGTAGCAATTAAAACAATTAAAAAATGCAAAATAGAAACTGAAGCCGATCTAGTCAGAATTAGAAGAGAAATTCAAATTATGTCCAGTGTTCAACATCCAAATATTATTCACATTTATGAAGGTATGTCAGCGCCTAATAATTAATAATTATTTTTGTGTTCAATTATTTTCAAAAATTTTAATAAAATTCATGGCAAAATTTCAATTATCTCTATAAATAATAAAATTCTTCTCTAAAATTCAGTTATTTGTAAAAATTTTTAAAAATTCTCGTCAAAATTTCAATTATCTTTATAAATAATAAAATTCTTCTCCGGAAATTAATTATTTTCAAGAAATTTAATAAATTTATTGGCAAAATTTTAATTATTTTTAAAAAATTTCCTAAATTCAATGATTTTCAATATCTATTATTTAAATAAAATTTTTCAAAAAAATTCAATTATTTACAACAAATTTTTAAAAAATTCTACAAAAACATTTAATTATTTTTATAAATAATAAAAATATCACAGGAATTCAATTATTTACAAGGAATTCAATTATTTTCAAATTTTGTTATAAATTTCTTCGTAATAATTCCATTATTTTCTTAAACTATACAGTTTTTTTTACAGAGATTCAATTATTTTCGTAAATTATTTTAAATTTTTTTAGGAATTCAATTATTTTCATAAATAATAAAACTCACAGCAGAATTTCAATTATTTTTAATTCAATTTTAATCGAATTTCTCGAAAAAATATCATTATTCTTAAAAATTTTAATAAAATTCTTCGTAGAAAATTAAAATTAATTTAAAAAATTTGTCGAACTTCAATTATTTTCCATATTTATAAAATTCTTTGGAAAAATGCAATTATTTAAAATACAATTTAAATAAAATTTCTCGATAGAATTAAATTATTTCAAAGAAGTTGAACAAAATTTTTTAATAGAATTTATTTATTTTTAAAAATTGTGATAAACTCTTTAGAAGAATTCATTTTCAAGAAATATTTAATTATTCAATAAATTATTTACTTTTTTACTTAAATAATTTAATTATTTCATGCTTTTATTTTCTAATATAATTATAATTAATTGAAGAATTCCCGAATAAATGAAATTTCGTGTAAAATTGAATTGTAAACAAATTGGATTTGAAAATTATTAAAAATTTAGTAATTTATAATAAATTAATTAATTATTATTAATTAATTATTTATTAATTTATAATAAAAATTTAGTAAAATTTAGTAAAGTAACATTTATTTTTTCTTCTAGTTCTTGAAAATAGAGAGAAAATGGTGAAATTTAGTAAGAGAATGAAATTTAGAAAATTTAGTAAAGTAGAATTTATTTTTTCTTCTAGTTTTTGAAAATAGAGAGAAAATGGTGCTAGTCATGGAGTATGCAGCGGGTGGTGAATTGTACGATTATTTGAGTCAAAGGAAAGTTTTAACTGAAGAGGAAGCACGACGAATATTCCGTCAAATAGTGACCGCGGTCTTTTACTGTCACAAACACAATATTTGCCATAGAGATTTAAAACTCGAGAATATTTTATTGGATCAAATTGGAAATGCAAAAATAGCCGATTTCGGTCTATCGAATGTTTTCGATGGGAAAAGATTGTTGAATACATTTTGTGGAAGTCCACTTTACGCGAGTCCGGAAATTGTCAAAGGAACACCATATCACGGTCCCGAGGTCGACTGTTGGAGTTTGGGCGTTCTTTTGTATACTCTTGTTTACGGTGCCATGCCATTCGATGGATCTAATTTCAAGAGACTAGTTAAACAGATCTCGTCTTCCGATTATTTTGAACCAAAAGTGCCATCTCGTATGTACAATAAATAATTTATAATTTTTAATATTGAAAAGAATTTCTAATTTTTAAAGATAATATTTAATTGTATTTATTAATTGTATTTATAAATTTAATTCAGATTTTTCTTTACAGCTGCGTCTACTTTAATAAAAGAAATGCTCACAGTGTGTCCAGGAACAAGGTCCGACATACAAAAAATTTGCACCCACTGGTGGGTAAATGAAACTTACGAAAAAAATTGTCTACTAATCGCCGAAGAATTGGCGGCTCAAACTCCAGTGCGTTTAGATTTATTGCTATCACTGGTTCCACAGTCGGCGAACGCTGACAAATTAGTTGTAGGTGAACATCAATCGGACGAAACAAATCTTCCAGCTGACACAACGTCTGAAGTTCAAATGCCAACGAGATCATATTCCGCTGATAATTTCATGGAATTCGAACGAAGTACTTCCACCGATGTAATGCGGGAAATAACAGACATCGAATCATCAAGACAAACGAATAATGGCGATGCGAAGAGAAAATTGGAAAGTACATCGTCAGTCGACGAAAATATGTCCGCACTGACAAAGCGAAAAGAAATTTTAAAAACAGAAAAAAATGATGACAAGTCCCAAACAGCAATGGATATTGACCAGACCACAAGCGAAGTAATTTCACCAACAATTGAAAATACAGAAAATACAAATGTAAAACACCCGGAAAAATTAACACCCGAAAATAAATCCGAAGGAGAAAATTCCAAACCAATAAAGCAGAATAAAATCACCGTCGATTTGACTGGAAAACACGTGATGATGGATTCGATAAAAGATAATAATCCCGAGCAAGAAATTCCGGTGAAGACTGTTAAAAAATTAAGAGATAAATCACATTCACTTGATTCGGCGTCAATAAGTGATGTGACAAAAGCCATTAAGACTGTGGAGCGACGACGTTCGAAAATTTTTGAAACCGCCGAAAAGTTCAATCAAATGTTGTCAAACGTTGAAAGTGAGAAACCAAAGAAAATTTTCATTCCCGGTGTGAATGTGGGTGGCGCGAAGCGAGCATTTGAGAGAAAAGCGAGTCTTAATTCTGGCAGTGTGCCAATTTCTACAAAGGAAAAAATAACATCGAAACTTGGAAAAAATTTAGATAAAAAGTCGGAGAAACCTACCGATGAAGAGAAGCTAAATACCGACAATGATTGTAAAATTGAGAAAAATAATACTTCTCAAGAAGAGAATACATCGAATTCCAGTAAATCTGATCCAAATTCAAAGCGAAATCTTATCATTCAATTGGGACCGAATGACTTGAGAGCGGCAACTGTTACAGTTTCGACACCGGTTGACACGAAATTGTCACCGGAATTGAAGCAAGATTTCCAACCGACACTGGTAAGTTTTCAGTTATTTATTTTCTTTTCTTCTTTCTGTAAAATATCTTTTACGGCACGAAAAAAAGGGGAGGAAAAATTATTAATTAAAAATTAATAATTTTACAGGTGAGTGATGTTGAACCAGTAAAAATAAATTCAACGCCGGAGAAGCCAAAGAAGAGCAGCAAAATGGAAATAACATTGCAAAGTACCGCTAAAGGTGCATCGCCGAAAACAATGAAAACCGAAATTATGTTAGGGGAATTAAAATCCCCGCAAAGTCCAACCTACAAAACGGAAATTGAAGCCAAGATAAACACCGCAGATCCACGAAAAATTCAAACACAACGTTCGGAAGTGGCTTTTCCAATTGCCGCCGTATCGCCACAAATTAGTGCGAGTTCGAGTTATGACGACAAAGAAAAACCCACCATTGCTTTCAGAAAGGAACGCAGTGTTCCTATTCAGGTCAGTGAAATAAAGAAAACAAAAAAGCTAAATTAATAAATTTCACTTTGAGGCCAACAAGTTTTCTGAAAGTTTTCTATTTCAAAATTCAATTTTAATAATTTCAATTTTAATAAGTGGAATTTTTATTTACAGATGGACCTTTCTTATAATCCAAGTGAACAGAAGAGAGCGCCATTGAAATATCCATCAGCAGATTATTCGGAATCATTTGAGCGTCAATCGACAATTGATTCTGATACGGACAATACTTCAAAATCTGTCATTGGACCCGAGCCAATTAGAAAAAGCCCTAGGGAGTATATCATTCCTATTGCCGTCGAAGGTGCTAATTATATAACACCACGGGCCGATAGTGTAGATATTGAGAGTAAAAACAGTGCGTCAAGTTTGTCCAGTCTGTCAAGATCGAGATTCGGAAAGTCCAGGAGAATCAGCTCTCTACTCTCTGACGCCAGTGAGGACGATGAATCTCCATTCTTGTCACTCAGTAGGCAAGTCTCACTTCTTCACTTCAAATATACAATTAAAATTTATTTCTAAAATTGAATTAATTCATAGTAACGACAATATTAGTTTATTAATATTATTAATTAACATCGTCGTTAATAATTAATATTAATTAATATCAAAAAATACTTTATTTGTTAACAAATCGCGGAACTAATTCAATAAAATATTCCAGGGACAGCGATGATCTGTTCCAACGTCACATGCATCGTTTGAGAAGTTCACGACCCAGAAGACAACCTTCCGATCTCGCTGATAGTTTATCGTCCGGTGAAGAAGACGACGACGATGGTTTTGAACTTCTCACGGCAGAAAATTTATTCTCAACACTATTGTCACGAGTCCGAAGTCTCACGCAGAGATTAAATGTGGACGACAATAAGAATAGTCTCTTCCCCAATTCTCGATTACTTGGACGTTTCGATTCCAATCCATCGCAGTCATTTTGGGGGACACGCGAACCATTGTCAAGGTACGTTTCCAAATTTTTTTTCCAAAGAAATTCTTTGAAATTTATTTTGTATATTCAAGATATTAAAATAATAAAAAAAATTCTTCTTTTTTAAGGCGAATCTCAGAATCACAATTCCAACGATCGTCGAATTGTGACATGGACCGATTGAGTCGTAAAAATTCATTTGGAATGATGAATCCAAAATATCAAGATAGTCAGACTTCACTGGGAGAATCGTCCAAGGAGAGTCTCTCCTCCTCGGGGAGAAGTAACACTTTGCCAAGGGGTGAGTCTTCAAATAAGATTTATCAATTCTTTTCTTTGTAATAAAATTAATAAAAAATTAAATTTACAAACTATTGGTAATTCTATAATGAATATCGTAAATAATTACAACTGAATTAACAATGACCGAACAAGATAGTTCAGTAACGTTTTTATAAACTAATAATTCGTTGTTTTGATAACAAAACAACAAATTTTGAGAATTTTTTACACCTTCCAAAATAACTGTACAAAAACAGTGTGGAAATTTTCTACTAAATTCTTTCAAATAAATGGAAAATTCGAAATGAATTATTTATTTACAAATATAAATCAATACTTTTGTAATATTTTATGTTAATTTTTAGGAAATACAAATACTTTAGGTAAAGAAAATTTTTCCAAAAGCACTTAGAATATTTATTTTATTTTAGTTTTTTTTTCCCGAAAAAATATAGAAACAAAATATTAATAAAAAGACAAATAATATGACTGTTTTGAATTAAACACTCGGTAAATTTTCGGCATCGAATCGATAATATCACAGCATTTAAGGACAATACGGATAAAAAAAATCATAAACATCACAGTCCTGTAAATGTAACTCAAAATTAACTGTCCAACGACTTCAAATACTAAAAACCCACGTCTAAATTACAATTTCATTGAGACGAGTTTTTCAAATTTCTCTCCTAGCTAACAAATTTTTTTCTCTTACAAAAATAAAGTGAAAAAATAAAGTACGTGTCGATTCTAATCAATTCCCGCACTGTTGTTAAATTGTGTCTTTAGACAACGACGACATTTGACAAGAAAAAAGACAAATACAATTGTGAAAAAAAATTCCTCACTTGAGAAATATTTGTGAAAGTGGATATTCATTATAACAAAATAGTAATACTGTAATAGTAACAAAATTATTAAAAATCAAAAAGAAAAGTAAATAGTAAACGAAATCCAAAAACAAAATTAAAACATTAATGATTATTTTTTCAATTAAAAAGAAATTAGTTCTGTTGTTATTATAGTTTCTCTATCTTATTAAAAAAAAATTATATTATCTTATTCTTAAATTTAGTGTAGATTTTTTTGAAACTATTATTTCAATTTTTGTAGAAAAATTTTCAACAATATAGAAATGTATTGTATATTTTTTCAAATATTACTGACGAATAAAAAGTACTGACGATTTTTTATCACGGTTGTTACAGCGACTGTTCGAGTGACTCTACATAGGCGAGGCGACGGTAATTCCCCGTACACAAATCAAGTTAGGTGCCACACTGAATCAACTTAGCAACTCTCCACTCATTATTGGCTACATTTTTATTATAACAACAAATTTAAATTGTAGACATCTTGTAATCTAAAAATATTTGTTAATATTGATTTTAATATTGTAATATAAATAAACCTATGGAAAATAAAAAATATTTAATGAGAGACGCTCAATGTTTAAATGTAATTTTTAATACCTAATCTTAATTTTTTCTCCCTCATAGAGAAAGGATTATATTTTGTATTTGTCAATCAACTTAGTTAAAAATTAAATTATTTCATTGTCATCTTTTCTTAATTTTTTTTCTTCCTCTTTTGATCTGTAAATTTTTGTATTGGTATTTTTTTTAAGATAAAAATTTTGTAAATATCAAATTATCTTTAAGTAATGAAAGAAAAAAATAGTTTATTAATCTAAAGAATTGTCCCTTAGCCAGATATTATCGATTAGTGCCGAAAATATATTAAATAAAATTAATAATTTCTAAAAAAAAGAAGAACTCAAAATTATACCTTTTTTTCTTTTTCCAGATAATTATCACGATAATTCAACAGAAGAAGCACAGTTCAATGAATCACTGGATTACAATTTCACACCAAGTTTAACTCGTCGATTAAATAGCAAATTCGGTCAACAATCAAGAATTCATACGGGAGTATCGCCCTTCAATTCACCCGAGAAGAATTACCAGCAAATCTTGACAGATACGTTAAAATTGAAAAAAGATTACGATAATGAAAATTGTAATACAAATTTAAAACAATCGGGCGAAAGAAGTGAAAGAAGTCTTAGAAGAAGTACAAGTTTACTAGAACCAAGAAACGATCTCTGTGGATTTAATTTCGCCTCATTGAGAAATACCGACAGCTTTTTCGATAATCGAGAAAAACTTTTATCATCAAGATGGAAAACTGGCGATAGAGAATATAGACGAGGTTTCAGTGTCGGTAGAATTTCAGAATTTCCAAATATGAACACTGACAATAATCTTGAATCGAATTTATTTAACGATTCAATATCGGCGTGTGACTCGAGTACAAATTTACACGATTCAGCTTCAAGTCGTTCGATAATGTCATGTGAATCATCGGCAGCAAATTCATTTTCAAATATTCAAGATCATTCATCGTCATCCACTTTGCCATACAAATCGTCGAAACCTTCACGAAATTTCGAAATTCGTTTACTCGCCGCCGAGAGTCTTATAAAAGCCTCAAAATTCAAGAATCTCGATGATCCGAAATTAGATTCAAATTCAAAATTCGAAACAACAAATGCAAAATTTAAAAATCACGATGACTCGAAATTCGATTCGAAATTTGATACAAATACAAAATTTGATACAAATGCAAAATTTGATACGAATACAAAATTTGATACGAATTCGAAATTAGACAGCAATACTAATAATAAAACTCCAGATGTAATTTCCGAAATGGTGAATTCAATGATTATGAAACGTAATCGTTCGATTCCCTTTCCGCGATTTCGCTCGAGTTCCTTGAATCGAGAATTTGCCTTCGACGAAAGGAGAAAATCGCCCTTCACATCCACCGATTCGCCGGCGGAAAAATCACTTTTCCAAAAATTGCCCAAATTTCAACGACACGACGAGGAAGAATCTTCGTCTTCAATCAAAGACGAGAGCAACGATTCGAAAATCGAGAAAGGACAACGTCGAATTTCACGTTTTTTGAGACCGGACTTTTTCGACACACCAAGGGAAGAGAGTCAGTACGTAAAGGACAAGGAGGCGAAGAAAGCTTTGGAAAATGAACGCAGAAAATCGAGATTCATGCGAAAACCAATTGAAAATGCATTTGATCCTAATCAGATAATTTCCGATCCAATTACAATAAAAGAACAAGAGACTCCAAGCGATGATCAACATAAAAAGACTTCCGAGAATTCGTACTTAATAAAGCAATTATCGAACAATGACAACGAGGTGGAGAAACTTCCACCAACAGATTCTGCATTATTTACACACTACATTCCCGAAACTATCGATGTAAACGAAAAAACAAAACCAGAAGAAACTCCTGCTCCGAAGAAGCCTTCGAAAATATTTTCCAAATCAAAAACCGTTCCTCGAATCGATGTGCCGAGTAAAGAAGAAGTAAAAACAAGCGAAAGTGCATCAAACATGCGATTTCGAAGTAAAATCCCGACAAAATTCAAGAAAAATGAAACCAATGCGGTGAAAAAAATCACCGACAGCAATAAACTGCCAAATACAAAAACCCCTGAAGTCTCGTCCCTATCATCGTCGTCATCAACATCAAAAGTAAAAAAGAAGGACAACGAATTGAGCCTCCTGCAAAGATCCAAGACAGAGGTGAAAAAATCCCTAGAACAATGCTCGAAATTAGTGAAAAAATACAGTCTCGAGAATTCGAAAAAATTAAAAGCAGAAAAAGAATTAGGAGCTGGAAAAACAAGAACAAATTCGATCGAGAAGGAAAAATCGTCAGAGAGAAATTTAGAGAGAAATCTAGAGAAGAATTTAGAGAAGAATTCAGCTCGAAACATCGTTCAGGTAGAAATCGTTTCCGATCGAACAACACCCGACAAGAAGCAATCATCAAAAACCGACAAAGCATTTAGAGAAAAATCCCAATCGCCAAATAGCGAAAATAATTCCGAAGAGAATGGCAAGAAAATTGTCAAAAAAATCCTACCCTCTCTATCAAGGATAAATTCGACCCTGAAAAATCACGAAAAGGGTGAGAAAAAATTACTGAAGCGCACAAAAGTCAAAGAAGTCAACGAAAAAGAAAATGATGTTGCGAAAAAGAAAGAAGAGAACGGTATAAAAAAGAAGGAAGACCAAGAAAAAAGTACTAGCACCAAGAAAAAAGAAGTCGATATTATCAAAAAACGAAATCAAGACGAAATCAAGAAGAAGGAGATCGACAATATTCTCCAAAAGAAGAAAAAAATAACTCTAAAAAAATCGAGTAATTTAATTAAAATTGAAAAAAAGCAATCGCCTGAGACCAGCGACTCTTCGGAGGAGAAATTCGACTATAAGAATGCAACAAAAAAATTAAACGAGGCAAAAAATGGCGTTTTACCGAAAGTCGAAAAATTTCTCCCCCTTGAAAAAATTTCAGTCCTACTTCCAGAAAGTGAATCAAAAGAAAAAGGAAAATTCGAAAATAATTTCAATTTAGACGAGACAACTGACAACAAAGAACAAAATCTCTTCTACCAAACATCGGAAAATCTCAACTCGAGATCAAAAGAACAGAGCAAATCTCCCGATCTCTCACAAATCGACACCTCGGAATATTTCAATTTCAATTTCTGCCCTAGCGATTCCGAAACCAATAGAAGTGATTCCACCTTACCAATTCGCGACATTCGCGACCACCAGGAACAGGAATCAATAATCGATCGAATACGAAGAAAAAGTTTCTATTCCCGTTTCAACGATAGAAAACGTAAAACACTCGTGTCTCCCTTGACATCACGATCGGAGATGTGGCCAAGTATGACCCTACCAAAGAATTTCAGTTTCACCAGTTCGAAAAAAAATGATTCAAATACCAAACAACAACAAAAGAGAAATAGTTTGTATAATAATATTTTATCCGATTCAAAGAATACGGATCGAAATCGTTATTCTTTCTGTTCGGATAATTCAATTTCGTCAATTGATAATAATCACGATCTACCGAGACGTAAATATTCCACTGCCACTGATTTCAATTTAAGCAAAAATCATTTTGGAAATAATACAATTCCGAGGAAGGAAAATAAGAAATTCCCAATAATGGGACATTGTGATGAGGAAACAATTGCTAAGAATTGGTCGTATTCCTCCATTCCTAGTGAAAGTTGCAGCAATGATTTCATGGAAGATGGTGCCAATTTTATGCAAACTAGAAAGAAAGATTAATTATGAGTTCTAACAAAAGAAGTATAGCAGGCTTTCTGCGCTAATAGCGATAGACATTTTCTATAAACTGGTTGATATTTTTAATACGTAATTAAAATATTTTAATGAAATTACGACAATTTTTTTTTGGCAAAAAAATATAATTTTCATGAAAGTATAAAAATACTTTCGGTATAAAAATACCAAAAGTCTCGGTAGTATAAAAATGCCGAAAGTAAAAAGAGTGTTTAAACTTTGGTTAAATTTCGATTTTTCAATTCGAAGAAAGTAATCTAAGTCATGAATTTTCTAATTTACTGAATGTAATCAACACTTTGAAATAAGTCACTAGGTAAGATATTTTTAATCTAGAAAAAATGTTCGCTAGTGGAACAAGTATAAAATAAGTTTTATGTCGTTTGTCCTTATAAAATATTTTCTACTGTAATTCCGTTCATTTCATTTCATTCTATTTTTCTTGAAAAGATTTCTAAAAAAATTGTACATTACAAAAAAAATATCATGACCAAAATTTATATCTTAATAAACCTTTGATGATGCGAAATAGTTTTCGAAGGAAACCGAAACAATCCGAAAGGGATTGTTCACAATTTAAAAGCGAAGTTTACATTTGTAAACACTCCCAAAGCAGATTATTTCTCAAAACCGAAAAAAAAGTCTTCATTATTATTTATTTATGAAAATCACTCGTTCATTTAAATTTCTGAATTTTACTTCATGTTATTTTTCTCTTTAAATAATGGACTGATTAAGATATTTACTATTATATACAATAAATTTTATACCTTTTTTCGTATTTTAAAAAACAAAAACACGTCGTCGAAACCAAATTATAAACTAGTCTTCTGTTTTCAATTATACAAAGTTTATGAAATAAATAATTACTACTTTTAATGGTGTTTTATTTTAAAATCTTAAAAAATTGGTATTTTTTTCAAATAAAGGTTAATTTGAAAACAAAGATTGAAAAAGTGCGTAAAAAAATCTAATACGCTTTTTTTTGCAGGTACAAATTTGGTTTTTGTGAGAATAATTACTTTAAATAAACTAAAATTCAATACCTAACGATTTTTATATTAACAAAAAATGTAATCAATAATCACAGTTTTTCCAAAAATATATCACTATGTGAAAAACAAATTTAAAAATCATTTTTACGTCTCTAAAGTTATGAAAGTTCAAATAAACGACATTTTTATTTCCTCTTTCAATTCGAATTTTTTTGACAAATGTTTTTTGAAATTAAAACATTACGCTCACTTGAACTTTCAGAAATTTTAAAGGAAAATTTTCATTAAAAAAAAGGAATTGTTAAAGAATATTTGATAAAAAATTTCTCTTTTTTAGAAAGTCTATTTTCTAAAGATTTTGTGGTACTTTAAAAATAAATCTATAGGTCCCTTAACAAAATGTAAACAATAATTATAAAAATTACCTTCTAGATTATTAAAATAATAAATTGCAGTATAAATAGTGTCAATGATGATGACCAGTTGTCATTAAAGCTGGTAAAAATGATCCAATTACTAATACTAGAATATCACGACATTTCATATGAGACGATGGTGGTAGTGCTCCTTCCGTACTTGGTAAATGCATAAAGGAACCATTACTTTTTGACATTAATTCAGGTAATACGTGAACAGTGGCAACGTACAAAAATGTACCTGCACTGAATAACATTGCTAATCCAGTTGCGTTCACACTGCTCAGTGTTTCTTTGCCTTCCTGAAATTATATCATTTTTGTTAGTTTAGAAATTATTCTGTCTTATAATTTTTTTTATTATTATTCGATCTATAATTTTTTTGCTGTTAATCAGTTTATAATTTTTTACTATTATTGTCAACTTTTAACGAATTTTGTTAGTGTAAAAATAACTAAAGTTTCTTTCGTTTCATACAAACCTTGCCAATTCCAAAATATGTGATTATCGTCAAGAAAGGTGCTGATAAAGAGAAAATAAATAAATGACGTCCTATTTTTTTCTTGTCGACACCTTCGTGCAGAAGGAAGGACACAAGACCGAAAGCAGCCGGAGCCTGTAAATTGAAAATTGAATAAATAAATAATAATAATTAAATACTCAACTAAGACAAAACAATTTTAATAGCAAAATTAAATTTTTCTCTTCATGAAAATTTGCCAACTTCTGTTAACAAAAAGTATTTTCTTTTTTCTAAAAGAAAGTACTAAGTGTTGTATTGTATTAATAAATTAATTTTAATATAATTCGAGAAGAGATTTAATTTAACATAAATAGCAGAGAAATTTTATTTTACAGACAATACTTTGATTTAGAGATAATTAGAGAAATTTAATTAAAACAAAATGTTTACCTTGTGCAACATAATTGCAAAGAAAACAACAACTTCTACATCAGCTTGCGATGTTGTTGCAGCAGCACCCAAAGCTACCCCATCAGCTGCTGCATGAACAACTAATCCTAAAGTTGCTGTGAAACTTCGTTCTTTACCTCCACTCTTTTGAGCTGAACATTGATCCACCAGGAACATAAATACAAAGCCAAATATTAAACTTATTCCAATTAAACTGTGAAGATCTGTGAAAAAAAAACAATAAAATTACATAACTGTTTCGTCGATTAGAAATTTTATTCAAATGTTTAGAAGAAAAGGTGGCAAAAAGTAACGAAAGCAAAACAATAGGTAGTATTTCAAAATTATTTCAATGAGATACGTAACTAAAGAGATAATTATTATCAACACACTTACCATGTGATCCATGTGAATCATTAGTGGTGGATGTAAACAATACTCTCACTCCTTCCGGAATGATAACAGCCAATGCTGTTCCTACAAGAAGACCAGCACCTAAAACGGAGATTAACTGCAATTTATCCTGAAAAAGAAACAAAAGAATAAAAATATAATTATCTTCTATAAAAAAAAAATTCTTTGCTAAACTATAGGTATTTCTATAACAATAATAACAATTTTTGCTTTGTTGTCACAGACCTCACTGCCGTAAATTAGTACATATGCTACCGAACACTTGCCATTTATCTAAATTTCTATTAAATAAATATTTATTCACCGTAATAAAACTTACCTCAGATAAATTCATAACTAAAGGTACGGATCCTGCCAAATATGATCCAATCAACATAACAAATGCTAGTATCCATAGTACTAGTGTTTCATCCATTTTTAAAAAATTACAACTTTCTAATTGGAATGCTTATATTATAATTTTTATATATAGTAAAAGTATATTTATTTTCACGTCAAGACAAAAGTAAATTATACACTTTGCAATACATTTTTTTTTCTGTTTACTGTATGTTGATTGATGTTATTCCCTATTGTATTGCATTTATCCTTATAAGCATTTTTTTTTAATAAATGAAAAGAGAGAATTATTAAATAAACATATGCACAGAATGTAAACACTGCAATTTTACACACGACAATCTGTCAACTTGGGGCAACTTTTAAAACAACTATTGGGACACGTGTGGGGCAGGGATTTTCTGTTATTCGCCGTAATTCACATTATGTTTACGCAAAAAGTGATATAAACAGTAAAGGTCCGTTCACAAGACACGTAAGTGAGTTGTATGTGATAGAAAAGGATAAAACATTGTTGTTTCTCTCTCAACGGCAACGTCGCCAGGATCGCATTTCGCATGACAGATTGACAGCAGAATAAATTCGGAAATCGCAAGAATCACAAGATTCGCAAGTGCAAAAAATGATATAGAAAAGGATATTTATATACGAAGTAGTTTTTGAATTAATATCCTATGAATAGAAAATAACACTATGCACTTAACGTTTTTTAAATCAAAACACTATCTGTCAAAGGAATTGTAAATTTATTCTGTGATTTCAAAAAATCTGTCATATTGAGTGCTACTGGGGTGGTCTGCTCTGAAAAAACAAGTGAAAGGTACATATGTAAACAAAAATGTGAGTACAAATAGATAAAAATTAACAAAGATCTTAATTATTGACTTTTTCAGTGCAGTATTGTCAAAGATAAAAAGTTCGTTTCTTACTTGTTTTCTAACTTGAAATTTTACAACTTTTCCATAAGTTTTTAAAATCCAGGCTTCATATTCTCATCTACTAAAACCTACTACCTATTTACTACTTTTTTTTACAATTTGCTACTATTTGAATATTATTTAAAAATTTCCTCAAAGAAAAAAAAAGAATCGAATTTTGGAAGAATTGCAGTTGTAATTTTTAGAAATAGTTAAATTTCAAAAAGGCTTTACATTGAAATAATTTAAAATATTTTAATTCCTGTAGAAAAATAATAAAAATAAGTATTTTAATATTTATTTAACAAAAATTATTCTCTTTTTGAATTGTAATTTAATTCTGAAATTGTGAAGAAATTGAAAGTCGTCAAATATAATTTTTCTTTAGCTACTTTTTTACTATTTTTTTCAGTCTTCTACTTTTTGTTACTTTTTGAAAATTAATTATCGAGCACGAAGCCTGAAAATCTTATCAATATTTAAAAGATCAGGTGAATTGATAACACTTATCGTTTTAAACATATTTTAGATAAAGAGAAGAATCACATGCAAGTTCATTTTCTTTTGCAGAAAAACAAGATGAATCAAACGGGAATTTCGAAATTAGCTAGGCTACGAGAATTAATGAAAATCGCCACTGTGAATGGTGTCGAAAAGAAGGGAATCGAAGCATTTATACTAAATTACGGTGATTGTCATCAATCCGAATATTTAACGGAAAGAGATAAACGTCTGAGTTTTCTCTCTGGATTCACTGGTTCCCGTGGCACAATTATCGTCACTAATGACAAAGCTCTATTGTGGACTGACGGAAGATATTTCCTTCAGGCAGTCAGTGAATTTGATCCACCTCAAGATTGGACCCTCATGAAGGAAGGCGTTTTAGGAGTACCCACTCAATTCGAATGGCTCAACACAAATTTACCCCCAAAATCAACGGTGGGTGTCGATATTAACGTGATTAGTTACACCGACTGGGTGTCAATGTACAACAATCTAAATAACAAAGGCCATACACTAATTCCTCTGGAGGAGAATTTAGTCGATAAAATCTGGGACAATAGACCAGCACCAGTGTTGAATCCAATTGTCGCGCATAAATTGGAATACAGTGGAAAGAAAGCGAAGGATAAAGTTGAACATTGTTGGGAATTAATGAAAACAAATGGTGTATCGCATCTTGTTTTCTCGGCTTTGGATGAAGTTGCCTATTTACTCAATTGGAGAGGATCGGATATTCCTTATAATCCAGTATTCTTTGCCTATGTTGTTTTGGATAGGGAGAATGTTCATATTTTTGTAGATAAATCCCGACTCACGGAAGAGGCGGAGGAGCAATTGAAAAATGAGGGGATTGTTCCAATTTATCATTCGTATGATGAGATTTTAAATTTTTTGAAGGAAAAATCAACGGCTGCGACTGATGAAAATCGAGTTTGGATTAGTTCTGGATCTATTTGTGCTTTGCACTGTGCTTGCGGGAGTCATGTTTATAGAGCTTATTCGCCAATTGGTTTGATGAAGTCAATTAAAAATGAGACTGAAATTAAGGGGATGAAGGAGGCTCACGTTCGGGATGGTGTTGCTCTTGTTAAATATTTCGCTTGGCTGGAGGACCAACTAAAAAATAAAAAGGCAGTGATCACTGAAATCTCCGGAGCGGATCAACTCGAAAAATTCAGACAGTTGAGAAAATTTAGTTTCTTTAATTTTGAGTTCTAATTGCATCTTGAATTATAATTTAAATTTTGTCATATAATTAAATCTTGAATTATAATTTAATTTTGAATTATAATTGAATTTTCAATCATAATTAAATTTTGAAAATTAAGGAAGAAAAGATTTCTTTTTTTTAAAAATTAATAATTTAATTTTAATATTATTAACTTTATGTAATTTAATTTTTTTTCAGAGAACAGGAACTATATGTTGGAGTGAGTTTTACCACAATCTCATCGTCTGGAGATCATGCGGCAGTAATTCACTATCATCCAACACCAGCCACTGATAAGCGTATCACGGATAAAGAAGTTTATCTTTGCGATGCTGGAGCGCAATTTCTTGATGGAACTACAGACGTTACGCGTACTTGGCACTTTGGTACGCCAACAGATTTCGAGAAAGAATGCTTTACACGTGTATTTAAAGGACAATGTTTCCTTAATACCGCAGTATTTCCAAATATGACAAAAGGAAATTATCTCGATACGTTAGCTCGCAAAAGTTTGTGGGACGTTGGGTAAATATATAAAAAAAAACAGTAATTTAAATTTCTACACATAATAGTTAATAATAATATTAATAATTAATTTATTAATATTAATACTTAATACTTAAGTTATAATAATTTTTACTCATAACTCAATATATTTTGCAGTTTGGATTACATTCACGGAACGGGGCATGGAGTAGGTTCATATTTAAATGTTCACGAACTTCCAATTGGCATATCTTGGAAACCAATGCCAGATGATCCAGGAGTTCAAGCTGGTGTATTTTTATCTAATGGTAATTTATTTTTCTCGTAACAATTGCCAAGAAAAACACAATTTTGTTTATTATTTTACAATTAACAATTTTCATTTAATTATGATTTTCACTAAATTTGTAATTATACATTATTATTATAATTTTTATTATTATAAATTTATTCGTAATACAAGATGTGTCAAAATTTTCAGAACCCGGATTCTACGAGGATGGAAAATTTGGAATTCGATTGGAAAATATTGAATTGGTAGTAAAGGCGAATAGCAAGTACAATTTTAACAACAGAAATTATCTCACTTTTGAGACAGTAACATTAGTTCCGATACAAACAAGTTTTTTGGATCTATCTTTACTTACAAATGCAGAGGTAAGTCGAACTTTTTCCTTGTCTTATTTTTTATTTTACTTTTTATTTTTACATTATTCATTGAAATTTATATTAGTTTTTGTATTACTCATTGCATCAATAATAAGTTAAATAGTTTTTAAGTTGTAATAGTCTAATTGTATTTTACATAATTAAATTTTAATATTTTCAGATTGATTATATTAACAATTATCATACCAAGTGCTTGGACACTTTAAAACCTCTTCTTCAAGGAAGTGAAAATGCTCAAGCTCTTTCTTGGCTTATAAAGCAAACTGAGCCAATAAGTAAATCTAAGGACTTTTAACAAAAAATGAATAAAATCGAATTTTTTCTACTACCTCTTTCAAAATGAATTATGTGGTGAAGATATTTAAATAATAAGATTTTATATGAAATTTTTGCATTTAAATGATGAATTAAAATGATTATTTTTTATTTTAAAAAATAAAGAAATAAATTTGAATGATAAAAAATGTCTAATTAATTTAACAATAAATCCAGTATTATTAGAAAGAAAATATAATCCTTCCTCTACAAAGAAGCAACAATATACTATTTTTAATTTTTGTTTCGCAACAATCGTCGAATTATTAATTTTTTTTAATGATAATATTTTTTTTATTATTGACACTAAATAATGATAATAATACTAATTTAATAATAATAATATTAACTATAATAATCGTCGTATTTATTTATCAATATTCAATTAATATCAATGAAATTTATCAATTAATAATTTAGTTGATCTAATAAAAAATGTTAAATTAAGTATATATTATATTTTCGAGATTTTTTCTGCAGTTACTCAGTTGAGTGCGTACCGTGCGTACACATGCACGTAATGGATCTTGAAAAAAGATTATCTTTAGCAATAGAAAATAATACACTTTCTGCAGAATGTCAAAATATTGCGTCAGGTTAGTATTTTCATTAAATTGTTTTATCAAATTTACATTTTATTTGGCTTTACTTGTAAACCTTGTAAAGAGAAATATTATTTTGATAAACATAACCTCAAAAAGTTCAATTTTTTGTAATTCTTGTCATTTTCTTCTATTATTTATATACATTTTGTCATTATTCATAAGTTTATTTTGTGAACTAAGTTTAGGATTTGTAATAACTAATAATAGTAAACTTAATTTTTCAAGTATATATTTAAATAATTATGTGTAAATAAATTTCACTTACAAATCACATGGTTATCCGTATTGTTTCTGTATTATTTTTATTTTTTTATTCTAAATATTATTCTATATTTATCGAATTTTTGAATATATTAAAGAATTATGTATAAATTTCATAGATTTTATTATCAATATAAAAGAGGATTAAGTAAAAAATTTCTATTTACAGAGATAAAGAAAGGAAATGTCAAACTTTTCAATTTTATCGAAGGACTGCAACCACTTCTAACGAATACAAATGTCGAATTACGAAAGCAAAGTATCCAAGTTTTATCTTCTTTATTAGATAGTCTACCAGTGGATTTTCTTCTCGAAGCAGAAATTAATTTCATTGTCGGATTTTATTGCGATCGATTAAAGGATCATTATAGCATTTTACCATCGACACTCAAAGGCATTTCATCCATAGTAAACAGAGTTTCATTCATAGTAAACATCTTGACGATAACTCACGTCTTTCTTAAAATAAATGAATTCTTTATTTCCAGATAAAAATGAAAAATCTTCCAGAAAATGGTCCTATACGTGTACTCTCAGCAATGTTCGAAAATATTCAATGTCAAACACTTTTACTGCCCGATCGACAAATTGTTTACAGCATTTTTGAAACTCTATTAAAAGAAAAATCATCAAATCTAAAGTCCCTTGGTGTGGATCTTGTTTACGGTGTGATAAATTCCATTGATGGCGAAAGCGATCCAAGGAATCTGTTAATAATTTTCCGTATAATTCCATTTTTTGTGAAACAATTTCCACTTGGTCATTTAATTGAGGAAATGTTCGAAGTCATTGCCTGTTACTTTCCAGTTCAATACAATGCGGTAAGTAAAAAATCAAATTCTATTTCTTTCCAGAAAATTTAATTTGTATATAATTATTAATATTAAATTTAAAAAATAATTAATATTTGTGTATTCTTTTAGCCAAAATCTGAAAGTTCGGGAATAACTCGAGAGAGTTTAGCGGAAGCGTTAACTCCATGTTTATGTGCAACTCCAGAATTTGCTGAATTTTGTCTTCCGTTATTAATTGAGAAAATGGATTCCAATTTGAAAGTGGCTAAATTGGATTCCCTGCAAGTGTTAATAGAAGGAGCGGGAATTTTCGGAGCAAAACGATTACAGCCACATTTACGGGAAATTTGGCAAATTTTGCAAAAGGAAATATTACAAAATCTCGATTTAGAAGTTAAACAATTGGCTCTCACGTGTACAACGTCGTTGATAAAGGCCTTGACAGAGGAGGATAAAAGTATTTCCAATGATTTTGTTGAGGAAATTATAATAAATGCCAAATGGGCATTATGTAATGCTTCCCTCAGCAGTTCCGTTAAGGATACTGAAAAGCTCTTGGAAGCTGTGGCTAAAGCGAGTCGAGAAATGTGTGAAAAAGTATTGTGCGCTATTGTACCCGCGTGCCTTACGCAATACTCAACGAAAACTGAGTTGCAAGATAAAGTATTTCTTTTGGAAACATTCAATAATTTCATTTCTATTGCAAATGAATATGGATTATCGATAAAACGTACGTATCATCTGACGGATTTTATTTTTTTAATTTAATTCAATTTTTTTGTTATTTATTTATTTAGAATTATTAAATAAATTATCAAAAATTGAAATAAATTTTTCTTTAATTTATTTTTTCTTCTGTTTTCGATTTTCAGACGTGTCTAATTTAGAGTGGTCGGATGTTCCCGCATTTTACATAGAAGAACTAAATAATCAATCTTCTCAAATTCGAATTAAATTGATGCACGGTCTAATTGCCCAAAGATCTTCTTTAAACGAAACTCAACGAAAAGCACTCAATGAAAAATTGTTTTGTGAAATTGAGACTGGAAATCAAGACACATTGCTTGCTGCACACTCTTGCCTTTACAGTTTTACTGAATTGTATCCAATTGAAGTCGTGAATATAATTGCAAACAGATTTAGCTTAAATGACAGTGAGTAAAAATTGAAACTATTAGATTTTACTTTTCCATTTAATTCAAAAATAATAATTTTCCTAAAGTTTGGAACGTTGAGATAACAGAAATTAATGTAACTGAATATTTATTTAGTTGCAATTATCTTTTTCAACATACAAATTAATTTTTATGTTAAGTTTCTTACTCGAAACTTTGAGAAAATTAATAATAATATAATCGATCTTGTTAATAATTTTTCTGTTGATAGAAAATAAAATTCTTCTAAACAATTTTATTAGAATTTTTGTAAATAATTAAATTCTTTTGAAATTAAAGTTAAATTGAAGTTTATATTTGAAAATAAAAAATTTGTAATTTACATAACAATAATAATAATAATAATAATAATAATAAATTGAATATCATTTCTGCGTAGATAATGTGTCGAATGAAACGATATCAAGGCGAATCGAAGCATTGTCTCTTCTATCAAGAATACCAAAAATAGGTTGTGAAATTCTTCCAAAAATTGTTAGTGTTTGTTCATCCAATGATAATGACAATATTGCAATAAAAATAGTAGCGCTTTCTTGTCTCGAAAAATTACTTACTACTGAAGAGGAAAATTTTGATATTCATAAATTTTTGTATAAAGAAGATGTACTGAATAAACTTGTCAAAATCTCCACTTCAGAGACTGATGGAAGAGTCTCTTTGATATCAAACATCTGTCGCTTGATAACGAGAAAATTAAATCTTCAGGAGCAGAAAGAGATCTTACAGAATTATTCTCGAATTTTGGAAGGAGACGTTTCAGAATGTGACATTGCTTTAATAGACGGAATTATGATAGCTCTAAGGCCTGACATTGAACTAAAAAATAGTGAATTAATAAAAAATTTGTATAAAATAGCAGTCGAGAGTTCAAATACAACAGCGAGACTTGCTAGTTGTCACTTGATTGCAGTTTTGATAAATAAAATCAAGTTGACTGACGAGTACGAACAGATTATACAATTTCTGAAAGACAACATCAATAATTCTTTAAATTCCCCTGAAGAAACAATTGAAGCGAAAAAAGCTGTCTCCACTCTTTTGAATTGGTTAACAACCTCTCTTGTTAAGAGAGGAACTGCGAATTCCCAGGATTTTTTAAATTATGTACGTAAATTATTTTATTTTCACTACAAATTGTTTGAACATCGAATTTTTGTTTCTTTCTAATATTGAGTTTCTCTTTAATTTTAATATTGAACTTCTATTTAATTTTATTATTGAAATTTCTATTTAATTTTGATACTGAATTTCTATTTAATTTGTCGACTATATTTTCAGCAAATATCAACTTTAAAAAATACGGAAATTGGAAATTACGTTGCTGGTGAATTTAAGACTTTAGTGGATAGAAATGACGATACATTAACTGAAGAAAATTTTTGTCAAGTGAAAATGTTATATAAACAGAGAATATTAGAAAATGTTATTCAAGGATGTAACGAATCGACGCGGGAAACAAAATGCAATTATTTAAAGGCATTACTTTACACTTGTCAAGAAATTCCAATGGAATTACTTTCGTTATATTTAGGAAAAGTACGTACCATTTATTCGAAATAGAAATTTATTAATATTAAATTAAATTATTCAAAATCCAACTCTTAATATTGAATTAAATTAATTAAAATTTCAAATTATTAATATTAAATTCTGCAAGAAAACTAATTTATTTGGAAAATTTTTCAGCTTGTCCCTTGTTTTATGGATAATTTTACCCAAGAAGAATTAATAATACCAACTTTAAATCTATTGCAACCATTGTTGGAAACAAAGAACTCGGTTTTTGCAACTGAAGCCAAATACTTCATATCAAAATTTTTAGATCTGTGTTCGCATCAAAATATGGTGAGTAAATTTATAAATTTAATTAGAAAATAATTATAATTTAGGGTACATTAGTTAAAAATTAAAATCGAAAATTTTTAACAACAAAAATAGAAGATTTTTTTTTTATTTAAAAATTTTACCTACATTTTTAATAAAATAACTTTTTTATCTTTAAATTTCGAATATGAAAAATTTTGTTAGTTACCTCATCAATTAAATTAATAAACATTTATTTAATTATTAATAATTTATACTTTAATTAAAAAAATGAATTAATATAAAAAAACACTGGAAATAAAATAAATTAACATAATGGAATTTTTTTCTATTTCAGAAAATAAGAATAACAACATTAAATTGTTTGTTAATTTATGTAGAATATCCATCAGAAATTATTCATCCTTTTAAACTGGATGTTTTGGAAATATTACATACACTCACTGATGATAAAAAACGACTCGTTAGAAAATTGGCTGTTAAAGCACGTTTAAAATGGTTTTTGATTAATCCATCGGATATGAATACTTAATTTGTAAAAATGTTCTCTTTTACTGTTACATATAATGTTGTATAGTTTAAAACACTTGTTTTAGATTCTTGTGACATTTTTATGATTTGCTTTGGTGTTTAATAATCGGAATATATAATCTAAATTCATTGATTTTGTAATAATTTTATTCAAAAGAAATTAAAATTTCTATCTTTTTTTTTATGTCACATACAAAAATACTAAACATATGACCTACATTGTAGGAGTTAACGTAACTAAATAAAGCATTGATTTTTTAAAAATTGAATTAAGTCTTTCCACCTAACATTCGCCAGTGAAACGCAAGCATGACTGAGGGTAAGAATTTTAAGAAGCGAAAAGAAAAGGAAGTTTTAAGGAAAAATTGTTTTTATATTAATAAATAAAATTTTACTGCATATTTCAAGAATGAAAAATTTTTGTCGAATTTACATTTACATCCAATTTAGAATATACTCAATGTTTTTGAAAGTTACAAGTGTAAGAAAAGTTTACTTAATTTGTAGGTATTTCGAAAAATGGTGCTTTCAAATTTGAAGACGGGAGCAGATATGTCGGAGACTGGAGTAGCAAAGGTTTGAGACACGGACTAGGTTCTTTGCTTTTTCCTGACGGTTCCCGTTACGATGGATGGTTTATCAACGGCTTATTCTCCAAATTAGGAGTATTTATATTTCCCGATGGTGCAAAGTAATTGGAAATTTTTATTATAATTTCAAAAAAAAAATTTCTACTAGAATTATTCAAAATTAATGGAAAAATGAAAAAAAAACTTCAGATACGAAGGAGAATTTGCTCAAGGATGGTTCCATGGCTATGGAGTTTTTTGGCGAGCTGACGGTATGAGATTCGAAGGAGTATTCCATGGTGGAAAAATTTGGGGATTAGGTTTGTCCATTTTGTGAATAAATGAAGAACTTTATATCAGACAATATCTATTATAGCAGTTAATTAATTTATTATACTATAGAAATTAATTCATTATTGACAATTAAAAAATTTTATTTCTACTACCTTAATAATTGAGAAAATTAAAAATATTGAAAGATAATTTTATTTTTATTTTATTGATTAAATACTCTTTAAAAAATAGTCAATAAATTTAATAAATTTTATACAGCTAATCAAATTTTGTTGTTTAGGTTTAATAACTTATGCAGACAACACTCATGGATTTCCACGGAACGAAGGATTCTTCAAAGATTGCAGATTAGTTCGTAAAAAACGTTGTTCTGAAATAGTCCACAAAGCCCAAAGATGTGCAATGCTAGCTCGAAATCAATGTGCCGAAATTAATCATTAAATAATTGTAATATTTTTATTCTTCAATTTGACAAATACTTACTCACTCATAAAGTTTATTTTATGATTGAAAATTATATCAAAATTGAATCGTTAAAAATAAATTTTCATAAAAATGTTAATTTAATAGTTTAAAAATTGTTTATTTAAAAAGAAAATTATCTCAAAAGAAAATAGTATTTTTTACAATATATGTTCTCAATTATTATTTAATGATTTGTTAATTTAAATCTTTTTTAAAAGTATTAAAATGCTTAAAAATAATATTTATCCTGAAATTATTATAGGAAGTAATAATTGTAATATTATTCTATAGTTTCATAAATTTTTATTTTGAATCACATTTATACCTTTATTCTATAATTATATTATCAATAACAAAAATAAATTCTTTCATCTTATTAATAAATAGAATTCACCTTACAATTCTAATAATACTTTTACAGTAATAACAATTATATAAATAAATTATTAATTAATTAATTTTTCTTGAATATTTAGTAACACGTAGAAAAGCGTAAGAAATGTGGACAATCTTTCGGATTGAAAATCTTTCAGAAATAATAATATTATTTTACATTAATAATTATTAATGTCAATTGAGTACGCTGGACTAGATCTATCGAATATATTCCATAAGAGATAATTTGAATCTTTCTTTTTATAGTTTCGATCAACTTTATTCTGTAAATTAATGAACCTTTTTTTAATGATTAAAAGATAAAATTACAATATTTGTACGAAAAAATAGAATTTCGTTAAAAAAATTTATAATAATAATTACCAATTTAAATTCAACAATGTGCTTTATATACATTTGTATATAAATATCGACACATTGGACATTATTTTTCTTCCCGTGTTTGATATTGTGTCCAATAGACTTCACACATTTGCAAATGTCCATTCGGTACAAACATAAATTCTGAAAACTTTAATAGGCAAATGCGGCAAATTAAATAATCTTGGTTGAAATCTGGAAAAGAAAAAATTAAATAATAAAATGGATTGTTTTGAATGAATTGCTTTTCGGAAAATTAAAAGAACAATCTAAATACAATATAATAAATATTAATTTTACCTTGTTCAATAACAACATGCGCTGGTTCAGGCACTACTGCTGCTAGTTTATTCAAAAAATGTTCTTCGTCTGTATCAAAATCTGAAATGATATTATAATTATCTAATCATATTATTATTCTTATTATTGCAAATCTTTAAAGTGCTGAAATTTTAAACATTAATTATTTCTTCTTACCGAAACCTGAAGCATATTGCATTCCAAAATGCAAACTTATGTCCCTTGAACTTATATTGATTCCTTCAGTTAGGAATTTCTCAAGCGTTATACTTCCCTTATCAATCTTTCTCCATTCGAGGTTTTGAGCATTCGGGGATTTCAGCTTTCGGAGCTTTAAACATTCGAGGTTTTGAGCATTCGGGGATTTCGGCTTTCGAGGTTTTGAGCATTCGGGGATTTCAGCTTTCGGGGGTTGAATTTTTGAGATTTTAATTTCTTTGTTTTGTACATTTTCGAACAATGGTAGATTCAACGTTCCAAATGGACTAATTATACAAATTTTAAGTAAAGAGTGCTTGAATTCTTTATTTTTCGTAAACATTTTTATATTATTATTTTATAAACAACATTTTTCTAGACTTTTACATAATTTTACAATTAACATACAATATTCCTCATCACAATATTCACTTCTTTCCAAAAAAAATTTGTTTTAAAATAATGTCTTAATTGATTTTTCACTTTATATACAAGTTTTTCGAAAATTTTCGTTTTTCGTTTAACAAATTTATAATTTTAGATGTTTGATTATATGTTTATATATATTTGATTTCATTAAGGCACCTAATAATATTTATTTAAATATTCTTTAACTTTTGAATAAAGTTTCTACTTTATTCAAATTAATATATGGAAATTTTGATGTATTCAAAATTTAATTTTTATAAATTATTTATAAAGTAGAATATATATTTTCGGTTTAAACATTCAATAAACGGTGTGAAAAGAATCTGTGAAACTTAATGATAAAAAAGTACTTTGAGCCTTAAAAATTAATCTGATACTTTTTGTATTCGCTTTCAAATTTCCTTTCACTAATTCTAATAATCACATTTTTATTAAAAAATACTGTTTTGTGATTTAAAAAACAAGCACACTCGTGAAGTAGTTTTACTATTGAAATTATTTTAGGGATGTATTAATTGATATTTAAAATTTATTAAATATTAATTAATGCATCAATAATGACTTATTAATCATTAATTAATATCAATTTAAATTATTATTGTGAAAAAATAGTATTATTTTTTGTAAAATATAAAATTTTTTTTTTGATTATTGGACAATATAAAATTTATCTGTTTTTATGAAAATATCCTCTCCATTTAGTAACAATAATTATCAAAATATATGTAATATTTTTCTCCTATCAATTATTATTAATTAACATTAATTAAAAAAGAATCCACTGTTCTCTTTTTCGTTCTTAATATTCAATATAGGATAATGAAGCTCATTTTATTATTTATAAAGCTCATATTTCTAATTGCTAATTTTTGCAATTATATACTTTTTTTAAATACTGTAAGTACAACACGCCAGAAAAAAAAGAAAAAAATACTTATATATTACTTTTGATATTTTGTTTTCGTAAAATATGTTTTTCATTTCTATTCAAAATTGAATAGCCATTTTTAAAGAATTATAAAAATATCTCGAACAATGTTTTAAATATTCTTTTTAACATTTCTCGATAAGGAATTTTATTATACTTTTCACAAAAATAGCATATTTCTCGTAATTTCTTCTAATCTAATTTCCCTTTTTTCTCTATCACAAAAAATGCCTTTTCTTAGGCTAATAAAATATCTTTTTCCTCTTTTCTTCTTCTAGATTTCTAAAAATTAATTTTAAATACAAGAACGATTTCAAATTTTTTTTTCTTAGGAAATAAATATTTCTTTTCTCTCTTTTTCCTTTTTTTTAAATGCAAGACAATTGCAATTATTTCCTTTCGAGGAAAAGGAAAATAGTCTTTAGATTCGAAGAGTCATAAAAGAGAAACAAATTTTTTTAAACAGAACAGAAACAACTAGGCTCTTCTATCGATTCTGAACTTCTTCTTGTATAAACTTTTAATAGTTGGCAGTGTACCCTGTCGTGAAAGAAATATTTAAAATCAGATTTAAGAAAACGAAAATTATTAAATTAAAATACTTTTCATTCTACTAAATTTTTTATTCCACTAGAGAAATAGTATTAAAAAATAGTATAAAAAATAGTATAAAAAAATGAATAAATTATTGTTTATTAATTTAATAATTAAATAAATAAAAATGTACTTTCATTGGTTTTAATTCATCAGTTATTACTAAATAATTACTTTCTGATTATTACCTTATTTTAACATTTGGAACTTGAATAACTTCGCCATCGCAATTCCAAACGCTGAGACCAGAATTTAGTGAAATGCTATTTCCATTTTCAGAGTAACGTGAGCTAGGCATTGCCTTGAACGTGAATTCTCGAGCTCTATAGACCTCGACAAACGGTAAATCGTACTAGAAATAAAAGAGAACATAATAAGTTAGAGGAAATTTGTCTTTATGACTCAAATCTATTTTACCATTTAGAAGAAAATTATTACTCAGTAGATAGGAGCAAAAAATAATTTACGATCAATTTACACGCGTAAATATTACGACTCTTTTCAAATGAACGTGGATATTTAATTTAGAAAAAGGTATTAAATTTATAATTTATTAATAACAATAATAATAATTAAATTTTAATTTAATTTTAATTTTTTTTAATTTTTAAAAAGTCGAAAGGAAATTTTATTCCAATTTATTTAGGAATAAAATATTACTTAATTAATTATTAATATATTAATATTGATAAATAAGAATAAAGGACCTGTCCCGTGAATATTGAAATAAATAAATAAAAAAAAAGAATATTAATAAAAAAATGTCTTTTAGTGTAAATAAAAAATTGTGTTATCGGCGATTCGTTTTTTTTTACGTATTTTAAGTGAAATTATCAACATACCAAATTTTTAACTTTACTGCTGAGCCTGAGAATCATTCTGATATTGTTGATAAGAGATGTGTGTCTAATAATAATAACATCCACGCAACCATCACCTACATGACAGTGCGGGCTAAAACCCATTGGACTTCTGGAACAGGCACATGATAGATTCGCTCCATTTACCATGAAAAATTTTCCCCTCACTGTAAGCCACCCTAAAAATAAAAAAAAATTACTCTTATCTTCTTTACAGTTCATTAATAATTTGTCAGCAAAAAAAAGTCTATCAATCAATAAACGATTAATTTATCATAATAGTAAATTTCTAGTTTACTCTATAGATAAAAATTGATTTATTAAATAAATAAAAATTAAATCAATGAAAAAAGTATCAAGAATTGAATTTGATTTAGAAAGAATAGAATAAAAAAGAAAAAATGAATAGAAAAGAAAAATGAAATAGAAAATAATTTTTTCAACGCACTTGAAATTTCTTTATCGGGAATCTCTTGATTCATATGTTGAATGCATCGATTGCAATTTTGCAAGCACTTTGTGCTCGCTGCTGGATGACATGGATCCGATAAAAGTTCAATTTCTCCCTCGTATCCTTTATTCGCCACTATTTTCTTAAAGCCTGAAAAATAGAAATTCACTCAAAATATATCATAGATTTATATATAAAAAGAAGACTAAAAAATAAATTAATCTTACAAAATATAATTTAGTTTTCCCTTTAATTTTATTTTGTAAGATTTATTTTTTCTCCTTTTCGTCAATTTTCTAAATCGTTTATTCTCACTGAATTATGATTCCGAAGAATAAATAATTGAATTCTTCTCATAATTTTATTACAATTTCACAGAATAATTTAATTCATTCTGGGAATTTTATTAAAATATTGAGAATAATTAATTTATGAATTACGTTCAAATGAACGAAATATTTTTATAAATTACTGATTTCAATAAAAATGAAGAAATAATAATCAAAAATAAATAAAAAATATTTTATTCAAAAAATTTTATTTTAATTCAAAATTTAATTTCAAAAATTGAAAATAAAAAAATTTGAACGTTCAGAACTTTAGATTCATCTTGTATTAAAATAAAAATTATAAAAATTCATCTTACAAAAAAATTATACTTTAAAAGGAAAAAGATTTTTGTTATTTACTCAACGTGAAGTTTTTACCTGAATAATCGTATCTCTGCGGACCCATCCAGCGAAATTTTTCGCTATCTCGAATGACGTCACCTAAATATCCGTAACTAACAACACTAGCGTACAGCCTAAGCAGGGAATTATTACTGTGAACCGAGGAGATATCCAAACCAGCAGTGTCTCCAAAAATAATGTGAATTGCAGCGGTTTGCACGTCCGTGGTACCGTGTAAACTGTAGGCGACGGTATTCGTACTTCCACCGGGAATTACGCCAACTGGCATTTTTGGTACCGGTAAACTGGCATTCGCATCATTTGGATCTATTTCCTCATCCTTCGCTGCCCTCAGCACTAAACCATTAAAAACCTCCGCGAAAGTTCCATCTCCACCGATACAAATCACAGCCTAAAATTAATGAATGGAAAAAATTATAATTCAATATGCAGAAAAGTAATAAAATAAATATATTCGGACAAGTTGCTCCAATCTTTCGAAATCTGATTTTCTTTTGTTAGGCCTCGAAAATTAATGAATTGGATAATTATAATTAAATGCGAAAAAAAATAATAATAATAAAACAAATACTATATTCGGTCAAATTAATGAATTGAAAAATTAGAATTAAAAAAGCAGAAAAAATAATTAAATAAATACATATTCACTGTTTCGGAATCTAAATGGTTTTTTTATCAGGTCTAAAATTAATTAATTAAAAAATGTAATTAAATATGCAGAAAAATAATAAAATAAATACATATTCGGACAAGTTGCTCCACTGTTTCGAAATCTAAATGATTTCCTTATCAGGCCTAAAATGAATGAATCGAAAAATTATAATTAAATGCAGAAAAGTAATAAAATAAATAAATATTCAGACAAATTGCTTCAACCTTTTGAAATCAAAATGATTTCCTTATTAGGGAGTTTATCGAAATACAATAAATAATTTGAGAATTAACAAAAAGAATAAATACTGAAAATAATAGAAAAATAAATATAATAATTAATAGAAAAGAAAATTGAAAATTTAATAGAAAAATAAACAGAAAAATGAATACAAAAAGAAATGAAAAATTAATAGAAAAATAAATACAAAAAGAAATTAAAAAATTAATAAAAAAATGAATACAAAAATAAATTGAAAAATAGATAGAAAAATAAATACAAAGGTTAATTAAAAAGTAATTATAAAAATTAACAAAAACAATAATAAATTGAGAAGAAAAATATCCGTAAATAATGACAATTAAGAAGAAAAATATCCGTAAATAATGACAATTAAGAAGAAAGAATTAATTTGAAGAAAGAATTAATTTAAATTTTAAAATATCAAAACACAAAAACTACAGTGAATTTTGAATTAAAAAATAATAAAAAATACAAAAATTCAATGCTACAGTAAAAATTTCTCACATTAATATCATCCAAATTCGCCGTGAGAAGCGTGTCACGAATATGTCCAGCTTTTTCAGTGATTATCAATTTAATTTCAATTCCTGCTATCATCATTAAGGGTTGCACTTCTTTTTCCCAAATTTTTAATCCCTTTCTCTTGCCACCGAATGGATTAACAAAGACCATCATTTTTCTCGGTCTATAAGTGAAACCTGAAAATTAACAAAAAACAAGAATTAATAGTTGAAAAATTATCATTTTCCTATTTATTTGTAAATTTTTTGTAATTGTAATTATAAATATTATAAATATTGTAATAAAATATATAATACAAAATCCTAAAATTCTAAACCATCAAATAAAAGAAAATTATTACCTTTCCCTTTCAAATTAAAATTTCATTTCAACAATTTTGCGTCGAGTATAAAGAAAAAATTTTTGTTTCAAAATTTTTACTCCACCTTTTTGATTTTTATTGCAATTGGTAATTTTTCAAAACAGTTAAATTGCAAAATATATACGTTGAAAGATATTTACGTTAAAACATATTTACGTTAAAAAATATTTACGTTGAACAATATTTAAATTAAAAAAAATATTTACGTCAAAAAAATATCTTTATATTGAAAAGTATTCAAATTGAAAAATATTTGGAGAAAATATTTCGCTTAGTTGAAAGTTCGTAATTTTTTGGAGTATTATAATTTACTTTTATGTAATTGTAATTCAAAAATATTGTAAAAATAAAATGTAAAATTCATCCTAATTGTAATGTGATTGAAAAAAAATTCTTAAAAACGAAGTTTATAAAGAATGTTTCTTGTTACAAACCATTAAGATAATTTTGAATGGTTTTTACCCATGAGCCAATTTGTCTAGGATCAGAGTGGCTCATAGTGACACTGTGATGTCTCCATTTGCTTTTAGAAGCACAGGCTGCATAATGTAAAACAAAACTTGTCAAGGATAGACTTGGTGACGTGGATAATGAATCTTTTTTTTTCACATTATTCATTGTTGGAGTCCAGTCATCTCCATACGAGGCTGAAAGAACATCGGTCATCGGCAAGGTCCATCGTGCTGAAAAAAAAAATTCTTTTTACAAACTACTCATTTTTATTTTCTCTTCCTCGTTATTTTATCCCAAAAATTTAAAAAAATAATTGGGGATTTTTAATTTATAGAAATAATAAATAATTAATAATAATATTAATAAATTTAATAAAATTAATAAAAATTAATTCTTCATTTTAGAAGTAAATTTAATTCTAATTAATACAAAGCAAAAAAGAGATTCATATTCATTGATAAAAACAACTGAATAGTTTTTCCTTATTTTTGTTACTATTGCATATTATAAATGAAATATTCCTTTTGCAATTTTTTTTATTAAAATTTTGTTTTTAAAAGATTAAATTAAAATGATAAAAAAATTCTTTATTATTTTTATAAAAAGTAATAAAGAACTATTTTGCAAGAAAAATAAATAAATAGAACTAAAAAATTAAACAAAGAAATAAAACTGATTTACATTAAAAAAAATGTGACTCTTCTGCTGATAAATTTTTATTGCAGGAAATTTTTTGTAGAAAATTTTTTTATTGTCTTTAACAAAATTTTTATCATTGTCATTAAACTAAAAGAGAAAATTTGAACTCAAAGACTTTTTTTTTGTTAAAAATTTTGCATTTCCTTATGTACAAAATAATGGCGAAAATATTTTCTTACCGCAAAGAATTTTAATCAGAACACAAAATTTTTAATTTAAAAAGAAGAAAAAGTATTTTTTGTCTTTTTAATGAAAAATAAAGTGAAAACAATTTTTTCCATAAAGTGCAAAAAGAAGAAAGAACAAAGAAGATACTAAAATTTGTTAATTTGGAGTCAAAGTATTTATATATCGATTTATATTAAAATAAACTTAAAATACTTTGAAATAAATATTTTCTTAAAATATTTAAACAAAATATTTTTTTAGTTTCTATAGAAAATTTTTAAAAAAGAAAACGATTGCAAAATTTTTTTCTCAATTGTAACATAATAATAATCATATAAATAAAAATTGCAGAAATTTGCTTTCATAGAAAATATTTCAAAATAAAAAAAAAACGATTGCAATAATTTCCTTTTAATTGTAACATATGAATAAAAATTGCAGAAATCTGCTCATTGTGCATTTTAGAAAGTGAAAACGTTAAAATAAAAATTAAATACAAGGTTGTGTCATTTCGTATTTTGTAGCAAAATTAAAATAAAAATTCATAATTAAAATGACAAAAATTAAAAATCGTATTTTTTTTATATAAAAAGCAATCAGCTGTGGCTCGAAAATCATGCGCCTTGCACTTGCAAATATATGTTCATAATATACATCTAAAAATAGTCATTCATCAATAATCCTTTCCGGTAAAAAGTTTCTTCAAAATTTATAAACCAGAAATTATAATAAATTGTCTAATTCATTATATCCGTGTTGAGAAATATTTTCAGCAATCATAAATCAGCTATTTCAAATTAGTTAACAATTTAATAATATTTAAAAATAAATAAACTAAATTAAATAAAATTGATCAATAATATTTTTTTATTTATCTTAAATTTATTTACAGAAATAATTTTAACTGAGTATATTAAAAAATAAATAAATGAAAATGAAATTTGTTAATTATTTTTTAAATTATATATTATCTGTTAGTAAATATTATTAAATATATTTACTTAAATTTATTTCTATAAATAAATAATAAATAAAAAAAAAAAAACTTTTATTATTCTTTAATTTCTGAAAAAAATTTTGTCTCTTTAACGAAAAGTATAAAATTTTCTATTTTAATTATTAAAAATTGTATTTTCCTCTCAATGATTTTTTTTTCTATACAGAAAAAAAATCATTGAGAGAAAAATACAATTTTTAATAATTTAATATTTTATGTTACTTTATATTGCAGTGCAATTATATTGTGACTCTCAAGAGTCTTGAACTCCTGGAAAATAAAACTTATAAAAGTGAAAGGCCTTTATGCTTCAATGCGAATGCTGTGTAGGAAAGATTTTTTTTTCATTCAACTTTAATTCACTTTATAAAAATAATGTATAAAAATCCAATTAACGTATATATGTTAGTTATTGTAATCAGAAAATTCGTAACTAAACGATTTTTAATTAAACAAAAGAAAATAATAATAGCAAATAAAAAAAGGTATTTTAATACAATTTTTTTTTATTTTATTTTTCAAATTTTCCTTCTTTCTTTATTTTAACAATTTTTATCTTTTATTTACTTTAATAAATTTTGTCTTTGTTTATCCTAGTTTTTTTTAGATAAAGTAAATAAATAAAGATAAGAATAAAAATTATTTAATAATATTATAGAATATATTTAAAAAAAAACGAGGAAAAAAATTAATTTTTATTAATTTTCTTAAAATTATAATAATTATAATTTATCTTGAATAAGGAAATTTTATTTATTTATTGAAAATAAACGAGAAAAAAACCGTACTAGTTAGTTAGTAAAATAATTTTTAATTAGACAAAATAAAAAAGGAACTAAATAGAAAAAATATTTTAATAAATTTTATTTTTTTACCTAAAATTTTTTTTTCAGTTACTTTGATAAATTTTATTTTTTTACTTATTGCAACGATTAATTTATATTTTTTTATTAATTTTTATTTATTTATTTATTTAAAAATATTTATTTTTAAAAAATAAAAAATAAATCAAATGAAAAAGGGATTTTTTTTAAACAGAATCAATTGTCTTAAAATTTTTGACAAGAGATTTTGACCAGAAGATAAAAAATGATCGAAAGAACCTTCATGGAATAAATAAATAGTTTACTGCCGCGTTTAAGTATTGAATAAAATATAAAAAGAAAATGTACTTTGAATAATGAGAGGTTTCATATAAATTAGGCAATAATATACAATTCCTGTACTTTTTTGCTTGGGCACGTTATTTTTTTTACGACCTCCGAATTTCAAGGTTCGTGATTCACATTCAATAAGATTTTTATGTATAGTATTTTTCTTTTTGTGTATAGGAATTATTTCACTCTAAATTATACAATAATTTGTTTCTTTGTTTTATAATTAATTTTTTGAATAAAAAAATACTAAAAGAAATTATATTTTCCTCTTATTTAATTATTATTTCTACCCACTTAAATACTGCGCACTTTTATTGAACACAATTGACAATGTTCGTGTATAGTAATTATTTTTAGATTGACTTTTTTTTCGAAAGAAAGTAAAGAAAAGACAAATAATAAAAATTTTATATAAAACGGAATTTTTGCTTCATTCAATGGAAAAATGAACAAAATGCGTGTTCATTTATACGGACATTATATTATTGACATAAAACACTTAATCAATAACATGAACTAAAAAACAAAGTCATTAGTGTTCCTTTTTTCTAGTTCAAAAAAAAAAAAAAAGGAAAATTACAGACTAAATATTAGTGAAACTATATATTTACTGAATTAGTGAAATAAAAATTTTATAACATTTTTCTCTTTATTTAAATTTGATAAAAATATAGAATTATTTATCTATTCCTTTATCAATTATTTAATTCACTTATTAATTTTTTTTTTTATTTATTTATTGACAGAACAATAACTTTCAAATATTTTATAAAAAAACGTTATTTTTTAATTTTAATTTTTAAATTAAAAATATATTGTCAGTTTAAAAAGAAATTCTCAATAAAAATTTAGTAACAATTTATCATTTAATTCTTGCAATTAAATTCTTTACAAAATTAATATTGTATATTATTTAATTAATTACAATAAATTAAATTAACTATACAAAAGAAATCTCGTTTACTTATGTCAACAAATGAATAAATAATTATTATTTGAATTTTCACGGAATTATTCACGAAACAATTGTCAATCAATTGAATCATCAATAATTATTATTGTTCAAATAATTTTACGTATACGTTATTAAATATTTTGTCAGGATCAATTTAACGAGGCCTTACTAAATTTTTATATCAATAAATTTATTATTTATTTCGTTATATATTTATTCTTTTCTATAAATTACGAGGCAAACTGGACTCGTGAACTTGAAAGAATAAAATATCAAAATTTAAATTGTAAATTTATTTTATAGAACATTTCCTGGATGTTTCTATATAAATATATTTACTCAATATTATTTTTTAAAAAGGAAAGAAACAACTTAACTATAAAACAAGTTTTATTCGGGATTATAACAGGTTCATATATATACCTATACCTTTTTTTATATCATCTACGTATTAACGAAATACAAGGCCGGTCCAATCATTTTCATGAACACGCTAATAATATTTCATCTCAAATTTTCTTTTTCGTTTTGTTTTCTCAAATATTTCCTATCAATTAGTTTTTTAATTTAAAATTATATAAATTATTCTCTTTGTAAACAAGAAATTATTTTTGAAATTAAAAACAATAATAAGAAATAATTTTTTTTAATTTCAAAAATAAGTGGCCAACCAAAATAATATGTTTGAATTAAACATATTTTATAATTGAAGTAAAGATTAATTTTTATTGAATCAAAATTATTATTATTTCAAAGATAATTTTTGGTTGACTATAACAAAGACAATTGATTCAAAAATATTGTTTTCTCAGTGTATAAGTATATAATTCCGTATACAATAAGAAATAATATAAAAAAATAATATAGGTAATAATAATAATAAATTAGAGTAATTTGTTTATTTATTTTACAACTTCTGATTCTACAATCGAAATGGACCACAAAAGTGTTAATAATAATATTAATAAATAATTAATATTAGAAAATATAGGTAAATTTAATAATTAATATATTAATTATTAATTATAGGAAATAAAATTAACAAATAATTCAAAAAAATCTTTAAAGAAAAATAAAAAATTAATTCTTATTTAAATAATTTCAACAGTTTTTTAAACAATTAAAAATATATTTTAAATTATTGAACAAAATTTATTAAATTATATATTCTTTTTAGATTAATTTTATTCAATGAGAAAAAAATTAATGTCAAAAGAATAATTTAATAAATTTTGTTCAATAATTTAAAATTTATTATTATTATTATTATTATTATTATTATTATTACCATTGTTGTAAAAAATTATAATGGATTTTTTTTCTTTGCCAATTTGAATAATTTATTGCAAAAATTGCTTTTGACGCAAAATAATCAATTCTCGATCGTTACAAACAAAGTATAGTTGTTTTTCCCTAATCGAAGAAATTTATTGCAAAATTATTTAATAGATTTAAGAAAAAATTGATTATGCGTAATACACATATTAATAAATATTATTAATTGTTCAAGTACACAAACGCGTTTATTAATGCTGCATTTAGATTAGATAAGAATTCTGATGGTTTAGTCTCATTCATATAAATTTTAAAATCAGGTAAACTTAAGTTGCATTCGAAAATACAAAAAGAAAAAGGAAAATTAATAAAAAAATTTATATTATTAATAATATAATCATAACAACAATCGTTTTATTCTATAAAATTTATAAAATCGAAAATGACTTTTAATAATTTTGCGACATTGAGTGAAAATATTTTTAACATAACATAATAATAATAATTTTTATTATTTTATTATAAAATAAAATTGTTGATATAATTAAAAAATTAATATCAAAGAAACTAAATAGTTTGATAATAATAACGATAATAACAATTAATATTTATTGAGAACATTTTACAACATTTATAATTATTGAGAACTATTGTACACTGAAAAAAAAATTATTTGATTCAAATAAACGATTACTTGATTATTATCAATTAAATGTTATATGAACAAATAATTTCAGTATTTGAAGTAAATGCAATTTAATTGCATAAAAAAAAAAATTTTTCAAATTTCAATTAAAAATAACAATAATATAAATAGTAAAAAAAAGATTCTAAAAGTTATTTTTGTCTAGAAAATAAAAATACTATCCAACTTCTCGCACTCATCCTAATAATCCTATAAATAGTCAAAAAGAAAAAAAAGATTCTAATAGTTATTTTTGTCTAGAAAATAAATATACTATCCAACTTCTCGCACTCATCCCAATATATTATATAAAAAAAAAAATGTGAATTCACTTCCTTAATTTTTTTCGATATTTTTTTTTTAGCTTCAAAATTGATAAATGATTATTGGACTTGAGTATAATTTTCTCAAAACGTTTTATGGGTCATTGACCGAGTCTGTTAGCTTCCTTAAAATGTTTGCCGTTCTTTTGCAGACGTGTTAACCACTTTAGGCTCACGTTACAAGTATTTATTTTATAATAATTCTTGAATAATCGAGTGTATTAATCTGCAGAGAGAATACGGTTTATAAAACTGACGCACATTGATTATCATATGTATATAACATTATAACAAAAGGTCTAATTAGCTTATACCGTTTATTCTTCACAAGAGAAAAATTGCCAACGTCTTTTTTTATATTTTATAATTTCATTTATTAAACCCGTTTATAATTTAAATAAATAAGTATAAATAATATTCCACAATAAATATAATTGCTAGGTATAATAAAATTGTTATAACATTATAATTGTTATAACTATATTATTATCATATTATAATTATTATGACTATATTGTTATTATATTATAATTATCATAACTAGATTGTTATTATATTATAATTATTATAAATATATTGTTATTATATTATAATTATTATGACTATATTGTTATTATATTATAATTATCATAACTAGATTGTTATTATATTATAATTATTATAAATATATTGTTATTATATTATAATTATTATGACTATATTGTTATTATATTATAATTATCATAACTAGATTGTTATTATATTATATAATTATAATGTAATAATAATATAATACAATTAAAAATGCATTATCTGGAAAAAGTGCTTTCCAAGATGGGAAATTTTATTTTTTTTTTATATTTATATATACTTATTTATAACACATTCAAAGTAGAAAAACATGAAATGTGTTTAATATATTATAATAATTATTATTACTATTGTACTGTAATAAAAATAAGAATAGGTAAAAATAATAAATTGTAATGTAATAATAAATAATGTACGAAAGGCTCAGTCTCGTTATAATATTCTAAAAAAATAAATAAAAGAATAATAAATAATAAAAATTATTATTCAATAGTAAACAGATTGCACAGAAAAAGAATAATAATATAATAATTATTTAAGATCTTTATTATTTAAATTATATGTCTTTCTAGAAAAACGTATCTCAAGATAATAATTATTATTATAATTTAATAAAATATGTTGAATAAACAAACAATATTAAATTATTCTATAATTTAATTATTATACAATTTTATTTATTTCTTTATATTTATTTACTTTTTTGCATAGTATAAATAACTGTCTTATATTAAATTTTTCAAACTGAATTTACTCTGTTAAAGAAGAGATCTTTAAAGAAAATTGACTGTCAAAGGGAAAATTTCGTTTTCAATTTTCCATAATAACTAATATTGAAATGAAAAAAATTCTGAAACAAGTAAATATAAAGAAGAAAATAAGATTTCCTATTCTTAGAAAACATTTTTCCCAGGTAATAATTTCAACTCTCTTGGATAATAAAAAGAAAACAGAAAAAAAAGACATTCAACAATGACGACCCAGTAACCGATTTATTTTGACCTACATGCGCTCTTCCCGATTGTCATATATACATACACACCATATATAATTTCAAATAATAAACTCACTGTAAGGTGGTCGTTCTGTTTCCCAAATAAGTGTACCCTGATGAAAATAAACACGACATCTCTTTTTTTTAATGACAAATGTATTTAATAGCACTGTTTGCGAGCACTGATCACCAGCCTCAAGTATTTTACCCTTGTTCTCCATTTTATTAATTAGAAAAATTAAACAAAAAAAAAAAAAATACTACATCGAACAAAGAAAAAAAAAAAAAAAAATCACGATTTTAAAAATTTAAAAACAAATACTTGTCACACGTCATTATGACGTTCATTATGATGATAATCCATCACCATATGACTTTGTTTTGGTGGTATTATTTTTCCTTGTTTAGTATTTGTAAATAAAGGATATTATTTTTTTAAAAAAATAAATTTTGCTTGAACATCGCTCGAATGGTATGAGCCGACTGAACTGGAGAACTCTCCTGTATCAAGTCGGAAGTCCATACCAATATTCGCGTTTTCAACCTCGACGTACGATGTATTTGTGTGTATTATACTCAACACACCACCGACGCCGGCGTCGAAGTTCAGTTTATTCCCCTCTCTTTCTCTCTTTCTCTTCTATATATATGCATTCGAATTTCGATCCCACTATTTTCTTATAATATTAAAATTTTATTAAAGTTTTCAGGTATTGTATGTTATAGATATTTGTCTATATGTATGAAAGTTGTGATAAGAGATTAAATCAATGAAACATATATAATTGCACTTGAAACTTATCAATATTATGTAACGTCATATTTCGCATGAAAGGTAAAAATATTTTTTTTGCGTAAAGGAATATGAGTGCATTTATAAACCGGTTTTGTGTGTATGCAGGTACAAATTTTCAATATTGAGTTAAAAATAGAAGATTTTTTTTTAAAATTCTTATAATATTGGAGAACAAGAAATGAATATTCTATAAGATTTGAAGAAGAATATTTGCATATTCTAATATTTAGGTGGAATATTTCTTGGAAATTGAAATTTAAGTAATTTAAGGACAGAATAAAAATTTATAAATTTTAGTATTTAATTATTTTATTTTCAAAAGGTAGAAAATATTAGTAGTAGTAAAGTAGGAATATTTAAGTGGAATATTCCTTTTGTAATATTTTTTAATAATATTCAAAAGAAAGATATCTTTGTAACATAAAAAAGTATAATAATTCTTTCGATAATAATATTCAAGAGAAATATTCTTTTAATATCAACATAAAAGTGGAATATCCTTTTATAATATTCAAGTGCGGAGTATTTCATAAATATTAATATTTGAGTGGAATATTCCCTTAATATAATATTTAAGTAGAATATCCTTTTGATATTATAATATTTAAGAGAGAAATTCCTTTGATATTAATATAAAAGTGTAATATCTCTTGGTCTTTAATAATACATATTATATTGAAATATTCCCTTGATAGTATAATATTTAAATGGAATATTCTCTTGATAGTGTAATATTTAAATGGAATATTTCTTTGAGATATTAATATTCAAATGGAATATTCCTTTGATATTAATATTCAAATAGAATATTTTTATAATATTAATTTTTAAGTGAGATATTACTTTAATTTTAAAATTGCATTGAAATATTCTATCTGTTATTTATAGAAATATTCAAGTACAGAATATTCCTCTCCAATTATATAATATTTATCATAATTAATATTTAAGTGGAATATTCTTTCGGGATGAATATTAAAGCAAACTAATTTTTCAAGAATAATATTCACAAAGAAATAATTTTAAAAAGAATTAATATTAACATTCGATTGGAATGTCTCATTAATATTAATATCGAAGAGAAATATTCCATTTACATTTAATATAAAAGTGATGAAAATTTTATTTTTAGAGAATATTTCTGTAATATTACAGTAAAATATTTCATTATGCAGAATGTTCCTTAAATATTATTTATAATAATTAATATTTAAATGCAATATTCGTTTAAAATAAATATTTAAGAAAAATAATATTTTAAGTGTATAATATTCAAAAGAAATAATTCAAAAATAAAATTAATATTAATAAAAAAGTGGAATATTTCCTTAATATTAATATTTCTCTTGAATATTGTAATATTAAAGAGATATTCCACTTCATAAATATTAATATTAAAGAGAAATATTTCTTTGTATATGTATACAAAAGTGAAAATATTATTTTGAGAGTAATATTCAAAAAGAAATAATTCCAAAAAATGATATTAATATTCAATTGGAATATCCCTTTAATATTAATATTCGTAAGAAATATTCCATTGATAAATTATTTAAAAAATGGAATACTCCCTTTATAGTATAATATTCAAGAGAAGTATTCTTTCAGTATAAATATTTCAACAATATTGAAAAATAAAATATTCAATAAAATAATTCTAAGAGTAATATTTCAAATAAGATATTAATATTTCAGTGGAATATCCCATAATAACTGTTTAAATATTTTTTGAATTTAAATAAATTAAATAATTAAAGTAATTATAGCAAAAATTATTCAAATATAAATAAAAGAACAAAATTTTTTTTTAAAAGTAATATTCGAAAGGAATATTCGTTAGATATTTATATTCCTGTAAATATTCACGTAATATTCCTTTTAGAATAAAATTTTTGAATTTTTATTATTTATTTATTATTTTTTTTAATTTTTAATTTTTTAATTTAATATTTAAGCAAAATATTCTTTTCAAAATAATATTCAAACTTTATATACATTTTTTTATATCAAAATATTTAAGAAACATGTATCATTATTATAAAATTAATACCAAAGTTTAATGTAATGTAATTTAATAATAGAAAATATTGTATAATAAAGAATAATTGTTACTTTTCTATTATTCGATGTAAAAATAGAACACAGAGAGAGACCTTTTGTTTCTCTCGATATTCTCATGTATTGAATAATATTAACCACTCTGTCTTATTCTGAACGTCTTTTTCCACTTAACAATACAACTCTGCGCGTCTGTTGCAAAAGTCATTAACTACTTACGTCTGACTCGAAAGCTTTTTCCACTTTTTAAATATTCACCATTTATTTCGCGCGCTTTCGTATAGAATTCAAAAAAGAAAAAAAAAGAGAATAAAATAAAAATAATTAATTTCTAAATATAAATAATAATTTTATCACTCGATCGTCAGAATATTAAAATAATTGATTCAATAATAATTAATTTTTTTTATAAATAAATTTTAAGTAGAGCGCAATAAAAATTCTGTTATTAGATGAAAAAAATTCAAATTAAATTTAAATTTTAATTTAATTTTAATTAAAAAATGAAAAAAGCGACTAAAAAATTGTTTACATGCATGTAGAACGGGTTGCATATTTTTGGATTTTCTCTTCTATTCACAAAAATTGTATGCAACCTGACATACACATCTGTGTAAATTATTCGTGATCGGTATTTTGTCGACGTTTTGATCTACAGGGCCGTATTTAGCACATGTGCCATTGATTTTCCTATTATTTTCCACTCTAATCGATTATTTTCTTTATCAGAATTTATTATTATTATCCTATTAATATTCATTATATAAGTAATAGTAATTAAATAAAATAGTGAATAATTATTATTATTATTATTATTATTATTTTTAATATTATTAACTATTTTATTTAATTACTATATTAATTACTAAATAAAAATTTTAATAATTTGTATTCATTTACTTCACCTTCTACTCTAATTTTTTTTTTGTAATTTCTTAATTATTTTTCAAAAATATTCGAATACAGAATGTATTATTAAAATGGGAATGAGAACCACTGTTTTATATATGAGAAAGAGTTTAAATAGTGTAGGTTATAGAATGCAAGAATTAAGAGAAGGGGAAACATCACCAACAAGAATCATTTACTAATACAAAACTTCCTTCCATATATGAGAATAACTTTAATACAACACATGAAAATAAACAAGTTGATCAAAAATTATACACGCGATATCAGAAATAAAAATACATTTTTTTAAAATTAAAATCAACTGTAAAAGGAAAATAGAAAAAAAAAATTAAATAACTAACTTTTTTTCATTTAAAATTTAACTAAAAAATTACTATATCAAAAATTTAAAAACTGAACCTAAAGATACTGCCCGGCATACGAGTGTAAATAAGTCAACAATTTGTTGGGGAGCTTATTCAATTTTCTGTTTTCAATAATTTTCATATTCAATTAATTTTTATTTCGATAATTTTACTAAATTTATAATAATAGAAAATTAGTAAATTTTTTTTAAAATCAACTTTTTTTAAAAGTCCTAAACAATTAAAATTTATTTATCAGTAATTTACAAAAGAACCTATTTGTGAAAGACCTATATGTATAAACATTGCAATGTCGCAGCAATGGAATTTTTCCACAAAACACCAACTTCCAAAATATAATTTGCCATCTGTTTGGAAAAAACCCAAGTGAATAAAAATTCACTCTAATCACTAAATTCACTCACTTTGAGAAAAAATTTGCATTAACAATCAATAGACAACGAATAAAAGTCATATAAAATATTCTATAAAATATTCCATAAAATTATGAACGAACCTGTACAATAAATGTGAATCGTCCCTCTAACAAAATATATCCGCTTTCGAAGAACCTCAAAGAAAAACAAGCGCCGGGCACAAAAATAAGCTGTGGGTTCTATTTTCCCCTATTACGCTCCTGAATGCATAATTCAATTACGCACGCGTAAGTTCAAATTCCACCAATGAGAGACAAGCGACGCCAGGATGGGATATCACGGGGGGGTTCGCGTCGCCTTGCGCGTTCTTCCGGAAAGTACAAACGTCCATTTTGTCAGGACAGACGATCCCGCCTAGTCGACGCCGGTGAATACTATATTTCCCATTTGCTGTGAGTTCTCGCGTCAATATTATTTTTCAAGGCGCGTAATTTCAATTAAACGTGAAATTCATTACTTTCTCCATTATTACAGGAATTGTGATTATTTTTTTTAAACCAAAAAAACTTTCCCTTGGGGGAAATTTGTGAGAAAAATATTCAATTTCACTATATTGAAAATTACAAAGCGTGTCGGTGAACAAGCCGGTTTTAGTGCGGAGTACAGTCTAGAGCAAAATGGCGGATCTGCAGGGAACACCAGTCACACAAGACGCCCTGTCCGTTGCTCAACTTGAGTTACAAGGAAATCCAAATGCCTTGGCATTGCGAAGGCCCTTTGATCCAGTGGCACATGACCTGGACGCAACTTTCCGGCTAACACGATTTGCGGATTTAAAAGGATGAGGGTGTAAAGTCCCTCAGGAGGTTCTTGGGAAACTCCTCGAGGGACTACAGGCCGATGATGGTAGCGCACAGGATCATGAACATGCCCATTTTATGCACATGGCTATTCCTCGCATTGGTAAGTTTATTTATTATTGTTTAATTTTTATTTGCCGTGTTATTCACCGATTTATTGCGAGGTGTAATTCGCATGGAACTTTGCCGGTACCGGCAATTCCTTTGTCTTCTATTTTTATTGTAATTAAATTTTTTACATTGTCATCATGTGAGAAGGTATTTGTTTGGAAATTTTGTTTATTATTGGATTAATTTCCTGGGTAGAAAGAGTTTATTTTTGATAAAAGAAGAAATTTTGTTACATACAGGGGCCCTTTATTTACTGATTCGCCCCTGCCACTATGGCGGACACGTTGTCTCCCGCCATTTTTTTTGTGGGAGGCAACACTGATTGGCGCGAAATTTCAATTTTTTTTTTCTTAAAATCAATATTTTACGAATTTTATTTTTATACGATTCATACGATAGAAATTTATGGATTAAAAATAGTATTAAATAGTAAAAATTAGTAAATAATTATTTATAATATTCCTGTTAATACAGTAGGGCAATTTTAATAGATTGTTCTAAAGAAAGACAGGTAGAATAAACGAGAGAAACCCATGCCAATTTGTGTTTTAATAACATTTTGGTGACGTTAATTTTCTAACAAAAATGATAAAATATACTTTTTTTAAGAAATAATTTAAGAAAAAGATTTTAATTGTTTTTTTTTTCTAATTTTCAGGCATTGGTATGGATTCCTCTGTGACTCCGTTGAGACACGGCGGTTTGAGTTTGGTTCAGACGACGGACTTTTTTTATCCACTAGTCGACGATCCCTACATGATGGGTGAGATTTCGTGCAAAAATTAATTTTTGAAAAAGAAATTTTCGATTTTTTGTTTTTAAAAATGTACAAGTAGTTCGTTGATATTTTTTGCTTTACTTTGGAATGTTTGAGGATTGTTTCAGGTAAAATTGCATGCGCAAATGTCATCAGCGATTTGTACGCAATGGGAGTGACGGAATGTGATAATATGTTGATGTTATTGGGAGTGAGTACTAAAATGACTGAGAAGGAGAGAGACGTTGTTGTCCCATTAATAATGCGTGGATTCAAAGATTCAGCATTGGAAGCTGGAACAACGGTAACTGGAGGACAAACAGTCGTTAATCCCTGGTGTACAATCGGTGGAGTTGCGTCTACAGTTTGTCAACCAAATGAATATATTGTGTATGTATTCAGTTATTTCCAATTTACAGAAACTTTGGAATAATAATAATAATTTCAGGATTGCCACAAGGTCAGGGAATTTAGGAAAAAGTTAGAAATTTTTTTTAAGGGAACTGGAAAAAATTTAATTTTTAAAATTTAGAAGAAAATTCTGAATTTTACCACGAAATGTAATACAAAACCTTTCATTCTTTCTATTTCTAACAATAATTTCTTTTTAAATTTTATTAATTAAATTCAATTATTTTCAAAACTTTGAATAACATTTTTTGCAAAAATTCAATTACATTCATAAATAGCAAAATTTTGCGCAGGAATTCAATTATTTTCAAAAATGTTAATAAAATTCTTCGCAAAAACTTGATTATTTTCAAAAATTATAAAATTCTTATCCAAATTAAATTATTTTTATGAATAGCAAACTTTTTTCGTAAAAATTAAAAAATTTTAATATTTTTTTTCAAAAATTCAATTATTTTCATAAATAGCAAAATTCTTCGCAGAAATTTAATTATGTTCAAAAATTAGAAAATTGAAGAATTGCCAAATAATCGAAATTTCCTAAAAATTGAATTAGAAACAAATGGATTTGAAATATTTAAAAATCATAATTGCTTTGGAAAAATCATTTTTAGAGTGAATCAAAATATTCTTTCGAGTCAAGAAGAAAGTCAAAATTTTGTCTGGAAATCAGGGAAAAGTCGAGGAAAAGCAAAATTCAATTTTTGTGGCAAATCTGAATTTATAAGATAATTTATCTAATTGGAATAAATTATCAAAAAATAACGTTAAAGTTCACAACGTTTATTTTGAAAGATTATGAAAAAAATATTTTTCCTATTAAAATATTTATAAATTTTTGTTTATTCGAATGTCTTACATTCTTTGTTGATGAATTGCATTAATTATAAAATATTCCTGTTAATACAGTAGGGCAATTTCAATAGATTGTTCTAAAGAAAAACAGGTAGAATAAACAATAGGAACCCATGCCGATTTGTGTTTAAATAACATTTTGGTGACGTTAATTCTCTTACAAAAATTATACAGTATTCTTTATCATTAAAGTCTTCAATTAATACTATTAAAAAAGAAAAATTTGTAACCAAAAAATTTTATTTTCTACGGGAAAAATATTCTTTCTTTTAATTGTTGATCATGAACGTTGTGACTTGTGGACTTTACGAAAGTGAAAAATATGTCATTTTTTCTATTTAAAAAAACTGAGTACTAAAATGGAAAAATTGAATTTCAGGCCAGATAATGCAGTTGTCGGAGATGTTTTAGTTTTGACAAAACCGTTGGGAACACAGGTGGCTGTAAACGCGCATCAGTGGCTCGATCAACCGGATCGTTGGAATAGAATTAAATTGGTTGTCAGTGAAGACGACGTACGAAAAGCTTATCAACGTGCTATGGACAGTATGGCGAGGTTGAACAGAATAGGTTTGTATTCTTTGTTTAATATGTAATTTAATAATTCTATAATTAATAAGAAGTTAAATTACTTGGCAAGAATTAGTTACCTGATTATACAGTAGGATATTTTAATCTCTCATTGAAATATTCTAAAGAAAATCAGGAAGATAAAAAGGAGAATCCCATGCAAATTTGCTAATTCTAGTATTTTTGTGACGTTACTTCTCTGACAAAAAAAAATTCAAACAAAACTTTTTGTTTAAACAAAATCTTTAAAATATATTTAAAAATATTATTCAATTTAAAATAATTATCTATATTTTATTTTTTAGCGGCACGATTGATGCACAAATACAACGCCCATGGAGCCACCGATGTCACTGGTTTCGGTCTTTTGGGACACGCGCAAAATTTAGCAAAACATCAAAAGAACGATGTTTCATTCGTCATTCATAATTTGCCCGTTATCGCAAAAATGGCCGCCGTAGCGAAAGCCTGCGGAAACATGTTCCAACTTCTGCAAGGACATTCGGCAGAAACTAGCGGAGGACTCCTTATTTGCCTCCCTAGAGAACAGGTACGAATTAACAATATTCTTTGAGTGAAATGAATGAAAATAAATAAACTGAAAGAAATTAAAAAAATTTCATTTCTTTAAATTAAAAAATTTTCTTTCAATTTAATAAAATGAAAGAAAATAATCGAAATTAATTAAAATAAACGAAAATGAATATCCTGTTAATACAGTAGGACAATTCATTTACGAATTGTTCTAAAGAAAGACAGGTAAATTATTCTAGAAGATCCCATGCCAATTTATGAATCAGAATTTTGGTGACGTTACTCTTCTGACAATTGTTTCAAAACAAAAAATTTTTATTTTGAACACAAAACGAAAATTTCTAATAAAAAATAATTTTTTTACAGGCTGCAGCGTACTGCAAAGATATCGAGAAACAAGAAGGTTATCAGGCATGGATTATTGGCATTGTAGAAAAAGGCAATCGAACAGCGAGAATAATTGACAAACCACGAGTTATAGAGGTACCAGCAAAAGAAAAAGACGGTGAGCTATGGTAAAAGTTAATCGCTAATTTTTTAGCGAGGCTCAATTTTAAATTTTTAAAAAAAAGAAAACAAGTATCACAGGAGAAACGAAATCATGTCAAAATGATTAAAATCTCATTTTCACAAAAATATTCTGCAATCTGAATTTCTGTATTTTATCTAAACGTGTCAGCACCTAATTTGTTTCGTGAGAAGAAGGGAAATTTTATTTTCTACATAAAAGAATTTTTCTATTCTGGCAAAATGCGACTAAAAAAAAGAAGAGAAAAACAATTTTTTTTAGTATAAAAAAACTAGTACTGTTTAGATCGTAAGTTTTTATGAGTAGACTTAAGGTAGCACTAAGTTTTAGGGTTAATGTTAAAATTAATGCATTTTCAACAAAAAAACAAAAAACTTGCATAAAGACAAGAAAATTAAAGAAATATATGAAGAAATTGAGAAAAACATTTTTTAAAGAAATCAGCTAAAATTAAGAGATTCAAAAAGAGAACTTATTATATATTTTAAAGAAAAAAATCTTGTTAAATAGATTGCACAATTATGCTTCTGATATATTTGTAAACACTATATGAAAATGTGAGAAATTGTACTGATTGTTTGTATCCCAATACGTTAAGAATTTTTTTGTTTAAGAAAAAAGGATTTACTAAAAAACAATTTCATGATTTCATTCATCAAGTTTCATTAAAAATTGTTTTTTTTTTATTATAACATGAATAATACATTTTATTTACTTTAAATAGTGTATTTTGAGAGAAAAAGATCTTTTTTAAAAAAGGCTCATTTTCGGCCCTAAAGTTGTACTACTTTTTGATAAGAAATAAAGTGCTACTTTGTAAAAAATTGTTTTTAATTACAAACTCCCTCTTAAGAAGAAATTAAAATTCTGTGTTGTTTCGTCTCGAGCTAAAACTATCGAGAAAAAATCCAACTCGGATACTTCAGTCGAACTGGATTTGAGTGAATTAAAAAAAACAAGAAAAGAAGAATCTTGTTTAACCTAAATTCCATCTCTACAAGTCAATTCAGTAAGTACGAAAATTTTTTGCAAATAGGAAAAAATTTTTGAATTATTGCTAAAAAGAATTTTTTTTTTGAACAAAAATCAAATTTCATTAAATTTATAGAGTATAGACAGATTTTTGGCGCGAATTTAAAGATATTGCGAAATGAAGAATGGAATTTACGTCAGGGTCTCTATATGTGTATCAGTGTGTAAAATATCCCCTATAACATTGCAAATTTGTGAATGTGGTTTTCTACTACTCGTGCGCTCTTAGTCCCCAACCTTTATTATCATCGGTCGAAGTTCAGTTGGCGCCGCTCATTACAAAACGATACTAAAGAAAAAGTTCCATTGAATTGAAACCAACGACTCGCGTCTAGAGCATAATTTGCATTGAAGAAATTGAAATTTTTTTTTTGAACTTGAGAAATAATTTTTTTTGTTTATAATTTCAATGGTAGTTTTATCCACGTGTTGTGCTAAGGCAGCAGCCTTCAGGGCTGTTATTCTTGGAGCTCCAGCTTCCGGAAAAGGAACTGTGTCCTCCAGGATTATCAAGGACTTTAAGGTCGCTCACATTTCCAGTGGAGATAAACTTCGATTACACATTGCCGAAGGAACCGGTATATTTATATATATCTAATGTTTTTTTTTAATAATATTTCTGGGAATAGTACAGTTCAATTTTATCGATTTAAAAAATAGAGACTATTTATGCCGGTTTCATTTCCAACAGAAGGTACCGCACACGGTATTAAAAGAATTCAAATCATTCACAATTAAGAATGAATTTCGAAAAAGTCGCGAAATTTTATGTTTGACATATTTTTAATTAAAATGTATTTTAATTTGCGAAATATTTGTTTTCTAGAGACATTATCTATCAGTTAACCTAAAAATAGTTGAGAAATGCAAAAATCCGTATTTTGGATTTCTGTCAAGTTTTGATTAACATTAAGCCAATGTGAGAAATTAAGAGAGATTAATTAAAAAAGTATAAAGTAGTTATTACTTTTTGAATGTATAAATTGATTGTTAGTTTTTTTCTTTTTTAAATAAAAAATCGAGGGTTTATATGATTAAAAAATTTGCATGCAAATCTTGAACAACAATTCCTACCTTTTTTTCCTTTTTCTGTTATCCTTGATTCGGCCTTTGTTTGAGAACATCTTGAATCCAACACTTGTTAATCTCCTGCAACAATTAGTTATCAACTATTTAATTTTCTAATCACTTTAATTTTTAAACAATTTATTTTGATGTTTTTTTAACTGAAAAATGACAGTTGCCGAACTAAAATTTGAAGTTGTTTGCACATCAGGGCAGGGGTGCCAACATCGAATTTTTCAAATTCACCGGCGGGGAAATTTAAATAAAATTTCAGTAGAAATAGAACTTTTTGCTATAATTATTGTTATTAAATAATAATTATTATTTAACTTTACTGGCAAAATCGTCAAATTGAGTTAATTTTATATTATTACTAAAATAAATAAAAATTAATAATAATAATTTCTATCGTCAAAGTATTATAAATACATTTTTTTGATCTTTAAAATTTATTAAATTAAATTTTAGTTAAAAAATTAGTTAATAAATTAATAATTAAAAATCCATAAATTCATAAACTAATAAAATTTTATTTTTCAGAATTAGGAAAAAATGTTAAAAAATATTTAGACAGTGGAAGTCTCGTTCCTGATAATGTAATGATTTCTCTAATCAGCAAGGAAATTGAAAAAATTGGAAATCAAAATTGGCTTCTCGATGGTAAATTAAAAAATACTAAGTACATTTTTTTCTATATTTTATCAAAGGAAATTCAAGTTTAATAAAAATTAGAAACTCTCGGATTATAATTATCGTCATAATCTTGATAATTTTCGCGATAATTTCTAATCTTTTACTGACACGTGTCGAAATAATTTTAAATGAAGTAAATTTTTTTTAATTATTAAAAGTAGGAAAAAATAATATAATGTTATTAGTTGATAAGCATTTCCATAATTAATAAATAATTATTAATTAAAAAATTAATAAATAACTATTAATTAAAAAATTAATAATTAATTAATAAATATTTACTAATTATTAACTAATAAATAAATATTAATTAATAAATTGTAAATCAGTAAATAATATTAGTAATTACTAAATAATTATTAATTGAGTATTAATTAATAAATAATTATCAATTAATAATTTAAGAAGCAAAATAAAAATAAATTTTCTATAAATTTAAAATTCATTATTTCTAAATAAAAAAACAGGATTTCCCAGGACATTGGAACAAGCTGAAAAATTACAGAAAATTCATGCTGTAAATCTTGTTTTAAATTTGAAAGTTCCTTTCTCAGTAATTTTGGAAAGAGTAAAAAGCCGATGGATTCATTTACCAAGTGGTCGAGTCTACAATATTGGATTTAACGATTCAAAGATTCCTGTAAGTTTAATTTAACATTTTATTTAATAAAAATTAATAAATAAATTTTGTTTGCAATTCATAATTTTGTATCTATTATATTTTCAAATTATTTATTTACTATATTTCAATAAAATTATTAATAATAAATAAATAATTTAATTAATATAATCTTTTTCCTTAATGAAATTGTAATTAATAATAAATTAATAATAAATAAAATAATAGGGAAAGGACGACGTGACAGGGGAACCTCTCAGTCAACGACCGGACGACATGGCAGAGGTTGTTGAAAAACGATTGGAAAACTATAAACAAATGACGGAGCCAGTAATAAAATATTATCAAAAAATTGGAATTCTCCATGAGTTCAGTGGAAAAACAACAGACTCGATGTGGCCCGAAATTAAAGAATGTCTCAGTCAATTCACAAAAACTTGACCTTTGCTCATTCCAATCGACACAAAAATTCCATTATTCACATCGTAAAATTTTTTTAAATTTAACAGTTTTACGTATTATTTTACGTATCACGCACAAATGTAGTTAATTATGTACTTTAATATGTATAAAGATATCGAATTTTTTACATATACAGTACGAAAACCTAGCACGTCAGTCATATCCCATGAGTGGGAGTGAGACAGACTTATGCGATTCCCATACTTTCCTATGACTGACGGATAGCTTTTCTTACTGTATATATATATATATTTATAGATTTTTATCTAAATGCAACAATTTAATGGCAATTAGATCAATTGTTACGATCGACTCTGTCAAGAGTGGAAAAAAGACAAAATATACAAAAGACAAATTTGAAATAAAAGAATCTTACAAATAACACACTCTGAAACTATATTTTCAATGACCAAAAAATCCAAATTAAATAATAATTTAATAAAAAATTAATTAATTAAATTAATAATAAAAAATTCCCAAAGGAATGTCTTTCATAAAAGAAATTTTATTGTGATATACTCAGAAACTGTGGTTCCAATAAAATATTTTTTCTAATATTACGCGCAACATTGTCTTTTTACAAAGATTTTTTCTTCTTCAATGATTACAAGAATTTTTCTTTTTTTTTGGGAAAAAAATACAATATTATTTTTAGTAGAAAGCTCGTTACTCTCATAGGACGAAATTTTTATTATTTTCAAACATTACAACACACAATGAAGTTTGTTGTCGTTTTCTTTTATCTATTCATTTAACTTCTCTCAATAACGGGGCGAAATTATTAAACAAATAAAAAATAATAGTTATCGTTAATAAATAAATAACTTAAAATAAAATATAGAAATAAAGGTTTTCTAAGTACTTAATTTAAAGGATTATTTTTATAATCATAGCCACAATTGCACGCGTACTTATATCCTGATATTATACTGCAATGCAAAAACAGTTCATTGGGAATTAAAAATTGAGTTTTCTTTTTTAAAAAAAACACACGAAAAAAAATCTACAAAGAAATTTTGTTCGTTTGTAAAGAATTCGAAAAACAAATTGAATACTCCTCATTTGAATCAGTTTTAATTATTCTAAATTATACGAATTATATGTAGTAAAAAAGAATTTTTTTGCAAAATATTAACAAAAAAAGAAACAATTAAGCTTATTTAAAAAAAAAAATTTTATATAAAAAAATCACAATTAGTTTCTGATAATACATTCTTGATTCAATTTTTTTATTTTTCCCATGAAACGAGTAAAATTATTTGCTTTGACTTTTCGTTTATCGTTTCAATTATAAATTTTTTCAGCTGAACTACAATCAAAGAAATTATTTTTCAACAGGAAAAAAGAATTTTATTCCGTGTGTCATTACGCGATAAGATTTTGAGATCATGAAAAAAAGAGAAAAAATAGTCCAAGCAAATTAAAAATAATTTTAATAAACTACGGACGTTAATTCTCTTGAAAAAAATTCGAATAAACTAAAAATTACAAATTCTCTCAATTCTCTCATTAAATGAGTGAATAAAATCTCAAGTTTTTAAAGCAAAAAATTATTGCGGGAATCATGTGTTATTAACGTACCAACATTTAAGTGAAAATTATCCGAAATATTTTCGTGAAAATTTTAAAGCTATTATTATTTTTTTTCTATCGACATTTTTCATACTGTAAGTAACGATTGAGCAACCTTTCCATTATTAAACAAAAAAACAAAAAAAAATATATATATCCATACCTTTTACAGAAATTAAACCAACCAAAATTTGGGGGTCTTTCCTTTTGAGAAATCCAATCGATTTCCAATTTAAGTACAAAACGCTTTTCAATTCTCTTCATTTTTTCCTATAAAACTTCATACTCTTCACATTCACAGTGTGTATTATCCTCGTTCATTTCGCGATCATTCGCTGACATTGACGATGAAAAATGTCTCTTTTCGTCGTCCAAATTCGATTGAACGTCCGTTCCATTTCCATTGCAGAACAAAAACATTGGATATTCGTCCTTTTGACTCAATGGAACGAGAAACTGTGGAAAGAAAATACAATTAATAATCACCATCATTTTATTCTATTTCTATTTTAAATTTAAATTGATAATTTATTTAGAATATGGTTGTAAATCTCTGTTTCTATTTTTTTGTTTTTCATTTGAATTGTTTCGAAATAATTAAGAAAAGAAAAAATTGCTTTACCGGTTCGACCATTTTCACGAAATGTTCGAATGTTGATTTATCACTTAAGTAAAATCCAACGCAACAGCTGGGATCCATTTTTGAAACGAGCATTTTCCTAGGCGACGTACAGTGAAAACTAGAGAGTGAAAAGTCCTGTTTCCACATGTCAACAGTTTCCTGACAATAGTGCGGATCAAGGTGAATTAATTTATCCTCCTGATAGCCGATAAAATAGAGCGAATGACGGGGACGACCGCCAATAATTCCAATACAATATTCTAAACTAAGTAAAGCCGTGAGACAAGGTACGTAACTAAGATTCAATTTATCAATGCCCAATCTCAAAGGCACGAGGAGAATGAGTGATTTCCATTTGCCATCGGATTTTTGACACAACTGTCTCACATCATCCAGATAAACTGAAAAAAAACAAGTATTAATAAATTAATTTTATTAATAAATAACAATAAAACAAATAAAATAAAAAAAATAAACAAATAAAAATTGACAATCTCAATTATGAAAAGGGAAGTTATTTTTTTACCTGAACAATCCTGAGCGACATAAACCGCTAAATTTTTAAATTCACTATGAGTCGTCGCTGCCGATTTAACAGCTTGGCTCAGAATATGTGCAACAGACACTGGTCCATACCAATCGCCGGCTCTTTTCCCAGTCGAGGCACCTAACGACACAAGAGTATGAATCGAAAACGGAGATTCCGGTCCAGCCTGATCGCCAAAATATTTGACAATCATTCGATGCTTCGAGTCTTCTTCTCTTTCCTCTTTTGTCAATAGCCGATGTTCCGGTTGCCATCGCCAATCTTAAGGAATAAATTCATCAAAGTTTTACAAAATTTCAAATAAATTAAAATTTTTTCATATACAATTCAACAATAGTTAATGCTAAGCAATTGACATTCAATCAAAATTATTATAAACCATACTTACCTAAAAATAATAATAAAACAATTATTCACAATTACAAATAAATTAATATTTGTTAGACCTTTCATTCAGTCACAAATACAAATCCATTCATACAAAGCATTATTTTAAGCACCGGTTTGGAAAACAAACACAAAAAAACATTTTTAAAAACACAAAAACGCTCTTTAACGCGTAAAATTAAAACGCAACGATAAAAAAGTGAGGAACAAAATTTTCCCAGCAGAAAAGAAAAATATTTCGCTTATTAAAAATAAGTGAATTTGCAACAAAAAATTGAAAATATGAACAAACACAAAAAACAGTTTTAAAAACACAAAAAGAAATGTCTTTAACGCGTAAAATTAAAACGCAACGATAAAAAAGTGAGAAACAAAATTTTCCCAGCGGAAAATTAAAAGAAAAATATTTCGTTTCTTAAAAATAAGTGAATTTGCAACAAAAAATTGTTTTAATTTAATTTTCCACTAATAAAAATTCCATGACAAAAGTAGACCAGCAAATTTGCTAATGGTTGATTAATTATTATTATTATTGATGGGTGAAAAAAATAAATAGATGAAATAAAAAACGTACCTCTGCCAAGAAAATGACAAACTAATCCCTGAGCTAAAATCATTTGTCCACTCCTCAACATACATCCCCATCCACAGTCGGAAGTAAATGTGGAACCATTTAAAATGGGAAATTCTCGTCTATATGTCAACCAGATACGAGATATAAAATCCCTCTTGAATCCATCAATTCCTTCCTCATAATTAGCCGCGTCGATTGCCAAGGAAATTTCACTGCCAGTCTCCACGTCAACAGCCTCGGATGCTTTTTCCAATAACTCCACTGCTTTTTTATGATAACAAGAACCCAATAACCACACAGGCGATTCTTTGGAGAAATTTGTTTTCATCTTTACGGTCCATCCTGGAAAAAAACAAAAACAATTTTTTATTAAAAAATCGCATACGTAATGAAATTCGAAGTTCTATTATGTTTTTTCTGTTCTAAATATATAATAGGCTTCGCAATCAATAATTTATTTTTAAAAAGTAGCAAAAAGTAGCTTTAAGACTGAAAAAAGTAGTTACTATCGAAAAATTAAATTTGGCGACTAAAAAATACGTTTTTCGACGATTTACATAAAATTCTGAAAAATTTTCATTCTGTATTTCCCTGAAATTTTTCTGATATCCATAAAAAACATTTTTTTTCCTAACTTCAATTCTAAATTCTTCTAAACTTCAATTATTTTCCAAAATTTAGAATTAGAAATTTTTAAATTCTTCAAAAATTCGATTATAATTTCAAAATAATTTTTAAAAGTAAGAAAATTAATTTTTTTAAATATAAAATTTATTTTAATTAAATTTGGCAAATTTTTCCATAAATTGAAAATTTAAATAAATGTTTTTAATTTTTACGAGAATTTAACTATATTAAAGAAAATTTTAATTAAAATTTTTCAAATTTTTCAAATTTATAACAATTTCTATAAAAACTAATGTTATTACGCATTTCATATTAAATTATTATAATCTAAAATTTTAACTGTAATTTATTTTTAAATTAATTCTTAATCGAAAGTTCCACAAGAATTTAATTATTTAAATACAAAAATAAATAGTTGATATAATAACTGATCGTTTCTTAAAACGAAATACTTAAAAAGAATGTTACCAAATTTTTTTGAAAATAATTCCTTTTTTTCGAAGAATATTAATAAAAACTTTAGAAAATAATTACATATTTCTAGGAATTCTTTTCAAACTGCATTAAAAAAAAGCTTGAAAAAAATTTAATTATTTATAAAAATAATTGAATTCCTGCAATTAATTTTATTAAATTTTTTTAAATAATTGACTTCTTTTTTAGTTTATAAAATTTAAAAGAATAATCAATTATTTTGAATAACTTAATTAAAATTGTAGGTATTTAAAAAAAATTAAATGATTTCAAAGAATGAAATTAAAATATTCCAACTATTAGCGAATTTGAAGTATAGTAAAAATTCTCAAAAATAGGAAAAAGTATCTTTTAGTGTTACAAATTTTAAAAAAGTATCCAAATAGTAGCGAATCGTAAAAGAAGTAGTAAACAGAAGGTTTTAGTAGATGAGTGCGAAGCCAGATTATAATGACAAAATTAGATGAAGATTAATAAATGCAAAGATACGAATAATAAAATTTATAAATATAAAAATAAATAAATAAATGCAAATTTTGGAAATGAAATGAGAAAAATTCTTTTTTCCCTTTTGTTTCGGTGAATTAATAAAAGTGCTCACACAAACCGTATTTAACATTGTACCACATGGAGAGAAGTTTGGTTTTCACTTTGCTGTCAGCTTCAGAAGAAGCAGTCGAATCATCCAAAGAGATTTCACTCTTGGTGATCGGTATGATTTGCTGAACATTTGACACATGATCGCTTGGTACGAGACTCGTGAACCAAGTTGTACTACTGCTGCTAAATCCACCTAAAAATATATTCACAGCCATTTGAAGGATAAACACAAACTAAACACTTAAGCAACAAATACACTAATTGAGTCATTAACAAATAAAATTTATAAACAAAAAGAATAATGAAAAAATAAACAAAAAAAAACTAAACAAAAAGAATAAACAATCCAAATATTATAAAAATGAAATATTATCAAATAATATTCAGAAAAATGAACGTAAACAAAAGACTAAGACTACTTGAATCTTGAACTTTATAAATAGAAATTAGTTACATATATACAAGTCACGTCTAATATTAAATAAGATTAAGTCATTTAAGTCTATTTAACAAGTATTTAAAACATCATTACTTTGAAAATTCCGAGAGAAATATTCTTCGTTTATCCATAAGAACGAAAACAGATCTTTTAATAATGAGCGATAGGTATAGAACAATTAACATGTTGATAATAATGAAAACAAACATCATTAAATAAACAAAGCAGAAAGGTAACAAGTGCAGAATATTCTAGTGTCGTGCGTAATATTCACGAGATCGAAAATCAATAAATTGAACAAATGTCATAGAGACGAAATAATTAATTTTTAAATTACAAAAATAGAAATTACCATTAATCAAATTTCGAAGTAAATGTCATAAAGAATACTATAAGAAGTATTGAATATCTTTGTTATGAATATTCATTAGATATTCAATACTTCTTGGTATTTATCGTAGTTACTTACTAGACACATCCTTATTTTCAATTTCTTTGCCAATTGTAAAATTTGCAAATAAATTAAAAATAAAAATGCGACAAAATGACAAAAAAAATCCACTTACCTAACCTATCTCGTGTAGATTGCACTTGTCCATTCATACCCAAAAAAATAAGACTCAATAAATTGTGATCGTCAGAAAAACGCGTTTCCTGTCCAACACTATCGCGACACTTACATTTTCACGCACGTTAATTTGTTATTAACGAATTGAGAAGTATTATTAAAAATTAAGATTCCAAAGCATATTATTTTTATGTATTGTGAAGAATGATTTATACGTTAATGATGACCGCAACCTTCCGCAACAACATTTTCCTCATTGACAAGTATAAACTTGGCAATTGCTCTGCAATGTGTAAAAAATTCTTTCATTGCAGAAGTCAATGAATCAAACAATCACTATAAACTTGTCATTATAACCAGATAAAGAAAGTAAATCCGTGACCTAATTTTTCTTTTTTTAAACAAATTGACAGAAATGCCATCAAGGGACTTAGAAAAAATTTGGACTTAGCTTTAGCGCACCCTTGCGGTGAATAGACGAAATCGAAATTAATCGAAATGATAAGCTGACAACTTCACATTGTTAAACCAACCAATTGAAGTCGTTTACGATAAAAAGAACTTTTAAACTTATCCTTGTGTTATCCTTATAATTAAAAATTTAACTACGTAATAATCTGGAAAATTGACAGAAAATTAACTTTTAGTCTGACAAGTGTTTTTTTCATTTTGTTATTGTTTTATTAGATAAGAATTCAGAATTTTCAAACCTTCGAGCGGGATATTTAAAGGTACATCCACACCTTTATGCTTCGGTGGAGGGGATGAAACAGAATTCAATATGGCGTCAATGTAAACATCCTTTTTATTAAAAAGATTAAAAACAATTAAGTTGTAATGGAAAAAAGAAGAAAACAATAAACAAAATGATAATACCTCTAAGAAGGTTTGTAAAAAACAATTCTTTATATTTTTTTATTAATTTGATTAGGTATAAAGGACTAAATTATTATATTAGTATACTGTGCTTACCAATAATCGGAATAATTTTTAATTTAAATTTAAATTAATAATTTAATAATATATTTCTTGTCTAGGAGTGATAGTGGTGTGACAGAATGGGCAATTGTTGAACTTCATGGAGACTTAAAAGAATCAGCAAATGCTGATCTTAATTTACACATTGGAGATCTTGCTTATGACAAAAATGGCATTGCCACATTAATTATTGGAAATTATATTTTAACTGGAAAGGAAACTTCAATGGACAAACCGATTGCAGTATTAAGGAAAACACTCAGCACTGATTCAATAGAATGTGACAAGGAATATTTAATTATCGCTATTGTTAAGAAGAAACTTATTTTCAAAGTAAGACCAAAACCAATTACAATTATGGCTCAAAAATCGTAATCAAAATTTTGTACTTATAGTTGTTACTAATAGTTATTAAGACTTTTATATTTTGAATAACTTTTTTTTAAATAAATGTCAGAAAGTTTCTTAAATTATTAAAAGACAATATTTATTTAGCAAAGTAGAAATAGCGAAACAAAAAAATAGAATAGGTTTCAAATAAACAAAAATTTGCTTAAAAACTTATGTTTATTATAAGTAAAATAACTTAAATTACTTAACAAAAATAATAGAGTGGAATTATTTTCGAATACTAGAAATTTACTGCTAATCTTTCATCTCCCCTTCCTCGTCCTCTTCTTCAACACCACGAATGTACATTACATTATTACATCGAATTAAAACTTCTCCCAAATTTCCTGTGCAATTTCCATCAATATGTTCCTCTGTATTAGCGAGCTGAAGGTTCATATAACCATCGACAGAAACAAGATATCCTTTGTATTCATGTCCCCATTTTAGTTTTACCATCACTGGCTTTCCAGTCAAACCATTGAGAAATGGTTTTGGATTTATTGGCATAGTCGCAGCCATTGTGACAAGTTTTTCTAAAATAAATATTCGAGTATTAAGTTAAATATGATTGAAAATTAAGAGAAGACCTAAAAATATAAACTTTGTTTCTATACAGCATATAATTTTGTTTTTATACTAAATAAAAATGTTTATACTAAATGAAAACGTTTACTAAACGAAAATGTTTACTAAACGAAAAAACATTTATACTGATTACTGAGTATAAATTTTTATACTAAATATAAATTTGACTTTTGTACTAAATACAAATTTGTTTTTTACACTAAATTTATCACAAAGGCTGTTAAATAGTATAACAATACAAAAAAATTCCAAATAAGACAGTATCAATTAAATAATAATAAAAAATAATTATTTCGGTAAACAAGAAATTGCCTTGAAAAGTGAGGTTAGGAAGAGAATTACTTTCAGTTTATGCAAAAGAAGTCTTAGAAGACTTTTGAAAATTAATGTCGTAGAAATTGCAACATAATACAAAATATTCTAAATATATACTTACAGTTTTTTCCGTAAAAAATAGAGAAAAATATAAAAAATTTCGCTTGAAAAAGCGTGATACCGGAGACGACAAACAAATGCTGTATACAAAATACAAGCTTCTTTTTCAAAACACTACCGGATTGGTCAACTTTTTAATTCTCTTATTTGATTTGCTAATGAATTCATGAAAATACCACCTGCAGTCTAAAGCACACTTCATAGGCACCAAGTAAACGCCAATCGCCATGTAAACTAGAGAGCGAAATTCAAACTTTTTACTATTTTTTTCTTCAATTAAGTTTACTATAAATTATTCTTTGTACTACTTTTGTGACTTTTGTATTCATGGTATAATTTAAACCAGAATTTATTATTTTACATTTTGTTTCAATTGTTGTTCCTTTTATTCTAAACGTTTTATTATTAGAAAAAAATGTGTGTCTAGACAGTCGACGAGACGCAATCAACAAATTTTCAATACAGTTATGTAGAACCAAGTAGAACATATAAAAGATTCCGCAGTTAATTTCATAAGAATAATATTTAAAAAATAAATACACTCGAAGTTTATAAAAATGAATGTCGTTCCAGGAACTGCATCTCTTCTCGAGGAATTAGACAGTATGTTAATTGTTACATCTTTCTTTTGTAAATTTATAGGTTATGTTTTCATAAATCTTATGTTGAATTTTATTCAAAGTTAACATAAGTGTAATTATTTTTAAAGTTTGTTAATATCAATAATATTTATAAATTATAAAATAATTGTTTTTTGAAAATATGTAATTAATTTTTTTATAGGTTATGTTGCATTTTTACGTTTAAACGCATTTAGAAAAAAATCAGGTTTTGTTTATATTTTGTGTATATATAATATAATAATATAATAGTAAAAATAGATAGTAATATAATAATAGTAAAAATAGATAATAATATAATAAATTAATTATAAATATCTTATTATGTATTTAAAAAAAACAGTAAAATTTAAGATATTAATGGTTGACACTTACATTTCCACTGGTGACTAAAATTTGTTTCAGAAAAACTAATGGTCCTCTTGCGAGATGGTAGAACTTTAATCGGTTATCTCAGGAGTGTTGATCAGTTCGCAAATTTAGTTTTACATCGAACGATCGAAAGAATTCACGTTGGCAAAGAATATGGAGATATTCCACGAGGAGTTTTTATAGTCAGAGGTGAAAATGTGGTTCTTTTGGGAGAAATCGTGAGTTTTGAATTCAAATATTCTTTTCTTGTATATAATAAAATATAATACATTTTATCCTTTTATTGTGATTATTTAATTACTAAAAATTGAATATTTATCATTTGTCTCAGGACAGAGATAAAGAGAAGGATCTACCTCTCTCCGAAGTTTCGGTAGACGATATTCTCGATGCGCAAAGAAGGGAGCAGGAAATGAAACAAGATCAAGAACGTTTGATGAACAAAGCATTAAAAGAACGAGGTCTTTCTTATATACCAGATTTAGGTCACGATGATATGTTTTAACAGTAAACTAATTTTTCCCATATTATTTTAATTTAAATTAACATAAATTTCCCCAACGTTTGTTAATTCTTTCTCAATTCCTCACAGCTAAGTTAAATTATTTTCTTTTAGTTAATTAAGACACGTGAAATTCATCAACAACTTTATAAAATAATTCTTGACATGTGTAAATATACATAATTTTCTATCGTTTAATAATAATAATTCTCTGCAAAATAGTTTGTATTTAAATTTGACTAATTAACTAGCGAAAATTACAAGCTTTTTTATTTTCTAATATGAATTTTTAAATAATTTCAGATTCAAACTTTAAAGAAATTCAAATATTAACTAATTTACTAATTAATCAATTATTTTTATAAATAATAACAATTTTTGCAAAAATTCAATTATTTTTAAATAAAATTTTAATAACATTTCACGAAGTAATACAATTATTTTCTAAAATTTTAATGAATCCTTCGAAACAATTCAATTCTTTTTTTAAACAGTAAAATTTTTGCAAAATTTCAATTATTTTTATAAAATTTCATGAGAGAATTTTTTATTAAATTTTAATAATATTTTTCGAAAGAATTCAATTTGTTTCTAAAATTTTTATAAATCCTTGGAAACAATTCAATTTTATATTTATAAATTTAGTAAAATTCTTTGCAAAAATTCAATTATTTTTAATACAATTTTAATAAAATTTCATGAAAGAATTTAATTTTTTTTCTTAATTTTTAATACTTTTTGAAAAAAATCAATTATTTTCTAAAATTTTAATAAATCTTTTGAAACAATTCAATTATTTTTTAACAGTAAAATCTTTACAAATTTTCAATTATTTTAATAAAATTTCATAAAAGAAATCAATTTTTTATTAAATTTTAACAATATTTTTCGAAAGAATTAAATTATTTTGTAAAATTTTAATATATTCTTCGAAACAATTCAATTATTTTTTTAAACAGTAAAATCTTTGCGAAATTTTAATTATTTTAATAAAATTTCATGAAAGAATTCAATTATTTTCTAAAACTTTTATAAATCTTTCGAAACAATTCAATTATATTTGTAAATTAGTAAAATTCTTTGCAAAAATTCAATAATTTTTAATAGATACAATTTTAATAAAATTTTATGAAAGAATTCAATTTTTTTTTCTTAATTTTTAATATTTTTCGAAAAAAATCAATTATTTTCTAAAATTTTAGTAAAATTTTTTGCAAAAATTCAATTACATTTATAAATAGCAAAATTTGTCGTTCAATTTTAATTATTTTCAAAATTAACAAAATTCTTTTTGAAAATTTAATTATTTTCAAAAATTTCAATAAATTTCTTGGCAAAATTCAATTATTTTTAAGAATAATAAACTTCTTCGTAGGAATTTAATTATTTTAAAAAATTTTAGTAATATTTTTTGCAAAAATTCAATTATTATTTTCAAAAAAATTTCACCAAAGAATTGAATTTTTTTCTTAATTAGTTATAAAATATTTCAAAAGAATGCAATTATTATCTAAAATTTTAATAAAATTCAATAATTAAATGTTTAATTTCAATTATTAACAAACACCGATTATTTTAAAAACTTTAAAGAAATTGTTCATAAAATTCAATTATTTTCAAAATTTTTAATTAAAATTATTAAAGAAACTCCATTATTTTAAATAAAATTTTAACAAAATTTTTCGCGAGAATTCAATTATTTTCCTAAATAATAAAATTCTTGGAAGGAATTCTATTATTATTATTAAATTTTTTGATAAAATTTGTTGCAACAATTCGATGATTTTCAATCTATTTATTTTTAAATTTGAAAATATTTAAAAAGAAAAATTATTAAAAAAGTTAAGAAACAAAAAAGCAAACAACTAAATTCAAACTGCGAACTGATTACCGGAATTATTAATTATTATTATTATAATTATTATTATTATAATTATTATTATTACGATTATTAATGTATTAAATTTATTAATTAATTAAATTTTTATTTAAATGAAACAAACATAATTCCGAATATATAAGTTTATTATTACTTCAAGAAGTTTTCCAAGAATACAGTGCTTCTTGACAACAGTCAGACTTCAGGTAAATAGGGTTCACGTTATACTTTATATCGAAGAATAAAAATATTAATTCTAACTTTTATACTCTTCGTCGTTTGTGTAGCATTTACTCGTTGCTACAGTAAAAAAATAATTCAATAAGAAACGATCAAACTTTCACCTGATTTGTCTCTTATTTTTAAATACAATAACAATTTAAACTTAAACAATATAAATTCTTTTGTTTAAGCTCAGATCTAAATTTTTCATCTTTTACTTACACGTAAGTATATTATTTATTTCTCTTCCGTTTTCAAAAAGCAGTTTCAGTTACTACTTCATTCATTCTTAGCGAGCCTAGAGTTGAGTCATTGACTTTATGCATTGACGTTTGATTTTTAGAATTACTCAAGGTCACTTTGTCCTTAATTGTGCGTTTTGAATCGTTACGTTGTAAACTGGTACCGCGTTTTCTTGGCGAAAGTACATCATCCATTTTTTCCGAGGAATTATCAGCACTGTTGGTACTACCGGAAGCTATCCCTGATGTATCCGATCCGGGATTATTACCATCCAAACAATGAAGAAGACTATCGGAGAGTGTATCTTCATTGAGAATATTTATATCCGATTCGGAAGGTTCAAAATCCCCGGTTCGTGATGTAAAACTCAAATCCACGGGACTTGCATCAAGAACGCTTCTCGATAGAAGATATTCTCTAAAAGTACTCGTGATGGATGAACTTTTTTGTGCACTTGACAGCTCATCGGCTAACGATGAGACTAAATTTTGACTGTTTTTCACATCCTCGCGAACATTCTCCTTATTGTCAACTATAATTTTGTCATTATACGTATCAGAAGATGTGGGAGATTCTTCCATTATTGAAGCACATTCGTTTCTGAGTATAAGATCTCCACTGAAACTACGTAAATATGAACTGGATGGTGCTGCATCATTTTGCATTGCTGGGAAATTGCAAATACTGGTGCTTGACAGCATCATCACAGGTTTCCGAGATCTTGGTGTCATTATATTTTCCTAAGAAGAAAAAAAATTATTACAATCAAAAATAATGAAAATTTATCATTATATGCAGAAATTTAAAATAATTTTGGAAAATTTTGATATAAGAATTCAATTTTAATAATTTTTTTTCTACAAAATTCTTCACAGAAATTCAATTATTTTTAATACAATTTTAATTGAATTTCTAAAAAGAATTCAATTATTTAAATTTTTTTTTATTCTATATTATTTGTAGAAATTCAATTATTTTCAAGAATTTTGATAAATTTTATTATAAGAATTCAAATATTTTCAAAAAAAAAATCTTTATAAGGATCCAAATCTTTTCAATATAATTTGAATTGAATTTCTTGTAAGAATTCAATTATTTTCAAAAATTTTAATAAAATTTTTCGTACAAATTTAATTATTTTCAAATTCCTGCAAAGAATTTACTTAATTATAAAAGTAATCGAATTTTGTCAAGAATTTTATTAAAACTGTTGAAAATAATTGAATTCCCGCGAAGAATTTTCAGGGTTCCTACAGAATCTGGAAATCATGGAAATGGTATGGAATTTTTAAAAGGCTTCTGGAAATCAGGAAAATCATGGAAACGGCCTGGAATTTTTAAAAGTTTCTAAATTTTTTCAGTTTTCCATTTTTTCTCTTGAATATAAATTCAAAAAATAATAAAGCTAAATGGCATAAAAGAGAAGAAAAAATGTTGAGTTTTAAGAAATTCGGATTTTTGAATTTTTGATAATTTTCGATAATTTTAGATTTTTTACCAAAGATTCGACACTATCAAATAAGTAAAGTATTTTCCAAGAGCACAAAAATAATGAAGCTTAATCCCATAAAAGAGAGGAAAAAATGTTGAATTTTAAGAAATTCGGATTTTTGAATTTTTGATAATTTTCGATAATTTTAGATTTTTTACCAAAGAGTCAAGACTATTAAATAAGTAAAGTATTTTCCAAGAGCACAAAAATAATGAAGCTAAATCCCATAAAAAAGAGGAAAAAATGTTGAATTTTAAGAAATTCGGATTTTTGAATTTTTGATAATTTTAGATAATTTTAGATTTTTTACCAAAGATTCGAGACTATTAAATAAGGAAAGTATTTTCCAAGAGCACAAAAATAATGAAGCTTAATACCATAAAAGAGAGGAAAAAATGTTGAATTTTAAGAAATTCGGATTTTTCAATTTTTGATAATTTTCGATTTTTTACCAAAGATTCGAGACTATTAATAAGTAAAGTATTTTGCAAGAGCACAAAAATAATGAAGCTAAATCCCATAAAAGAGAGGAAAAAATGTTGAATTTTAAGAAATTCGGATTTTTGAATTTTTGATAATTTTCGATAATTTTAGATTTTAGTTCAAACAAAAACAACTAAGTTCAAATTGCAAATAGTCATCCGAAACACAACGATTGTAAATATAGATTATCAAGGAGAACTTTTTCTTTTTGTAGAAATTTGTCTTGATTAAGCTTTATATTATTAAAAATAAGATTAATAACAATTTTTTAATAAAAAAAAAAGGAAAAGAATTGTAGAAAAGCGAAAGAAAGAACATGCTTAACATGCATACCTGCATCGCCTTGCTCATCTTGGTAGCGCTTTGAGTGATGGGACTCATGCTTTTATCGTTATCCGTAATTGGCGTTAATATATACTCATTGGAATTAAGATTTCGATGCAAAAAATTCGATGGCGTGGAAGTGTGAGCGGTGAACATATTTCTCAATATACTCTTCATAGGCGAGGCATATTTAACTCCAGATCCACTACTCGTCCCCTCCGATTTCCTTGAATCCTTATCAGACGTCAAATATTTTGGTGCAATATTTGAAATCGATATTTTAGGTGTGAACAGAGCATCCATCGTTCCTCTCTTCGAAATGGCAATTGCAGGATCAGAATTTTGTCGTACAAAATTTTCATTTTCACTCAAATCATCTAGACTTGCTTGAGATGAATACATATTCGGTGGTTCACTGCAATGTCGTGACAATCTCACGTGATTTGAATTATTCGATTTTGTTGAATTTGTCTTTTCATTGCAAGATATACGATGTGAATTGAGATGTTCTTCAATTTCACTGAGATTCGTTTCATTATAGTTCGTTTCAATTTGAGAATTCTCTTCGTCAATACTTAGGAAATTAATTAATCTAGCTTTCTCAGCTTTAAACATTGACAAAGTGGGCGTATGAAGACTTCCAGTGCTACTACTCATATGCTTTATTTTCAGTAAATTGTCCGTTTCAAGCATATTAAAACTATCCGAACTAAGTTCGTCTTCTGATTTACTTAATGTTCCTTTCGGAGGAAGACGTGGCTTATCAAGCGGCTGTTTAGAACAAGCAATCAAGCTATTAGTCACAATTATAGTTCACGTGCATGAAAATTAGATTTTGTATTAAAGAAAAAGATTTAGTAGAAAAAAAATAAATTCTGTTAGAAGTTTTATCTTACAGTTAACGAGACGACACATTTAGAAATTTAAATGCTTTTTTATAACTTACCACAGATAACATATTTTCCTCGCTGCTCGATCTGCTGAAATTACATCCCAGTTTCATGTCCAAAAGTTTTTTATGACCCAATAACTTTTTTTGGAAAATATGCTTCTTTATGGAATCCCCTAAACTTTTAGTACGAACATTTTTCACGTGCCGCGGTGTGCCTTGACCATTTTCCTTATTAAATTGTTTAACCAGTTTTCTCTTCTTCGCAGACTCGGGCATTGATTGAATGTACGCGTAGAGTTGAGCTAAAGCCGCTTGTGTGTCTTGTGAGGCCGTAGCTTGAGCTGTTAATTGATGATCAACAAAACTAAAAACGGTGTGAGCAGTTCCTGTTGTGTCTGACATTGATTCGTTTAACTGAAACAAAAATTGAAAATTTATGAAATTAAAATTAGAATTATAAAATACAGGGTTGCCACAAAAATTAAATTTTGTTTTTTCCATGAATTACAAGAATATTTATTGTAAAACATGACGAAATCGATAACTGCGAGTCGAGAAATCGATTTCTTCATGTTTTACAATATTTAAAAAGTGACCGAGTGATAAAATCATTATTTTATATTATAAAAATGTTATTACTGTAATTTCTTTAAAATTATTTTCATCATTTTCATTCAATTATTATTTTCTAGAATTTTTAACTAACATTCTTCTTTACATCAATTATTTTTAATAATTTCTGAATAAGTACTTGGAGAATTTTTCAAACCCTCTGCTTATAATTAAATTTTACGAAATTTCGATTATTCGGAAATTCTTCAATTAAATATATTAGAAAATAAAAACTGCAAACAATTTTTAAAAAATTTAAATCATTAAAATACAAAAATATGTAAATAATTTATTGAATAACTGAAAGTTTCTCAAAATTGAATTCTCATAAAGAATTTAATCAACAAATTCTTAAATAATTGAATACTTTTGATGAACTTTAATAAAATTTTTAAGAATAATAATTAAAATAATTGAATTTCTGCGAAGAATTTTATTATTCATGAAAATAATTGAATTTTGCTAAGAATTTTATTAGAATTTTTTAAAATAATTGAATCCCCACGAAAATATATATTTATTTAGCCCAGAAATTTATTAGAATTTTTGAAAATAATTGAATTTCTGCGAAGAATTTAGCTATTTATGAAAAAAATAATTGAATTTTTACAAAAAATGTTATTAAAATTTATGAAAATAACTAAATTCCTACGAAGAAGCTCGTTTTCATGAAAATAATTGAATTTTTATGAAGAAATTTATCAAATATTTTTAAAAATAATTGAATTTCTGCTACGAATTTTGCTATTTATGAAAATAATTGAATTTTTATAATAAAAGTTATTAAAATTTTTGAAAATAATTGAATTCTTGCGAAGAAGTTTGATATTCATGAAATTAATTGAATTTTGCCAAAATTCTTCTATAAATACAATATTTTTAATAATTAATTAAATATATATTAAAAAATGGAAATAACTTCAAAAAAATTTGAATTACTAAAATTTTTCAAAAATCTAAGTTCTTTAAAATTTATAATTAAATTCATTAAATTGATGGCTTTTATTAGAATACGTGGTAATTTCATAGTTTATAAGGCAAACAAAAAAAGACACCATAATTAAGAACCCTCAAAACTATAATTAAAATTAAAAAACTATTTGAATTATGAAACTAAAATTGGAACTAGAATTAGAATTCGAATTACGAAAGTAGAATTATAATTTAATAAAATAAAATAAATAAATTTAATGCTCAATTCAGTGTTTTTGTAAACTTACGTCAGACTTTTTTGGACTTAAAAGTTTCCTCTCTTGATCCACCCAATAAGCCCTCACGTCCATTGCTAATTTCGGTGGAATCTCGAACAACTCCAAACCCTTTCTAATCATGAAGGCAACAATTACCGATAAATTTTGCGAGTTTATATGTAAAGCTTCGGGTGTTAATTTTCTTGGACACATTAGATGTGGTGTAAATAGCGTAGCGAGTGTATCACAATTCATTTTATTACTGTTTTCAAAAGAAGCCGTCTTATTTAAGAGATTCAACAAGTGCTTCAGTAAAACTCTATTTATCGGTGGTAAGAGCAACAACAAAAGCTGCAATGACCTCAAAAGTCTCGCATCATTTGCACTCGTTTCCGAACTACATAATTCTGAAATTTATCATTTTAAGACTTGTTATTAATTAATAAACAATTAGTTAATTTAATTTCCAATTTAAAGGGAGATGAAAAAAGAAGAAAATAAAGTAATCAATTCACCTGCGATTTGGCAGTGAACAGGATAATGTGAATCTGTTAAAAGTGGTTCCGGGAGATCGGCCAGAAATATTTTCAAAACAGATGCACAATCATGAACACTGAATCGACCTTCTTCGAAATCTAGCGGAAGACTCTGATAAAGAGCATTCTTCAAATCTTGCTGCCTTGTCAATTTCCCAGTTCGTCGAAAAATTCCTTCTTGAAGAATACCTACATTTTGAAATAAAAATAAATTTATCAGTATTATCGAGACTATAAGAATTCTAGAGAAATTACCTTTTCTATAATATTTTTATACTTTTTTAATATTTTCCTTTTTTATAAATAAACTTACATTCCTCCTGGGATAAATAATTAATCAATCGCTTCACTTGTTTTATTCCCTCTTGCGTCAATGGAACACCTTCGGGTCCTTTATGTAGATTTAGAGATGACTTGGGTTTTTTTGAGAAGCTTATCAGACCCCACTTCTTTAATTTCGCTTTCTCCATAACGCAATCATTACTGTAACAAAAGCATAATCTTAATGGACTACATAACAAATGAAATACATAATAGAAATAGATTTAAAATCTAATTAATGTGAAATCAATGTGAAAATAGCTTTAAATTTTGTTCAAAAAAAAATTTCTATGTAATAGGATTTTAACTTTCTTTTTTCATAAACACAATAAAAATACAAACCAGGAAGAGAACAATGCCTCATTAGATCTGGCATTTATAGGTGAACTCATAAAATGTTTAGCTTCACGCCAAACATTATTCAATTTTTGTGGAAAACAGGATGAAGTAAAAACTTCAAATTCAAACTCCGGCGATTCAAAACTAATGCACAGTTAGTTACAAAATATTTACTTTATATAACAAACATAATTTTATATATAAAAATAACAAACATGCATGCAATAAAAAAGATATAAATGCAATAAAAACAAAGTTATTTCAAAAATTATATCATATAATAAATTTGTAATTAGTAAATAACAAATAAAAATAATTAAATTAATATTCAAAGACAAGTAAAAAAAGTAAATATTTCCTTAAAGAACTTTAATTATTAACATTTCTTTCATAATTTTCAACTATTTTCCTTTTGCAAAAAGATCACTAAACATTAGAAAAGAGGTTAAACATACTCTTCTGTATTGCGATCCAATTCAAAAGATAAATGCATTTTGACAAGTGTGAAGAATTGCTCCGGATTTGCTGTCCGTAGTCGGGAGGCTTGATGCCCATCAATTCCATCATTAAAGTCTTCCATCGTGATTAGTTATTGAGAATTTTTTTTATTTTTAATCAGGCACGTTTTATCATGTTTAAATCGCGTCTTTTACGCACACTCCCCTGTTATTCAATAACGGTTACGAGCACTGCCAACTAATTAGCTTTCTATTTAAAATAACCTTACTTTCTGCCTCTTCTGTTAAGCACATCTTTTTGCCTAATGAAAATAATAAAAGATTTAATATAGAATTCTGTTTGAAGAACTTTTAGTGAAAAATAAGAAAAACTGATTGTTTACAGATTCACAAACGCGGTATATGTATACATCTCAACACGAAACTGAATGGGGAAATGCTTAAGATTAAGAAAGAGAGGGAACATCTGTCCTGTCACTGAAGCGGTCAATTTCAATGTTCAGCGTTGGCACTTATACTTGCGTTACGCTGCGTATATACGGCCATGACCTGGTGACTAGTGCACTGGTGCACTGAAGCGGTTCCGCCTTTCTAAAAAAGCGCATGCTCAAATAAACAAGAATTGCATCCAATCGTTTGCCTCTCATATGATGGGTGGGAATTTATTTAAATTTAAATTTGTTAAAAAAATTTATTTATTGTTAGTTTTTCCTTTTATTTGCGCAAGTGAAACAAATTTTATTGAATTAAATTTTTATTTGAATAGATTTCTTTTAAATGATTTTTGAAGAAACTTTTTTTGAAGAAACTTTCGTTTTTAATTAATTGAAGTTAGCAACAAATATACTGTCAAAATTTTTAAAATAAAAAATTTTACTTTATTTTGGATAAATACAAAAGTGTTAATATTATTTGTTTTAAAACCATGTGAAATAAGGAATTATTTTAATTTTCAAACAATCGGAAATAGATTAAATGTATTATTTTCCTATCGAAAGAGTTTGAATCAATGAAAGAAAAGTGCAAGTGAACAAAGAATGTCAAATTATGGTTAGTTGTTATCAAAGAAAAAATTAGTTGTTAACAACAGGATTGCTAAAAAATTAATTTTGTTTTTTCCTGACTTTTCCCTGATTTCCAAGCAAAATTTTGACTATTTTCCTGACCCTAAAGAATATTTTGATTCACTCTAAAAATAATTAGATACTCAAAAAAATGTTCTATTACATTTACTCGCGAATTTTTTTAATTGTAAAATTATTCGAAAACATTAATTAATTCTTCTTTAAATAAATATTTAATCATTATTATTATTCCATAGAAATAAAGATTTTCAAAAATTATGATTGATATTTTCATGTTTCATAATAATTTAAATTTTCATAAAATTTTTCAAAAACAATTAAATTATTTACAAAAATTTTAATAAAATCCTTCTCAAGAATTCAATTATTTTTACAAGGTAATAAAATTTTTCACATGAATTCAATTATTTAAATAAATGTTATGAAAATTGGTTTTAAGAATTAAATTATTTTCATAAATAATAAAATTTTTCATAGTATTTCAATTATTTTGTATATAATTTTAAATGAATTCCTTTAAAAAAATGTCATTATTTTCAAAAATTCTTTGCTAGAATTCAATTATATTTCATACATAATGAAATTCTTCGTTAAAATTTAAATATTTTTAAAATCTATAATTTTAATAAAATTTCTCAAAAGAATTCAATTATTTAAAAAAATTTAATAAAATTCGTTGCAAGAATTCAATTCTTTTCATAAATAATAAAGTTCTTTACAGGATTTCAATTATTTAACAAAAATTTAATAAAATTGGTTGCAAGAATTCAATTATTTTTATAAATAATAAAATTCTTTACAGGATTTCAATTATTTAAAAAGAAAATGTAATAAAAAATTCGTTGCAAGAATTCAATTATTCTCCTAAATAATAAAATTCTTCACATGATTTCAATTATTTTTAATACAATTTTAAGAAAATTCTTCGAAAAATGTAATTATTTTCAAAAATTAGAATTTTACGAAAATTTTTTAAAAATAATTTTTAAAAATAATTGAATTTCGGAGAAGAATTTTATATTATTTTTCAAGAAAATTGAATTTTTTACTAGAATTTCTTTTAATTTTTGAACATTATTGAATTTCTGCGAAGAATTTTATTGCTTTTGAAAATAATTGAATTTCTGCAATTATTTGTAACTTCTTAAAATTTCAATTTTTTTTAGTGTTTTGAACTAAAATTCTTCCATTATTTTTAATAATTAATTAAATATACATTAAAAAATTTAACTAATTTCAGAAGAAGTTGAATTATTAAAGTAAATTATGAAATTAATTAATTAATTAATTTATTTTTAAAGAAACGTCGAATAAAGTTTGTTTCGAATGCTCTGGCAAACAAAAAAAACGCTCATGTTCATGTCAAGGAAATGTGAGTTGTCTGGATCGAATTGAAGGCGATGGTTTACGTTTGAAAGGGAAAATATTACCTGAATCGACACCCGTCCCTTGCCAATGTATCGAAGAAGAAGCGTGGAATAAAAATATCCCTCCAAAACCAAATTGCGAATGGTTGAATAGTTTTAAGGAACTTCGTCGTCAATGGAGCAATCACAGTCGACAGCAGCAAAATTGCAAATGTTACGGTTGTAATTCATAGTGAGTGCAAATTTTAATATCTTCTCTCCAAATCCAAGTAGAACTTTTATCTAAATTAATTAAACTTATAAATATTTGACTCTAAATCCACTTTAATCCGAATTTTTAAAAATATTTTACGAACCATCGAATGGAGGACAATACTTTTTTACTTCTCTTAATTTGTATTTATTTACAAAAAAAAATTATTTTGTAAAGTAATTTTTGTTTATAAAACAAAAGCTCAACTAAATAAATAAATTAAATTAACTAAATAAATTTTTAATATCAATTGCTTTTCTCTTTTGTATAGTAATTTTCAAAAATACTAAAAGCAGAAAAAAGTCATTCATTCGAACGTTCAGAACTTTAGAAAAATAAATAAAATACATACTTTTAAATAAAGAATGCATAAATGTTATAGCAGATGCCAGTCCTGTTTGTTATCCTCCTACACTGGTGGTAATGTTTTATCGCCAACAGTTCGTCAGGTACGAAGAAATTAAAAACTAAAAAACAAGAAATGAAATAAAAACTAAAAAATTACTAAAAATGAAAATGAAGTTTAAGTTTCTAGTAATTAAAACTAATTTTTACTCACCTTTTTAGAATGATTCCTTCAAAGTTTGCCCACAAGGATCAAGATCAAAAGACAAATCAACATCAACTTCTAAATGTTCATTATCACCGAATTATAATTCTCCAGTGACGAATTTTCAAAATTCACGAAATTATCAATCACAGCACGGCAATAGATCAAATTCACCACGACGATCAATATTGAGAAAAGGACAATGCTTCACTCCAGAATGTTGCTTCTGTCATACAGCGGCAAACGCTTGTAATTGCGCCTCATCTGTAAGGGAGAATTCAGAAAGAGATTATTATTCCGAGTATTCACGAGAACGTAAATTTCCACGAAATAATAGCGATTCGACAGAGAAATTACATGAAAAATGTCAATTACAAGATGAAAAATATCTCTGCTATAAATGTGAGCCGAGTTCATTACCATCGTGCGGTCAGTGTCCAGCAACAAGTTGTTGCAGAGAAGATTCAGATTCCTCCTCAAGTCGTTCAAAATCAGCAACTCCTTCGAAATCCTCTCGTCACAAGACGTCGGACAATTTTTTTCAAGAAACCCACGTACCTAAAAATCATCTCGGCGGTCATAATAGTTCAGGAACATTGACAGGTCAGTTTCAACGTCAACAGAAACGAAGATCTAGAAATTAAATTTCAAAATAAATAAATAATTATTAAAATAAATCACGATTGATTTATTTCTCCTTAATTAGTGTTTAATATTCAGGAGGAGTAAATTATCGAAATTTCTTCTACTATTGGAAAATAATTTATTTATTCATTACCTGAAGGTAGGTAGTGGAAAAGTGATTGAAAAATCCAAGCAGGGTAAAGGCTTTTCTCGGAAATTTATTAAATGTTTCGCTCTCCTAATTCTCGTTCCTGTAATTTTGGCCACTGGTTTTGCCTTATACCAACGCTATAAACGTCCTAAAAGAATTTGTGGATAATTAAACAACTTTTATAAGTGAAATATGCGTCTAATTATTTCTAACTATATAATGTAGTTATACATAATTATTAATATAATTATTATACTCACAACAATAAATAATAAATATATTAATAATAATTATAAAAAATAATAAATATATTATTAATAGGTATAATAACTAAATATTCTTTTTCATAAAATATCTAAAAATAAAATTGGAAGTAAAACAGGGCTCGAACCAGTGAAAGTATTTAAAAATACGGACTTTACGGACCAAAAATGAAAAATTTCGGACCAATTACAGACAAAAATATAACCAGTCCGAGACAAATAAGACAACAGTTTACTTAAAACAATAAATAAAATTTTTTCATAAATATAAAACATAAAGAAATCAATAACTCCGAGTCTTCGACAAATTTCTAATTAATTGATTTCTCTTGATGAATTTTAATAAAATTTTTAAGAATAATGACATTTTTTGAGGAATTCGATTAAAATTGTATTAAAAGTAATTAAAATTCTGCGATGAGTTTCATAATTTATAAAAATAATTTAATTCTTGAAAAGAATCTTATTATTTATAAAAATAATTGAATTCCTGTAAAAAATTTTACTATTTATGAAAATAATTGAAATATTGAGAAAAAATTTATAAAAAAATTTGTAAATAATAGAATTCCTGTGATATTTTTATTAATTGTGAAAATAATTAAATGTTTGCGTAGAATTTTATTCAAATTTTTGAAAATAATTTGATTTCGGAAAAGAATTTTATTATTTATGAAGATAATTTACATTTTGACGAGGATTTTTATAAGTTTATGATCATAATTGAATTTTTACAAAGAATTTTGTTATTTATGAAAATAATTAAGTTTCTGCGAAGAATTTTATTAACATTTTTGAAAATAATTGAATTTCTCAGAAGAATTTTGCTATGAAAATAATTGAATTTTACCGAATTTTTGAAAATAATTAAATTCTTGCGAAGGACTTTGTTCTTTATGATAATAATAATTGAATTTTGTTCTCTATCAAGATTTTTCTTAGATATTTATTATTTATTAAAGTAATGGAGTAATTACGAAGAAATTAGAAAAAAATTTATAATTAATTGAATTCCTGTGAAATTTTTATTGTTTATAAAAATAGTTAAATGTTTACGTAGAATTTTATTAAATTTTTTTTGAATAATTGAATTCTTTTTGAAAATTTTACTCAATAAGATATTGAATTGAGGGAAATTTTTGAAAATTATTGAAATTTTGCCAAGAATTTTATTACTTTTGAAAATAATTGAATAACGATAATTAGAATTTTGAGAATTTTTAAAAATTCTTTAATATAATTGAATTTCTGCGAAGAATTTTATTATTTTTGAAAATAATTGAATTTCTGCAATCATTTGTAATTTCTTTAAATTATATCGTATAATTTACGAACTATTCGTCCTTTTTCAATTAAATTACGGACTTTACAGACCTTTTTTTTTAAAAAAAAACTGACTTTTACGGACTTGCATTAAATTTACGAACCTAGTTCGAGCCCTGAATAAAATAAAATAAACTAAAATTTAATTATCAGACTAGAAAAGTATTAAAAAATTGTTTTATCAAAAAAAATATAATTGAATAACTAATTTTCCAGAGGTAATGAAAGATGAATCGTGTTGCTGTTATAATTTGAAAATTAGCGAAAACAGGTAAAGTTGCATCAACAATTCAAATATTATTAATTATTAGAATTATAAATAATTAATTATAATAAAATACTCCTCGATAAACTACTCAGTTACAAAATTTGAATTCTAGGAGAGAATTTATCAAACAAAGATGTCATAATTCTAAACAAAATTCACTCTTACCGAAAAATTGTTTCCAATGTCCAATGTGTTCATCTGTTCTCTCCTCTATTGTCTGGAAATGTCCAACGATTATTTCGCCGAAATCATACAAATCCAGTAAGTTCGACGTCAAAGTGGAAAACAATTCAAAATTCAAAGTCCATCCTCAGAATTCGAATTATGATTTAAATACGTCAATTAGTTGCACTGAAACATGTAAAATAGACGTAATTTCCGGACAAGAGAAATATGACAATGAAAAAGTGAAATTTCACAAAGATTACAACAATGAAGAGAAGAAATTCGATAGAAAATCAAATTATTCGAAAAAAGATTTTAAAAATTAACAGTCGATTGTAATGTATTGTTTATAACAGAGAATTGTTAATTTGTTGTTTCAATATTGACAAAAAAAAATATAAAAAACTGTATTTTCAATCTACTGTCGTATTTTTTCGAAATTGAATTTTAATTTTCAATTTTTCCTGAAAGCTTTAATTTTTAGAAAGAAGTTCAAAAAACTAAAGTTTCTGAATGTTCAAATAAACGAATTATTTTTCTATTAATAAAATAAATGTATAAATATAATAATATGTTAATAAATAATATATGTTTTCAAAAATTACCAGAATTAAAAATAAAATAAACAAAAATAATTAAAAATAAAATAAATTCAACATAGAAAGAAATTCAATATAAAAAGGAATTAATTTTCTAAATTAACAAAAAATATAAATAATAAATTCTGTAAAAGAATTGAAATTCTTACCGCAAGTAAAAAAAAACCTTCGTTCATTTGAATGTTCGAATCTTCAGGGACATTAAATACTTCCGAAATCTTTTGATCTGAAAAAATGGAAATCTATGAAATGAAATGAAATCTAATGAAAATTTTATAAAAGTATAAAAATTCAGCACTTATTTATTCCACAATAATTCCGAATAAAAAGGAAGTAATTTCAAATAATCTGACCTATATTTAAAGTTATTTCAAAAAGGATTTCCTTATCTTCGGTTTGAATTCATTAATAGTAGGCGTACATTCATCTCCTCTTTACTTTTGCATTTATATCTTCAGTGAGACGAGAACATTGAAAGTGCCATCATGTATTTAGTGTTAGTAGTGTTTTGCCTAAGCTACATCGAACAACCATTAGCCAAAGAGGTTGACGGTTGTGCAATATGTGGAGATTATAAGTAAACATTTACAAATAGATACATAATTTTTTTGTTCCCTTTCTCCATTCACGCTGAAAATATAAAAATTATTTCATTAAAATAAACGATTATTATTAACTGAAAATTATCTTTTATTAAATAAAGTAATAATTTAAACATCTAATGAAACTAAAGTAATAAAAACTTTATCATTTATTTGAATCAAATAATTTTTATTAAAAAGTCAATTAAATTGTATCTTAAGTATTAATTTCTGATTGATTTAGAGAAAAATTATTTTTTTAGCACAGAAAAAATTTTTTACCTAAAATAACTACAAATTTCACTATATATTATCAAAATTTTGAGTTGTTTCAATTAATGCTTTCGCTATTCTAGAGAAATTTATCGCTGTTACAGGTAAAATTTTTTTTCCGTGAATACCATTCAATATTAATGTTATCGTATTAATATTAATAACCAAAATAATAAATGAATTAAAATTGAATAATTGAAAAAATGTAGATGTCCTGAAAACCCAGAAAGATGTTTATTGGGTTTTGTGAACGACGTTTGTGGCTGCTGCCCCGATGGCGTCTGTGCAAAAATTAGTGGCGAAGCTTGTTGGAATTCGAGTATATCACAGTTACCATTTGAAAGACGAAATGAGGGCCTTTGCGCTGAGAATTATTCGTGTCAATTGCGTTTAGATCTTCAAGCCGAGGTACTCAGAAGTTGATCATATTTTAATTAAAATTCACTATAAGAGAGACTGAAAAATTTTGTTAACGAAGAAAATGAGAAGAGAAAATACCCATTTGCACTTTCATATAACGAAACGAATATTATTCCCTCGTTAATCCGGACCTTTCTTCACAAGAAAAGCCTTTTCCTTTTTCTCTTCTTTTTTGTTCCACGCGACCTTTAAAAAACAGAATTACAAACATAAATATAATTAATTAGCATTTTCAAAAAGTCACTTTCTAATTAGCATAATTTTTTCCTGCAATTAATAATAATTAATTTCAAATTGTTTTTAATTTCTAATTAACAAAAATTGAAAACTAAAAATTAGTTAACGATTTTTGTTTTATAATAAGAATAATAATAATAATAATAATAATAATAATGATTTTACCTTTGTGGAATTATTTTTCAATTGGAAAAAAAATTTTCGAGTAATTGCAAAAAAAACTAGAGATGAACATAAAATAAATGTATGAAAAAATTAAATGGTCAGTGTATTAAAATCGTGTCGCTGACCCGTTTAAAACTCAGCTTTATATTTCTCCGCGACAATTGACATCAATCTTGCAATTAAGATGGTTGAAGCACTCAATTGACAAATTCGCGAGAAATATGACGAATACACAAAAAATACTGAAAACTACAATTTTAAATGCGAAAAAAAATTATTTTCATTAATGAAAACAAATTTGGAGAGAAATAAAAAAAAGTCAGTATAATAATAAGTAAATCATAATTTAAAAATAATATTTAAAATGATAGGACACACCTGAAGCGATTTGCGTCTGTAAAAATCAATCATCAGCGTGTGGAACGAACAACGAGACGTATGAGACGCCCTGCGCTCTTGATGAAGAAATAACGAGATCCAGAAATTCAGATTTGAAACTCGATCATATCGGACCGTGTCCAAGTCGACCTTGGATTGATTCAGCCACAAGAAATATTTCCGGTGTTTTTGGAACGAGAGTCGTTCTCAGTTGTGAAGCCGAAGGATTTCCGGTGCCGGAGATTTTTTGGGAATTCCACTCGGAAGATGGACTGACAGTTTTGAAATTGCCAAGTAATATTCATTGTTTTTTTACACTCAATTATTTTTCCTCTGTATTATTTTTTCGCCTAAAAAAAGAAGATTGTTTTTCAATTTCATTCAATTACTGCACCTTTCACTGTGTGAATTTTATAGATGACGATCACGATGGAGTGGTAAAAACGAAAGACGGTCCAGAACCAAGAATGCGAACATCCTGGATGCAATTGCCTCATTTAGAAAAAAGCCATGTTGGAACGTACTACTGTATAGCGACTAATTCTGTCGGCGAAGCGAGTATTTCTTCCTTTCTTTCTATCATCTAGTAAATAATAATAATAACGCCAAAAACGCCCGTGTATTTCAAATAAATAAATAAATAAATATTTAGTTTTAAATGACAAATTAATATTTATTTTTAAATACTTACGTCTTATATAAAAGTTTTTTATGTACTCTTATAGACTAGATAATTATAATTTGAGAAAATAAATGTAAAACTCTCAGATTAAAGTCATTGTCTTAGTGTTTAATTTTCTTACACGAAACTTTACCATCCATCGTCTGAAGGAGGTGGTCTGTAGAAAAAAAAAATTATTTTAATAATTTTAATAAATTAATTAATTATTTTTAATTATTATTTTGATAATTTGCAATTTTATACTCACTCTGGTGTGCGCCACGTACCGCGATCTATAATCACAGTATCAGGACTTTCCCTAAATAAACAGAGTTTAAAATCAGTTAAAAGGGTTAAAAGCACTTAAAATTACAGGCAATTTAAAATTTTAAGCAGTTAATTAGAATTTTAGGTTAATTAGAAGTAGAAGTTGAATTAGAAACGGTAGGTAAGATAAATAGTAAATATTTATTTTACTAATTTATTAATTTACTATTCTGAATTCAGACTTTGCACTCGACAATTAATTTAAAAAAAGTAGCAAACAGTAGGTTTCAAACTAAAAAAAAAAGGAAAATGTAGTTATCGAAAAATTAAACTCGACGACAAAAAAAAACTCGTTTTAGACACTTTACAAAACTGACAAAAATTCCATTCTATATTTTATTTTCCTGACTTTTTCCTCATTTTCACAAAATATTTATTTTTATTATTCATGAAACAAATTTAATTCTTACGAAGATTTTTACAAAAAAAATTTTAAATAATTGAATTTTGTTTGTAAATTTCATGAAATTAGAAGATATTGAAAATCATTGAATTGAGAATAGTTTTTAAAAATAATTAAATTTTACAAAGAATTCTATTAAAATTTTTGAGAATAATTGAATGTCTGTGTAGTATTTTATTAATTTTTTTTTAAAGATAATATTGAATTCCTAAAAAACATTTTGTTATTTATGAAAATAATTAAGTTCTTGAGAAAAATTTTATTACAATTTTTTAAAATAATTGAATTTTTAAGAAGAAATTTATTACTTTCAAAAATAATTAAATTCCTGTGATGAATATTGTTATTTATGAAAATAAATGAATTTTGCAAAGAATTTTATTAAAATCCTTCAAAATAATTGAATTTTCGGCAATAATTTTGTTATTTATCGATATAATTGAATTTTTTCGAGGAATTATTTATGTAAATAATTGAATTGTTGAGAAGAAGTTTCTTAAAATCTAAAAGTAAAAATGGAATTGTTTTAAAAAAATTAAATTAAAATTGTATTTAAAATAAATGATTTCTTTCGAACAATTTTATTAAAATATTTGAAAATAATTAAATTTTAAAAGTAATAAAATTCTTCTTAGGGATTCAATTATTTTCACAAATAATAAAACTCATCGCAGAATTTCAATTATTTTTTATACAATTTTAATCAAATTCCTCGAAAAATGTAATTATTTTTTAAAATTTTATTGAAATTCGTCGAAAAATTCAATTATTTAAAAATTTGTTGATAACGATTCTTTTTGGGAATTGAATTTTAAGAAACATTCAATTATTCAATAAATTATTTATTTTTGTATTTGAATAATTGAATTCTCGTAGAATTTACGAATAAAAATTACTTTAAAAATAAAATTTTCAGTTATAATTGTAGATAATAATTGAATATTAAAAGCAATGTAGCCTAAATTTAAAAAAATAATTGAATGTTGAAATTAATTTCTTTGAAAAAGTTTAATTGATTTTTTTTAATATTATAATTAAAATTAATATTAATTATTAATTTTTTATTTTTAACATTTATTGAACTGAAGAATTTACGAATAATTGAAATTTCTTAAAATTTTGAATTTTAACGAATTTTATTAAATTTTCAAAAATAATTCAATTCTTGCGATGAATTATATTATTTATAAAAATAATTGAATAATTGCAATGAATTTTATTAAAATTTTCAAAAATAATTCAATTCCTGCGATGAATTTTATTATTTATGAAAATAATTGAATAGTTGCAATGAATTTTATTAAAATTTTCAAAAATAATTCAATTCCTGCAATGAATTTAATTACTATTTATGAAAATAATTGAATTTTGGATGAATTTTATCAATTTTTTTTTATATAATTGAATTCTTTTGCAAAATTTTATGAAAATACTAGATATTGAAAATAATTGAATTTCAAATACTTTTTGAAAATAATTGAATCGTTTTAAAGTATTTGATTATAATTTTTGAGAACAGTTTTTTGATTTCCAGTATTAGCGAATTTAAAGTAGTGGAAATTCTAAAGAAAAAACATAAGCAGTAGCTTTTTTAGTGGCTGAAATCTAAAAGAAAGTAGCCAAATAGTAGGATAACGTAAAGAAAGTAGTAAATAGTAGGTCTTAGTAGATGAGTGCAAAGCCTGTCAGAATTATGTAAGACAAATTATATTTATAATTTTATTAAAATCGTTAAAAACTTACATTCTCTGTGGTATTAGATGAGACTTTTTGTCAGAGGGCTCCTTTTTATACGTCGCAGCAAGAAGATGGGCAGTCGGCGTACTTGCCATTAAAGTCATCGCGCAAACAAAAATAGCAAACCAGAATCCATTCTTTAAAGAAAAATCGATAAAATCATTGACAATTTTCAAGAAAATAACAATTTCTTCTTCTTCTTGTTATTATTATTAAAGTGCTATTAGTTTTCATTTTAAGTTTTAACGGTTGGCACTTATACTTAAAGTGCCGTTCACAAGACAATATCGCTTTGCGCATGAGCAAACACTACTGCCATCTGTGGTGATTTTCGCATACTACGTCGAAAAAAGCAACGGGCAGCGAAGAGCGAAAGAGTAAACATTGCGGAAATAATAACAAACTTTTCTCCGTGTTTACTTTTGTGTTAACTAGCAATAAATTAGTGTTCAATGTAGAAAAATAGATTTACCAAAGGTCCCAAAATATGCTGGCACACGAGGAGTTGAACCCCGTGAAGAATATCCCATAAGGGTCTACATTTTGCGATTCCGCTTCCCATTTCCGAGAGGACGTTGGTGCGCCATTGATCCAAATAACCGACTAATCTGTCAATGTACGACTTGGTTTTCTGTCATTTCAGAAAAAGTGAGTAATTACAAATCTTCTCCTACTAATTAAAATTAGTAATAGTAAAAGTAAGTAATAGTAATATTAATTAGTAATAGTACGTAATAATAATATTAATTAGTAGCAGTAAGTGATAGTAATGGTAATAACAACAGTGATAGAATAAAAATAGAAGTAATGAAAATAGAAATTACTTTATATCTATAAGAACAACGTGAACTAAAGAAATACGTGCCAATTGAGCGATTTTCGCCCCTTGATTGTCGATATAATATTGGATCGTTTTCAGGTGGGAAATGGATTGATTCACTTGTCGCTGGAGGGGCTGTAATTGCAATTGCAATCCAGCGAGTTGATAAACAAGTTCATCCTGAATTTTCATTAAAGGTTTTACTCTCCTCAATAATAACTCTCGCATAGAGGTGCTAATACTCTGTAAATCCCTTGCCACTTTTCTGTCACTCAATTGTCTCGCTACATTGCTCACTTGATCAGAAAGGGCATTCAAATCTTTATTTAAAATTGGTCCCTGAATCTGGAAAAGACAGTATTTTAATTATCGAATGTAAACAAATGTCAACAATAGGAAATTTTAGGTTATGTTGACGCTTTTCTGTCGCTAAACAATTTTCAAATGTTAATAAAGTGTCGACATAACCTAAAAATCTGTATTGTGAACTCAATCTTCAATTCTTCTAACAATTTGTTATTGTTATTATTACACACCATAATTCTGTGTTCGGTAAGATTAGAACTGCAAGCGTAGAGTAAATTTTGCAATCGATGTTGCAAACTTGGTGTTAAAATTCGTAGACCTTTGAGATCGACCTTCAATTTAGAAAATGACCGCGATAATCCGGACCAAGTCCAGTGAGCTGTGAGTTGGTCCAATTTTATCGAGCTACCCAATTGAAATGCTGGATAAGCGGCTTCGTTTTGCTGACATTTTCTGTATTTTTCGTGAAGAGGAAAAGAACGAAAAGCCATTTTTTTAAACAACTGTTTGTAACATTATTTTATTATTTTTTCTAGATTAATGACTCACTCGAAGAGATCCTTTAGCGGCACACTCATTCGCCTTCCGAGAAATGCTTGAGTTTCTAAAATTGCTTCCATCGTCCGATATTCGGGATCATAAAGAGGTCGACACAGAAGCATTTCAGTGTGACTTGACAAAGCCAAAGCACAAATTATGACCAACCACAGTGCGATTGAAATTATACAGCTGAATAATACCGCGCTGTTTTGACATGCATATTAATTATTTCATGTGATAAATGATCGGATATTATATATATATAACGGGGGAATGAATAATTATTTAAATTTTAACAAATCTTTTTTTCCAATAGTTAATTCGTATGTGAATAGTTAATCAGGGTTGCCATAAAAATTTAATTTTGTTCTTTTCTTACTAGATTAGAATTCGTGGAAATTTTATGACAAAAAAGATACCAAAATTCAGAATTTTCTTATGAATTTTAAAAATTAAATTTTTTCCCCTACTCGAAATAATTTAACTTTTTTTAAAAACTATATAAGGTAAATTTTTTACTCACCACAATAATGTGGGTCTCACTCTATTTTCGGATGTTCCGCAACGACAGCAAATCGCTCCCAACAGCAACGACCATACCAGCAAAACACACATTACAGTACCTGTGTTTCGGAAAAACCAAACGTGTAATTTATTATCACTCTTCTTTCCACTCCATTTTCTACTTTAAAACGTCGAACATCTCTAACTCGAGAACATCTTTCAATATTGAAAGAGAAAAAGAAGATTTATCAATCTTTTCTCACTTTTCTCTAGTTCCACTTTTCATTTAACTTTGCACACTTTTTTTTTTATCACTCTGAAGAATATAAATATCTTCATTGTTAAATTGAAAAAGTGATGAGCAATCAGATTTCATAGGAATGAAAACGATAAAAATTTCCCTTTACTATTCTATTTATTTTATTATTTATTCTATTTGTTCTATTTATTTTCCATTTATTTATTAAAAAGTTCCTATAGGGATAGAAAACCCGAGTAAGAAGTTATATTTTGCAGTAGTTATTTATATTTATAGTTTATTAAATTTTGGAAGAAAAGAAGTTTTTGTTTTCTCGGATTGCTTCACTATTCTATTAATGAGAATAAATATAGAATAGAAAAAGGAAAATTTGTGTAACTTACCAACACCAACGAGCCATCGGATTTGTTCAAAAATCGTAATGTAAGGAATGGCTTGATTAATAATATTTCGAGTAGAATCCAATTGTTTTGTTAGTCCAGTGCTGCTCGTTTCAATATTACGTGCCTCGTCAAAAATTTTCGCACGTATACCATTAATCTCTCGACGAATTTCTGCAAAAAAAAAAAAAAAAGAAATATCACATTTACATCCATATCAAGATAACTCGCTCTGCACATAAAAGGCATTTATTAAGTCTACGAACAAAATTTATTAACAATTCTTAAAGGGCTGTCAAAGTCGAGTCTTCTTCCATAAAAGCTTCAATGGAAAAGACCAATTGACTCTGGCATTCCCTTAACGAATTTCCTCTTCTGACAATATTAAAAACAGAATCAAATGTAAAATTCTAAATGATCCTCTTATTTTAGTTTTTTGACATTATTTACGTAGAAAATATTTTTGTGTGGGATTTTTACGGAGAATACCCCCACAGCACTGAAACTTTCCTAAAAATTTATTAAATATTTACTTGCAATATTCATCATATTTAACTGAAAAGTTTAGTGAAAATTGTGTAAAGATTTAAATGTCCCGATCAAATAAATGTTTAGCGCGAAGCTTTCCTGAACATTTCCTGAACATGAATTACATGTGAAGATTTATGCGAAGATTATGCGAAGATTTTATTGAAATGTTCAGGAAAGCTTCGCGCTAAACATTTATTTAATCGGGACATTTAAATCTGTACACAACTTTCAATAAACATTGCAATTAAATATTCCGAATATTGCAAGTAAATATTTAATAAATTTTTAGGAAAGTTTCAGTGCTGTGGGGGTATAATCCTTTCTTTATACAAAAAACTGTAGTTTTATCGATTCGACGGTTGCTGTCACTTCTTTTTTGGTGTGAGGATCGGTGTGGGTGAAAATGTCGGATTAGAAAAGTCGAGATATTCGTCAATATTGAACAATTACGTTTTCAATATCAATCAAAACATTATACATACACATCGAGGGTTTTAATGGATGTTTATTTAGTAACTGTATATTCTTTACTGTACTAGTGAGTTTCAAGTTATTTATTATTTTCCCCTCATAGGTATATGAGACATCTTGTGTAAATATTTTATTTTCATTCGGTGTAAATCTGTAATATCTGTAATATATGTAATATTAGTGTATATTATCAGAAAAATATTCTTATTTTTCTTTTTAAAGTTATTAGCGTACGGAAGAGGACCGATAAATTGCGACAATCAGGGTTGCCACAGGTCAGGGAATTCAAATTAATTTTAATGACACAGATATTAATTGGAATTGTTCTAGTAATAAGTTAGGACCAGTAAAAATTTTTTCAACTAATAATTGTTAATAAACAGAAGATAAAGTTTGGTCAAAAAATAATTTTTCATCTTCTGCTGATTGTCGGCTGTGGTTACTTTTTATAAATTGTGACATAAATTAATTTTGATGACTCAGATAATTATTGGAATTGTTCTGGTGGTAGGTTAGGACCAGTAAAAAATGTTTTGACTAACAATTGTTAGTAAACAGAAGAAAAAGTTTGCTCAAAAAATAATTTTTCATCTTCTGCTGATTGTCGGATGTGGTTACTTTTTATAAATTGTGACATAAATTAATTTTAATGACTCAGATATTAATTATATTTGTTTTTGCCACAGTTTAGGAACAGTTAATTATTTTTTTTATTTAAAAAAACATTCTGGAATTTTGCCTGTTAAAGATTTTTAAGAAAATTTTAACTTAAAATTAAAAAAATGTTTTTATCTCATTGGCATATAAAAATTTCTAAGGAAGAATTCTGTGAAGAATTTTATTAATTAGGAAAATCAATTGAAGACTTGCAACGAATTTTTATTAAATTTTTTTTTGAAATAATTGTTTATCCTGTGAAGAATTTTATTATTTATGAAAACAATTGAATTTTTGCAACGAATTTTATTACATTTCTTATAATAATTGAATTGATGTGAAATTTTTTACAACTTGTAAAAATAATTAAATTCTTGCGAAGGATTTTATTAAAATTTATATATAGTAAATAATTGAATTTTTTTATTGAAAAATTTTATAATATTCTTAAAATTTATTGAATTTCAAAAGGATTAAATTTGAAATTTTTGTAAATTTTAAGTCCTATTGGAAAATAATACTGATTTAATATATTTATTTTAAATAAAATTATTGATGTTTTCGAATAATTTCACAATTAAAGAAATTCGTAAATAAATGTAATAATAGAACTTTTTTTGAGTATCTAATAATTTTTAGAGTGAGTCAGAGAATTCTTTAGTGTCAAAGAAAAAGTCAACATTTTATCTTGAAATCAGGGAAAAAGAGGGAAAAACAAAATTAATTTTTTGTGGCAACGTTGTCAATAGAAGTGTCTTTCTTATTCTTTTTCGTTTTAACGTTGGCAGTGGACGGAAGGGGCCGATACATTATTACGCCAATAAAAATATCTTTATTCTTCTTTTTCAGGTTGGCGGTGTACGAAAGGAGGTCGATTTATTATGCTAACAAAGTTCGTCCACGTGTTTTTAAATTTTTTCTCAGTTCTAAATTTTAATTTCTGTTTTAATGTAAATTCCGGGAGTGTTCAAAATTCTTAAAATCGCGAGAGCGAATGAAATTAAGGGTGTAAAATTTTACTACATATTAGCATTTTTTGATAAAATTAGAAAATCTTTGCGATTTTCGGGAGTGTCGTAATACTTATAACCGCGATCGTTTTTATAATATTGTAAAATGTTGTTCCTTTGTCCAGTTAGTAAACACGTGGTTCGGGAGTGCTCATCGAAATTCTTAAAATCGCGAGTGAATGTTTTTCTTATTCCAAAGATGACAAACTACTAGTTTTTTATTCCGAAGATGACGAAAACTACGAGCGCAGCTTCAAAATGGATATCGGGTACAACTTATTGTGAAAGTCACATCTGTAAGTTTATATAAAATTATCTAAATTTTAGTTTGGAAGAATTTATAAAAAAGTTTATAAATTTAACATTGTCAACTTGAAAGTATCAAATAGCAAAGAATTTTTATATAAAAAAATGTGGATCAAATCATAAATTGATTCACATTTTTGGTATCAACTTTGGATCTCTTATTTCTTCAAAGTTCACGCTACATATACAATTTTATATATTAAATTTTTAAATAAAACCCGAAAAAATGTCGTATTTTTGAATTGAAAAGTATGATACATACATAAACAAACATTAAAAATTCGAGATTGCCTAACGGCCCATTGCACCCGAGAAGTTTAAAATCGGTTATCCGAGAGTGTTTGCCAAGTTTCTTTAAGTTTTACACTGTCCTGTCTATTGACCCGTTTCAGAAGTTACCGTGCTCCCGTAACCTGACCCCATCTTTCTTTCTAGCTATTGTTACATCATGTAACATGAATATAATTTTGATATTAATAAATAGAAAACAAATTGACAATGACAAAAATTATAAAAACCTAGTTTAGATATTTTAAAACGCGTGGTAAAATAATTTACAAAATACTTACGATTTCGAGCATCTAACGTTATTCTTGAAACATGATTAGGGACATAGAGATATTCCCCTCGAGCTTGTCGTCCAGCTTCTGTTAAATTTTCTCTCGAGGAGGCTTTTAATCGTAAAAGTCGATCGTCTCTCACTAGCTGAAAATAATTTTTAAGAGGAACAATTATTTCTTATTATCTAGAAATTAAATCATTGAATCAAATTTTAATAAAATTCTTCCCAAGAAATTAATTATTTCCACAAAGAAACAAAATATTCGTAGCAATTCAAATATTTTCAAAAATTCGAATAAAATTCTTAGGAAAATTCATTTATTTTATTAAATAACAAAATTCTTCGCAAGAATTAAATTACTTTCAAAAATTGTAATAACATTTTTCGCAAAAATTCAATTTTGTAACAAATTTTGTAACAGTATTGAAAATTTTCAAAAGTGTTACAAAATTTTTCGCAAACATTCAATTATTTTCATAAATAGCAAAATTCTTGTCAAAAATTCAATTATTTTTAAAAATTTTAATAATATTCTTGATATAATTCAATTATTATCGTGAATAACAAAATTCTTTGCAAGAATTCAATTATTTTCAAAAATTTAAACAAAATTATTCGCAAAAATTCAATAATTTTCAAAATATTTTAATAAAATTTAATTATTATCATGAATAACAAAATTCTTTGCAAGAATTTAATTATTTTTTAAAATTGTAACAAAATTTTTCCCAAAAATTCAATTTTTTTTCATAAATAGCAAAATTTTTGGCAAAAAGTAAATTTTTTTTGAAAAATTGTAACAAAATTTTTCGCAAAAATTCAATTATTTTCAAAAATTTTAATAAAATTCAATTATTATCGTGAATAACAAAATTTTTTGCAAGAATTCAATCTCGTTCGGAAAAATTCAATTATTTAAATAATTTTTATTAAAATTTCTTTAAAAAATTAAATTATTTTCATAAATAGCAAAATTCTTTGCAAGAATTCAATTATTTTCAAAAGATTAATAAATTTCTTCCCATTAACTTAATTATTTTTATAAATAACAAAATTATGTTAAAATACAATCGATTATGTTAAAAAATTCTAATATAATTCTTGGCAAAATTAAACTATTTTTATGAATTACAAAATTCTTTCCAAGAATTCAATTCTTTCGAAAAACTTAATTATTTTCATAAATAACAAAATTCTTTGTAGATAATCAATTATTTTCAAAAATTATAATAACGTTCTTGGTAAAAATAAATTATTATCATAAATAACAAATTCAATTATTTTCATTAATAACAAAATTCCTTGTAGAAATTCAATTATTTTCAAAAATTCTAATAAAATTGTAGTCAAAATTCAATAATTTTCATGAATAAAAAAATTCTTCTCAGGAATTCAATAATAAAAAGCAATAACAAAATTAATTAGAATCTTTATAATACTTTTTTTGTTACTTGACAATAAAGATTTTACAATAAATATTAGAATTTAAAGAAAAGGTAAATAAATTTTGTTTTTTCGAACGTTTAGATTTTCAGAACATTATAGGTATATAATATTTTATTATTAATATCAGGTATTATAAATAAATAATAAATATACTAAAACGAAAAATAGAAAGTAAATTAAATAATAATTCATCCACGAGATAAAAAGTAATTACTAAAAATCAAAGTTGATTATCTTGGAAAATTTCGTTTCAAAAAACTAAAAGATCCGTTCTGATTTTGTCGCAAGTATATAAGGCGACGAAACAAGAATTATGACACAAAAATAGGACAAGTTTCTTTGAAAAAAATCTATTTTCCTCGACCTAAATAATCTCGTCGATTGCCAGGTAAAGGAAATAAAGTTAACGTTTCTTTTTTTTTTTTTATTTCTATAGCAACCTTCGTTTGGTGCAAGTTTTTAATCTGACCCTATAATTGGCTTTCTTGCCATTTCAGCTTTGTATTACAGTATCACTTTTTATCTGGGATTACACACAGATCTTTTATTAGCAGCCTAAAGCAAATTAAAATCAAAATTAAGTGCGCCACTTTACACAAACTGTTGATCTCAGAAACTGATTTATTACTATAAAGGGAATAAAGGAAGAAAATTTTAATATTACCAGTTTTTCTAAGGATATCAAAGAAAATCAAAAGTGTTACGATTTAAGAAACATTTTTTCTCAGTGTAATTTTTTTTAATTAAAATTAGTTTGTTTGTTTGTAATCTTAATCCTAATGTATATAGAAAATATCTACTGCTTTGATTCAAAAATATTATTTGTTTGAATAATTATTACGTTTTAAACATATTTTGAAAAAATATTTGTTTTGGTTGAAACAAAAAATTTGTTTAAAAGCTTTGTTTGATTCAAACCTCAATATAAATAATTTCAGGGCTGATAAAAATCATGATTTTTTTAAAAAAATCAAAACAATCCGATTTTTTTGATTTAAATCGGATTTTTTTGATTTAAATCATTTTTTTTTAATTTTTAAAATATTTCATTATTTAAGTAGTTCGTTTTTTTAATATTAAAAATGATAAAATTAATAATAAAATAGGGTGGATGGAAAATTTCATTTTAAGAATTCTCTGACACATCCTGACTAATTTTTCGGTTTCTCTGATTAATAAATTTTTAAATTATTTAATATTCAGCATTGATAATTAAAAATGTAATAATGCTTTTTAAGTAATAATTTTATTTATAAAAAAAAACATAAGATAATTAAAAATTGTTTGTTACAAAAAATTTTAATGTGTTTAAAACTTTTATTATAAAAAAAGTTAATGCAAATTTACAATTGAAATCGTACTCAATAAGTTATATAACCGCCAATGCCCGTTTTCTCAAATATTATACAAAAGAGTCTAAATACAAAAACTAAATTGACATTTATCAAAGTTTTTAAATTTGTATTTTTTTTCGTTTAAAATTTCCTAACTTTTCCCTGAACAAAAAAATTCTATGATTTCCAGTTTTTCCCTAATTTGAGTCAAATAAACAAAACTAATAATTATGATATTCATTATATTATCTCTGTAATGTATTCTTTTTTATTTTTTTTGAATTCAAAACTTTAAACAAAAATACTAATTTTGCAAACTTTTCTGTTTCTAATGCATTTTTCAGTTTGATTTAAATCATGATTTTAATGGCAAGATTTAAATCAAGATTTAAATCATGATTTAAATCAAGTTGATTTAAATCATTGCAGCCCTGAATAATTTATAATTTGATTTAAACAAAATTTGTTTCTAATGTTTGAATTAAATAAATCGTTCTCTCAGTGAAGGAAACTTAAAAAAAAATAAAAAAAACCAACAGAATCTTAAAAGAAACTAAAAAAAAACACTAAAAAAGGAAGTAAGGTTCTCTTTTGGAAAGGTGGAGAGTATATATAAAATTTAGATTTACACTCGGCTTTTTTTGCAAGTTTGAACATTTCTTTTGAACTCGGATGGGATTACCTAACATATTCCTTGTACAAAGTTCGCCTCTCCAACCGGAAGCTTAGAAATAAGGGTTTGGGGTAAGGCAAGACTTAAACTACAAAAGGACAGTGACTCCTTCGTCTTAATTAAGGGATGAAAGGGGTTGAATAATTGTCTCCGGATTGTTCACCCGTTCGAGTCGCAGGGCCAGATTCAGATCCAAACCCGAAGGATTCAGAATTGCACATAAGGATCGGTCCTGCTGAGGACAACCCTTTGCTGTAACCTCCAATTCTCGACGGATATCATCGGCTTCTCGACTCAATTCAATTCCGAGATTTCGTGCTCGCTCTCCTTCTTTCAATAAGGTGGCAGTTCTTGTTGAGAGTTCGTGAGTGGCTGAAAATTTTATAACCAAACTTTATTGCCGTACACAATTTCAAAAACATTAGTTTTTTATTTTTTATTTTCTTAACATTGATTACTGTTTGGCTTAAGAGGCTCAAGTCCGCAATACTTTGAAAAATTAATAATTAACCATTTTTTTCGGCAGTTACTTTGTAAACAATTTAAATAATTCAGAAAAAATGTCTGATAGAATACGGGTGGACCTGCTACTATTTAAAATCAAAAATAAAATTCTCTATGCATCAGGATGTTGTACAGCAACACCCCATTAACAACTCAGTTAAGTTTCAAATGAAAAAAATTACCCAAATTAGAGAAAATGAATTTTTAATATTGTTTTTCTCTATTTTCAATTGTCTGATAGAATACGGGTGGACCTGCTACTATTAAAAATCAAAAATAAAATTCTCTATGCTTCCGGAAGTTGTACAGCAACACCCCATTAACAACTTAGTTAAGTTTCAAATAAAAAACATGACTCAAATTAGAGAAAACAAATTTTTAATAATGTTTTTCCCTATTTTCAATTGTCTGATAGAATACGGGTGGACCTGCTACTACTTAAAATCGAAAATAAAATTCTCTATGCCTCCGGATGTTGTACAGCAACAACCCATTAACAACTTAGTGAAGTTTCAAATGAAAAACATTACTCAAATTAGAGAAAATGAATTTTTAATATTGTTTTTCCCTATTTTCAATTGTCTGATAGAATACGGGTGGACCTGCTACTATTTAAAATCAAAAATAAAATTCTCTATGCTTCAGGTTGTTGTTCAGCAACACCCCACCAACAACTCAGTTAAGTTTCAAATGATAAAAATTACCCAAATTAGAGAAAATAAACTTTTAATATTGTTTTTCCCTATTTTCAATTGTCTGATAGAATACGGGTGGACCTGCTACTACTTAAAATCGAAAATAAAATTTTTTATGTTTTAGGATGTTGTTCAGCAACACCCCACCAACAACTTAGTTAAGTTTCAAATAAAAAACATGACTCAAATTAGAAAAAACAAATTTTTAATAATGTTTTTCCCTATTTTCAATTTTCTGATAGAATACGGGTGGACCTGCTACTACTTAAAATATAAAATAAAATTTTTTATGTTTTAGGATGTTGTTCAGCAACACCCCACCAACAACTCAGTTAAGTTTCAAATGAAAAACATTACTCAAAATAGAGAAAATGAATTTTTAATAATGTTTTTCCCTATTTTTAATTGTCTGATAGAATACGGGTGGACCTGCTACTACTTAAAATCGAAAATAAAATTCTCTATGCTTCCGGAAGTTGTACAGCAACACCCCATTAACAACTCAGTTAAGTTTCAAATAAAAAACATTAATCAAAATAGAGAAAATGAATTTTTAATAATGTTTTTCCCTATTTTCAATTGTCTGATAGAATACGGGTGGACCTGCTACTACTTAAAATCGAAAATAAAATTCTCTATGCTTCCGGATGTTGTACAGCAACAACCCATTAACAACTCAGTTAAGTTTCAAATGAAAAACATTACTCAAAATAGAGAAAATGAATTTTTAATAATGTTTTTCCCTATTTTCAATTGTCTGATAGAATACGGGTGGACCTGCTACTACTTAAAATCAAAAATAAAATACTCTATGCTTCCGGATGTTGTACAGCAACAACCCATTAACAACTTAGTTAAGTTTCAAATGAAAAACATTACCCAAATTAGAGAAAATAAACTTTTAATATTGTTTTTCCCTATTTTCAATTGTCTGATAGAATACGGGTGGACCTGCTACTATTTAAAATCAAAAATAAAATTCTCTATGCTTCAGGTTGTTGTTCAGCAATACCCCACCAACAACTCAGTTAAGTTTCAAATGATAAAAATTACTCAAATTAGAGAAAATGAATTTTTAATATTGTTTTTCCCTATTTTCAATTGTCTGATAGAATACGGGTGGACCTGCTACTACTTAAAATCGAAAATAAAATTCTCTATGCTTCCGGAAGTTGTACAGCAACACCCCATTAACAACTTAGTTAAGTTTCAAATAAAAAACATGACTCAAATTAGAGAAAACAAATTTTTAATAATGTTTTTCCCTATTTTCAATTGTCTGATAGAATACGGGTGGACCTGCTACTACTTAAAATCGAAAATAAAATTCTCTATGCTTCCGGATGTTGTACAGCAACACCCCATTAACAACTTAGTTAAGTTTCAAACGAAAAACATTACTCAAAATAGAGAAAATGAATTTTTAATAATGTTTTTCCCTATTTTCAATTGTCTGATAGAATACGGGTGGACCTGCTACTACTTAAAATCGAAAATAAAATTCTCTATGCCTCCGGATGTTGTACAGCAACAACCCATTAACAACTTAGTTAAGTTTCAAATGAAAAACATTACTCAAATTAGAGAAAATGAATTTTTAATATTGTTTTTCCCTATTTTCAATTGTCTGATAGAATACGGGTGGACCTGCTACTATTTAAAATCAAAAATAAAATTCTCTATGCTTCAGGTTGTTGTTCAGCAACACCCCACCAACAACTCAGTTAAGTTTCAAATGATAAAAATTACCCAAATTAGAGAAAATAAACTTTTAATATTGTTTTTCCCTATTTTCAATTGTCTGATAGAATACGGGTGGACCTGCTACTACTTAAAATCGAAAATAAAATTTTTTATGTTTTAGGATGTTGTTCAGCAACACCCCACCAACAACTTAGTTAAGTTTCAAATAAAAAACATGACTCAAATTAGAGAAAACAAATTTTTAATAATGTTTTTCCCTATTTTCAATTTTCTGATAGAATACGGGTGGACCTGCTACTACTTAAAATATAAAATAAAATTTTTTATGTTTTAGGATGTTGTTCAGCAACACCCCACCAACAACTCAGTTAAGTTTCAAATGAAAAACATTACTCAAAATAGAGAAAATGAATTTTTAATTATGTTTTTCCCTATTTTCAATTGTCTGATAGAATACGGGTGGACCTGCTACTACTTAAAATCAAAAATAAAATTCTCTATGCTTCCGGATGTTGTACAGCAACAACCCATTAACAACTTAGTTAAGTTTCAAATGAAAAACATTACTCAAATTAGAGAAAACAAATTTTTAATAATGTTTTTCCCTATTTTCAATTGTCTGATAGAATACGGGTGGACCTGCTACTACTTAAAATCGAAAATAAAATTCTCTATGCTTCCGGATGTTGTACAGCAACAACCCATTAACAACTTAGTTAAGTTTCAAATGAAAAACATTACTCAAATTAGAGAAAATGAATTTTTAATATTGTTTTTCCCTATTTCAATTGTCTGATAGAATACGGGTGGACCTGCTACTATTTAAAATCAAAAATAAAATTCTCTATGCTTCAGGTTGTTGTTCAGAAACACCCCAATAACAACTCAGTTAAGTTTCAAATGATAAAAATTACCCAAATTAGAGAAAATAAACTTTTAATATTGTTTTTCCCTATTTTCAATTGTCTGATAGAATACGGGTGGACCTGCTACTACTTAAAATCGAAAATAAAATTCTCTATGCTTCCGGATGTTGTTCAGCAACACCCCACCAACAACTCAGTTAAGTTTCAAATGAAAAACATTACTCAAAATAGAGAAAATGAATTTTTAATAATGTTTTTCCCTATTTTCAATTGTCTGATAGAATACGGGTGGACCTGCTACTACTTAAAATCAAAAATAAAATTCTCTATGCTTCAGGTTGTTGTTCAGCAACACCCCACCAACAACTCAGTTAAGTTTCAAATGAAAAACATTACTCAAATTAGAGAAAATAAATTTTTAATAATGTTTTTCCCTATTTTCAATTGTCTGATAGAATACGGGTGGACCTGCTACTACTTAAAATCGAAAATAAAAATTCTCTATGCTTCCGGATGTTGTACAGCAACACCCCACCAAGAAATCAGTTAAGTTTCAAATGAAAAACATTACTCAAATTAGAGAAAATAAATTTTTAATAATGTTTTTCTCTATTTTCAATTGTCTGACAGAATACGGGTGGACCTGCTACTACTTAAAATCGAAAATAAAATTCTCTATGCTTCCGGAAGTTGTACAGCAACACCCCATTAACAACTAAGTTAAGTTTCAAATGAAAAACATGACTCAAATTAGAGAAAATAAATTTTTAATATTGTTTTTCCCTACTTTCAATTGTCTGATAGAATACGGGTGGACCTGCTACTATTTAAAATCAAAAATAAAATTCTCTATGCTTCCGGATGTTGTACAGAAACACCCCACCAAGAAATCAGTTAAGTTTCAAATGAAAAACATTACTCAAATTAGAGAAAACAAATTTTTAATAATGTTTTTCCCTATTTTCAATTGTCTGATAGATTACGGGTGGACCTGCTACTACTTAAAATCTAAAATAAAATTCTCTATGCTTCCGGATGTTGTACAGCAACACCCCATTAACAACTTAGTTAAGTTTCAAATGAAAAACATGACTCAAATTAGAGAAAATAAATTTTTAATATTGTTTTTCCCTACTTTCAATTGTCTGATAGAATACGGGTGGACCTGCTGCTACTTAAAAGTTACTATAAAATTTTCTGTGTCACTCTTAGTCTTATTATTTTTTCGTTTTTATCATTTTTAAAAATCAGCGGACATGACCATAAATGTTGAATTGATATATAAATATTTTACAACATTATTTTCTAGCAAAGAGGGAAATAATAATGTAAATTCGTTAAAGCTTCAGTGGAGAATGTGCGAATGGGAAAGAATGGTGCTCGCTATGGGGAATGAGGGAACCACGGACTTTGGCAGACACAAAGTCTAATGCACTTAATATACAGTTAGTTAACTCAGAGTTTCAGTCCAAGAGGGTCACTTAACATAGAAACCCACATCAGTTCTGTGTATGAATTTTCCACACATATTCACTTTTGTTGTTTTTTTTTTTGAAATTTTTTTCGAAAAAATTGTGTTTTTTTTCAAAAACTGGTCGACTATGGAATAATGCGAAAATTATTTCGTGGACGTTTTTTTCGGTACAGATAGAAATTTAACAACGGCAACCGCACATGCCACAGAATAAAAAGTTTAAACTCAATTGTTCTCTCTGAGCGTCGACGTCGTCTGACTGCATCAGGACTGAACTACTAATCTGTTAATTTCTGCAGTTGTCAGTTGGTAGCTTGTGCAAATTCAGCTTATCAGCGAAAATTGCATTACATTCTAAGAAATTAAAACTGATAAACAAACTATTTATTTATCAAAACTGTTGGATAAACTAATATTGAAATTAACATAAAAAATTAGACGACAAACTTGAAACTGTGTAGTTTAAAATTAATTGACAATAGTGTTTTCTTGACAATATTAAATTGATACAAAATTTGATCAAAATGAATAAATGATGCAAAAAATTTGGATCAAATTATGAGCCACTTTTTGATACCAATTCGTTGCAATTTGACAACGAATTTTTTTTTAACTAAACAGTGAATGAAATTAAATATAATTTACAAATTTTGAACGTTGTTAAATAAACCAAATATACTTTTTATTAAACGTTGAAAACTTTAGGGAATTAAATTTTCTTCTTGATGAGATAATATAGTTAGGACTAAATATTTTTAATGTTTACTTTACCATTTGCTACATCTAAGAGTGCATCAAGAGCCACATCCAACCCCGTTTCGGACGCAAGTTCCTTTTGAACCGGTTTTCCCAATAAATCCTCAACATCTGAAAAGAAACCTTAAATTATTTTGAAAGAAATTAAAAATTTATTCTTTAGTTCTAAAATATGTTTTTCTATTCTTTTTATATAAAAATTTTGATCAGATTTTAAATGTATCATTCCCTTAGTATGCGCTATGAATAAATCATCCCTATTAAAATACATTATAGTTAACTTTTTAAATAATATGTCAAAATGTGATTTAAAAATTTAATGGCGAAAAAATCCTCTTATTTTCCGGCTAATCGATCGAAAGCAATTTGAGTGCTCGCTGTAAAACTGGTTTCATCGATTTGGCTGATAATTTGTCTACACAAATAACATTTTCCGTTATCAAGCGTATATCATCTCTCGATACAAAGTACTTTTGCTTCCACCATGTAAAATACGTGTATGCGATTTAGAAGCGTAGGTTATGGAAGGAATATTCATCGTTTTCGACTACATTTCAATCGCTCTTTGAAATCCCTCTGCTTTTTAAAGCTTATATGCCATTTTAGAGAGAGATTTATTATTATAATTCATATACTGTAAACTTTTCAGTACTGCAAATTTTTCAATGTTTGATATTTTGAAATGAACACAGAAAGGAAAGTTTTGCCATCGGCAACTGATAGCAACTCTAAAGCAATTCTTAATAGTTTAAGATTCTCCGCATTAATTAAATTTTCTTTTCTTTGAATTTCGCGCCGATATTTTTTTTTTAGATTTGTGATATTAAAAACTACTTTTTTCCTTTTTTTTTTTTTTTGAGAATTTGCACAACTTTAAATTCGCTAAAAGTTGAAATAAAAAAATTATTCTAAACAATTTTAATAAAATTCTTAGAAACGATTAAATTATTTTCAAAATTTAATTATTTTTAATATCTATCTATATTTTAATAAAATTTATTCACAAAAGAGTTCAATTATATAGAAGAATTAGAATAGAATTCTAAGCAAATATTCAAATATTTTCATAAACAATAAAATACTTTAGATAAATTCAATTATAATCTAAAATTTTAACTGGAATCCATTTTTAAATCAATTTTTATTAGAAAATTCTACTAGAATTCAATTATTTAAATGCAAAAAAAAACCATTTATTGAATAACTGCATTTTTTTTTTTTAATTGTTAAAATTGAATTCATTTAACGAATTTTAATAAAATTTTTGAAAATAATTACAATTTTCGAGAACTTTGATTAAAATTGTAATAAAATTAATTAAAATTTTGCAATGAGTTTTCTTATTTATGAAAATAATTGAATTTCTACAATAATATTTGTAACTTTTCCAAAATTAAATTTTTTTCCCTGTTTTTAACTAAAATTCTTCTATAAATGCATTATTTTTAATAATTTTTGCAAAATTTCTTTGAGAATTTTCAAATTCATTTGTTTAAAATTTACAATCTACAAAAAAAATAGACAATTAAATTTTCTCAAAAATAATTAATTCCACAGAATTGTTAGTAAAACATAAGAAAAATTCAGATTTTACAAGATTTTAATTTTAAACCTTTTCAAAATTCAATTATTTCTAGATTAATTAATTAATCAATTTTTATTAAAAAATTCTACTAGAATTCAATTATTTGAAATTTTAAATACAAAAAAACCATTAATTGAATAATTGCATGTTTCTTGAAATTGAATTAATTTCTATTATAATTGTAATAAAATTAATTGACATTTGGCAATGAGTTTTATTATTTATGAAAATAATTGAATTCCTAAAAAGAATTAATTAATTTACGAAAATAATTGAATCCCTGTAGAAATTTTATTATTTATGAAAATAATTGAATGATTGCGAAGAAATTGGTAAAATTTTTTTTTAAATAATTGATTTCCTATGAAATAGTTATTATTTTATAAAAGTAATTAAAGGTTTGCGTAGAATATTATTAAATATTTTTAAATAATTGTATTCTTTTGGAAAATTTTATTAAAATAGTAGATATTGAAAAGCATTGAATTGCAAAAAGAAAAATAGTTAAATTCTTGTGACAAATATTGTTATTTATATAAATATAATTGAATTTTGCAAAGAATTTTGTTAAAATGCCTCAAAATAATAGAATTTTCGGGAATAATTTTGTTATTTATCTTTAATAATTGAATTCTTTCGAAGAATTATTTATGTAAACAATTTAATTCTTGGAAACAATTTTTTTATTAAAATCTAAAAGAATAATTGAATTATTTCAAAAACTGTAATTAAAATTGTATTTAAAATAATAAATTTCTTCCCAACAATTTTATTAAAATATTTGAAAATAATTGAAATCCTGTGAAAAATTTTAATATTTTTGTAAATAATTGAATTCTTCCAAAGAATTTTGAAAGAACATTTTTTTTAAATAATTAATTTTCTCGAGGAAATGAAATTAATTTTTGTAAGAATAATTACATTTTTTGAGCATTTCCTGTAAAATTGTAGTAAAAATAATTGAAATCCTGCGATGAATTTTATTATTTATGAAAATAATTGAATAGTTGTAAAGAATTTTACTAAAATTTTCAAAAATAATTGAATTCCTGAGTATAGAGTTTTATTATTTATGAAAATAATAACTCGTATAATAATCTTAAATAAATAAATAAATAATTGAATTATTGTGAAAAATTTTATTAAAATGTTTAAAAAGAATTGAATTTCTGTGAAAAATTTTGTTATTTTTGAAAATAATTGAATTTTTCATAAGAATTTTATAAACATTGTTTTAAATAATTAATGTTTTCGAAATATAATTAATATTATGAAGATTTTATTTTAATTAATTAAATTCTTGTGGAAAAGTTTATTTGTGAAAATAATTGTATTTTTTGATTTATTGGTTTAAAATAGTATCAAAAGTAATTGAAATTCTTCGATGAGTTTTATTATAGGGGAATGTAGTCAAGGTTGGCCTACTGTCTAGGTAGGCCACTCGCGTTTTTTTGTCAAGTTCACTAGCGCCACCTACGCGCATTTTTGTCGAAGCTTGTCTTAGTGAAACCTAACTTTTTGTTCAATTACATTTTCGGAGAATCGAAAATTGTGTTTTCTGTGACGTCGGTACAAAAAAAGCTCAAAAAAAGTTTTGTGCATAATGTGAAAAACCATTAATAAAAGATAAAAAACAAATTGAATCGTCAAGGCAAGTATGCAGAAAATTTGTGGGACTCATGGTTGAAAGGAAAACAAAGTAAAAAATCGAATCCCGAAACGTATTTCTTTATGGTTACAACAATTCGGTAATGTTACTTACTGTCAAGGTCGGCCACTATGTGTTTAAAATGCGCAAAGTTGAGGACGAGCTACTTCATTTGCAAAAACTGCAATTCTGTATAACTCATAATATAATTGATCATCTTATTAATATTTTTATTTAATTTTATTAATATTTTAGTGCAAAACTTTTTTTTATTTATATTTATTTTTTTATATTGTTTATTGTTATTATTTTGTTATTTCATTAAGTTACAAACTGTAAACAATAAAGAATCAATTTTCCGTAACTCCAAACATGTTATTTTATTTTTTAACGATTAATGCCCTTTGAATTTTAAACATGGCCGACCTTGACTGTAATGGCCAACCTGGACTACAAATTTTTTTTTTTTTAAATCTTTATAACTTTTTCATTTTTAAACCTGTCAATTTACTTTGTACAGAAAAAATGTTCCTATTAAACAGGACTTTCCAACCATATACTTCAATTGTCCAAATTCATTTTTAAAAAAAAGTTATAAACAAAAGTCAAAAAGGTGGCCGACCTAGACTATGTTCCCCTACTTATGAAAATAATTGAATTCTTGCTTAGAATTTTATTAAACAATTTTTGTAAAAAAATTGAATTTTCATGGAAAATGTTATTATCAGTGAAAGTAATTGAATTATTGTGAAGTATTGTATAAAAATCTTTTTTAAATAATTGAATTCTTTTGAAAACTTTTATTAAAAAATAGCAGATTTTGAAAATCATTAAATTGAGGAAAATTTTTGAAAGTAATTGAAATTTTGACAAGAATTTTATTAAAATTGTTGAAAATAATTGAATTTTGAAAATATTTGAATTTCTGGAATTATTTGTAATTTCTCTTAAATTCTCCAAATTATATTGTACAATTTACGAATTTTTTCTCATTTTTCAATCAAATTACGGACTTTGCGGAACCTTTTTTTTAGAAAAAAATGGACTTTTACGGACTTCAAGCAAATTTACGGACTTTTACGTAATTTACGGACCTAGTTCGAACCCTGAAGATACAATTTGTAACTTTGTTTTTTCTAAATTAAGAAAATTCTATATATTATTTTCATAATTCTACATATAACAATTTTTATACGGGAATATAATTATAAAAAAAAAGGAATTTCTTACTAGCGCAGTTATTCAAACACTATTAACCCGATTTTAAATAAGACCTTTATTTTCCGAGATCAATTATCTATTCTGTTTTTAAAACTGTTACACCCAGTCGGCTTTAAAAAATTCTCTCAAGAAGATATTTAATGAGGAGAAAATTCGTTCTAGTGGAAGACGTAATGAGCTATTCTCTTCTTGAATTCACGGAGTCGCCAAATTTAAATACTTTTCTTTTATAGAGATGAGTGCTATGCTCTATACCTCAAACTCGTCAGCCAACTCTTTTGCAAAATCGAATTTATTCATCTTCTCTCTTCTGGCAAAGAATACGTAAACTATGAGAGTAATTAAACTTTTTTTTTAATATTTGCACTTTGGATGTCAAATTAAAACAAAAAGATGCATCGCAACAATTTTTATACACATTTTGTTTCAATTTTACAGTTTTTTTACGGATATCTGAAATTAAGATAAAAAAAACCTATAAAAATTATTTTGATACCTTTTTCGTCTCTAAAATTTTACATCTTTACGGTTTTTCCGAGAATATCAAATTGAGACAAAAAAAAATGAATCAAGGGTGTTGCGAAGTGTTGCAACGTTTTGATTCGTTTTTTTTGGTCTCAATTTGATATCCTTAGAAAAATTGTGACTTGGAAAAACTGTGTTGATAATTTGATATCCTTAGAAAAAGTGTGTGCTTCCACTAATAAAAAAAGAATTTCAAAAGAAACTTGTATTAATTTCATGTGTGTTATTGAATTTTATGAAGATCGTTATATGTACGTTATTTGCCTCTAAGGGAAATTTTAGAGATGTTTATGGATTGCGTTTATGTATCGAACATTAATGTGTTGAGAGATTGTATGAAGCGTCCTAAACGATGCATGAATTAACCCTTAAGACCTTAATGAAAGGTTAATGTAGGTTAGCTTTGTCCATTCGAAGGCGAGGCTTAGGCAATGATCAACTAATGCACACGGCACGTATGCTCTGCTGTAATGAATGCTATCGGCTTGTAACACCTATGGTGGTCACCCATCATCGACAGCTAATAATCTCTGCAATTTATACCACAATTGACAGTCCAATAAAATAATAATTCTTTCGATAATTACTGTATATGTGTCTACAATTAAAAATTACTTATTATCCAAACAGAAAATAAAATGTTATTTTAACTCTGAATTTGGTGCGTTAAAATGGGACGCATGATTATTCCCCAAATGTCATTTTTCCGAAATGTCATTTTACCGAACTGCACTTTTGCGAATAGTCATTTTTGCGAGAAGCCAATTTTGCGAAATGTCACTTTTGCGAATTGTCATTTTTGCGAAAAGCTATTTTTGCGAATTGTCATTTTTGCGAATTGAGATTTTTGCAAATCAACATTTTTACGAATTGTCAATTTTCCGAAAAGTCATTTTTGCGAATCGCCATTTTTACGAATTGTCAATTTTCCGAAAAGTCATTTTTGCGAAAAATACAATAGTGAATTTATAGACCTATAAGTTTTCTATTGTATTTTTCGCAAAAATGACTTTTCGGAAATTTGACAATTCGTAAAAATGTCGATTCGCAAAAATGACTTTTCGGAAAATTGACAATTCGTAAAAATGGCGATTCGTAAAAATGACAATTCGCAAAAATAACAATTCGTAAAAATAACTTTTCGCAAAAATGACTATTCGCAAAAATGACAATTCGTAAAAATGGCAATTCGTAAAAATGGCGATTCGCAAAAGTGACAATTCGCAAAAATGCCATTTCTCAAAAATGACAATTCGCAAAAATGACTTTTCGAAAAAATTACAATTCGTAAAAATGGCGATTCGCAAAAATAACTTTTCGGAAAATTGACAATTCGTAAAAATGGCGATTCGCAAAACGACAATTCGCAAAAATAGCTTTTCGAAAAAATGACAATTCGCAAAAGTGGCATTTCGCAAAATTGGCTTTTCGCAAAAATGAGTATTCGCAAAAGTGCAGTTCGGTAAAATGACATTTCGGAAAAATGACATTTGAAAAAAAATCTTAAATTCTATGAACGTTCAAATGAACGAAATTTATTTATTTCTTCTTCAAATTAAACTTTTACTACAAGAATTTTGCGGCACTATCAAAAAAATTAATTATATAAAGGTTCTATAAATGTAAATTTTCAGTTCTTAATTTTAATTAAAATCGGTAATTTCTAAAAAAAAATTGTGTATAAAAAATATTTCGTTTATTTGAACGTTCAAAAATTGTGGATTATATTGAAAAATTAAATTTGACGACTTGAATAATTTTTGTTTATACTAAATAATGAAATAGTTCTTTATTTCTGCAATTAAAATATTTTCAAAGATTACTGTGCGTACAATCTTTTTGAAATTTTACCATTTCAAAAAAATTACAACTGTTATTCTTCAAAAATTCAACAATTTTTTTTTGTTGGAATTTTTAATTATACTTACTAAAAAATTTAGTCATTTTTTAAGAAAATAATTTTTTTTCAAATAAAAATTAAATTATTATAACAATTTATCAATAAATTAAAATTTTCAAAAATTAAATCCTTCGAAATTTATTTCTAAAAATTTATATATTATATAACTTCTTTAATATTCAATTATTATATCTAAAATTTTAATTACAATTTATTTTCAAATCAATTCTTATTACGCAATTCTTTGAAAATTCAATTATTCAAAATTTTAAATATAAAAATGAATAGATTATTTAATAATTAAATACTTCTTATCATTGAATTCTTTCGAAGAATTTTAATAAATTTTTTTTTCAAAATTGTATTTTTTAGGGAATTTATTTAAAATTGCATAGGTATAAAAAATAATTTAAATTCTGTAATAATTTTTTATTATTTTTTATAAAAAATGATAAAATTCTTCCGAAGAATTTTATAAAAAATTTTTGAGAAGAATTGATTTTGTTCAGAATGTTATAAAAATTGGAATTTTTGGTAAATAACTAAATTGCCGTTATAATTTAATCATATATGAAAATAATTAGATTTCTGCGAACGATTTTATTAAAATTATATTCAAAATAATTGAATTTATGTAAAGTATTTTATTATTTATGAAAATAATTGAATTCCCTGCGAAGATTTTTATTATTTATTTGTAATAATTGAATTCTTACAAATTTTTTGCACAAATTTAATTAAAACTTTTATTGAAAATAATTCAATTCTGAATGTAGAATTTTATTAAAATTTTTGAAAATAATTGAATTCTTTCATAAATTTTACTAAATTTGCAATGAGAATAATTGAAATCTTTTATAAATTTTACTAAAATTGCAATGAGAATAATTGAATTTCAGCGAAGAATTTTATTAATTTTTAGAATAATTGAATTCTTACAAATTTTTTCAACAAATTTAATTCAAATCTTATAAATAATAATTCAATTCTTAGTATAGAGTTTTATTAAAAATTTTCAACTAAAAATTAATTGAATTCCAGAGAAGAATTTTCTTAATTAGGAGAATAATTAAATTCCTATACAAATTTTGTTGATGAATTTAATTAAAATTTGATCAAAAATAATATATATATACACTTAACTTTGATTAAAATATTTTAAATAGAATTGAATTTTTTCAAGAAACTTTATTAAAATCTCATTGAAAAATTGAATTCTAGCGAAGAATTAAAAAAAAATCCTTATAAATAATTAATTTTTCTTGAAAAAGTTGAATGAAAATTGTATATTAAATAACTGAATTTCTGATGTCAAAATTTAATTCTTTATGAAAACAATTAAATTTCTGCAAAGAGTTTTTTTTTTAAATTATATTCAAAATAATTGGATATTAAAATCATTAAAGCGTGATTTTTTAGAAATAATTGAATTTTGAAAAGGTTTGAATTTAAAATTTTTGAAAAACTTTCAGTTAAATTCAATTATTTTCATAAATTATTAAAACTCATCGCAGAATTTCAATTATATTTTTTAATTTCTAATACAATTTTAATCGAATTTCTCGAAAAATGTAGTAATTATTTTAAAAAATTTTATTATAATTCGTCGAAAAAATTCAATTATTTAAAAAATTGTTGCTAAAAAATTCTTTATGGGAATCGAATTTTAAAAAACATTCAATTATTCTATAAATTATCTATGTTTGTATTTAAATAATTAAATTCTCGTAAAATTTTCTAATAAAAATTGATTGAAAAATGAAGGTCAGGTAAAATTTTAGATAATAATAAATTAATAATTGAATATATTAAAATCATACCTATCATGAATTTTTAGAAATATAATTGAATTTTGAAATTAATTTTTTTTTAAAAGTTTAATTGAATTTTTTTAATATTATTTTAAGTTTTTATTTTGTAATATATATATATATTTATATATTCAATTGAAGAATTTGCGAATTGAAAAACATTATTAAAAATAATCGATTTAAAGAATTTTAGTTCAAAATTCTTGAATGTTCTTTAGCTATTAATTTATTATAAATGTTTTAGTTATGAAAAATTTAATTTATAGTTTATAAAGAAATTTTTTTCGATTTTTGGAAGATGATGGAAAAATGGAAAAAAAATTGATTATCTTATTTTTTATTAAAAAAGTCTTATTAAAAAAGATAATCGTTTTTCTTTTTTAATTTTTCCACATCATCTTCTAAAAATGGAAAAAAATTTCTGTATAATATAATGAAAGGAAAAACTATTTCAAATTAATTTATAATTTTAAGTTAAATGTTGTCTTATTTGACTCGGAATGGTTATATAAATTTTTGTCAGTAATTTGTGTCCGTAATTTTTTATTTTTAGTGCGTAAAGTCCGTATTTTTAAATACTTTCACTGGTTCGAGCCCTGTATCTTAAAACTATCTTTAAAAGTATAAACTATTGTAATCCGTTTCTTCAAAAATAGGCTTAAAACTAAAATACGTTAATTTTAGGCTTAAGATCAAACTAAAATTAAGTCAAAAGTGGTTCTTCTGAAAAATTTAGTTTCTTTTGAGAAATATAAAACTGTATTTAAACTCTATACGGTTTTTTTTTAGTAAAAAGCAGTAAAAAGTGGATTTAAAGTCAGAGCTTTACTTTTAAATAATTGTAAGTGAAGTAAATAATACATAACTGTCTATGTCAACCAGAATCGCTTCACTGGCCACGTCCAAACTTTGGGTGAGGCATTTTCTCAACTGAATGGTAGTGCCGGCATGATAATCTCCTAGATCTTGAAGAGCCGTCTCGACAACTACTGGGATTTTCTCAATCCCAGCTCCAACGGCTTCATTGCCGACAATCATTGTTATTATGCACACTCTGAAAAACACATTCTAAGATAAGCATACTTACGTACGGCTAGAATTTACAAGAAATTAAATTCAAAAAGTATTTTGTTGTAATTAGCTTAAATAAATTTGATAGATACTATTTTTAAAAAATTGAATAGAAATTGAAAGTGAATATAATGGTAGCTAAGGAAACGATATTGAAATAATGGAATTGAGAGTGATAATAATTTGAAGATGAGGAGACCTTAGACTACTCAAGTTAGGGGGTTAGCATAACCAAAGTAACAGTGAGGTTAGGGGTAACTTGAAAGTTTCATACCCTATGATTAACACGAAGATAGTCAGAAGGAACGATAGGGCTCCAGGATGACGTGGTGGCTTATAATCTTGTTTGGTGGGACGGCATGCAAGCCAAAGTTCAGTACTGGGTGTAACGAACATCAACAAGCCGCAAATCCCTATCAAACTTATGAATGCGGCTTCCATATGTAATGACTGTCATTAAACATTAAAGCTAATTTATCGAGTTGAGCTTCATTGAATATCAAATGATACATTATCATTTCTTTTTTTTTTCATTGTTGTATTGCATTTCATTATGTGCATAGAATCAATTGCATCAACAATGTTTTTCCAAGGATGTCAAATTGAGACAAAAAACGAGACAAAATTATGTTGCTTCGCAACACTTTTGATTCTTTTTTGTCTCAATTTGTGAATATCCTTAGAAATATGCATAATATATTCTAGTTTCTAAAGTAGAAGATGCTCACCTGGGAGACTAACTTCGAGGCCGTTATTCGATGATCCACTGCGTCTTTCAGGATGTCTGGCTTGGCATATAATTTATACATGATCATTGTAATTTTGGAACAAATCGGATATTGAACACGGGCTTCGCACTCATCTACTAAAACCTATTATTTACTACTTTTTACTTTTTTACTTTTTATTTTTACTTTTATTTTTACTTTATGCTATTATTTGGATACTTTTCTTAGATTTCAGCCACTAAAAGCTACTATTTCTGTGATTATTTTAGAATTTACTTTAAAATCGCTAATACTAGAAATCAAAAAACTATTCTCAAAAATTATAATCAAATTCTTTAAAACGATTAAATTATTTTCAAAAAATATTCGAAAGTCTATTTTCCATATCTAGTACATATTTTCATAAAATTTCGCAAAAGAATTCAATTATTTAAAAAACGAATTGATAAAATTCATCCAAAATTCAATTATTGTCATAAATAATAAATTTACCACAGGAATACAATTAATTTAGAATAGAATTTATAAAAAAATTTCGAAAAAATCAATTATTTAACAAAATTGTTATACAATTATTCACTAATTCAATTACTTTCACTAATAATATTTTCCATGGAAGTTCAATTTTTAAAAAAAAATTTTTTAGTAAAATTCTAAGAGAGAATTCAATTATTTTTATGAATAATAAAACTCATCGAAGAATTTCAATTATTTTTAATACTATTTTAAATCAATTAATAGAAAAATTCAATTATTTTCATAAATAAAGTTTTCCACAAGAATTGAATTATTTAAAATAAAATTTTCATAGTATTTATTATATTTCGAAAAAAGTAATTATTTAAAACAATGTTTATAAAATTCTTATGAAGAATTCAATTATTTTCAAAAATAACAAAATTTTTCACAGAAATTCAATTCTTTTTAAACATTTTAATGAAATTTTTCGCAATAATTCAATTATTTTCATAAATAATAAAATTCTGATTATTTTTGAAAATTTTGATAAAATTCTTAGCAACTATTCAACTATTTTCGTTCAAATAATAAAAATTCTTCAGCAGATTTCAATTATTTTTAATAAAATTTTACAAGAATTGCTGAAAAAATGTTATAATTCTTAAAAATTTAATTTTCAATTCCACGAAAAAATCAATTATTCAAAAAAAGTTTTTTTTAAATTCTTTGGAAGAATTCAAGTATTTAGAAAAATATTAAAATTTTTTACAGAAATTCAATTATTTTTTATTCTCAAATATTTTAATAAAATTGTTCGAAAGAAATTAATTAATTTAAATACAATTTTAATTAAATTTTTTTGAAATAATTCAATTATTCTTTTAGATTTAAAATTCTTCCCGAGAATTCAATTATTTACATAAATAATTCCTCGAAAAAATTGAATTATATCGATAAATAATCATTTTAATGAAATTAATTGCAAAATTCAATTATTTTTGAAAATTAAAAAAAAATTCTTAGCAACTATTTAATTATTTTCATAAATAATAAAATTCACCGCAGGATTTAAATTATTTTTAATACAATTTTACAGGAATTGCTCAAAAATGTAATTATTCTTAAAAATTTAATTTCAATTCCTCGACAAAAATAATTATTTAAAGAAACATTTTTTTAAAATTCTTTGGAAGAATTCAATTATTTACAAAAATTTTAGAATTTTTCATAGGAATTCAATTATTTTCAAATATTTAAATAAAATTGTTTAAAAGAAATCAATTATTTTAAATACAATTTTAATAAAATTTGTTTAAAAATAATTCGATTATTTTTTTAGATTTTAATAAAATTCTTCTGAAGAATTTAATTATTTACATAAATAATTCATCGAAAGAATTCAATTATATTGATAAATAACTAAATTATTCCCAAAAATCTAATTATTTTGAGGCATTTTAATAAAATTTTTTGCAAAATTCAATTATTTTCATAAATAACAATATTCATCGCAAGAATTGAATTATTTTTAAAAGTAATAAATTTCTTTTTGGAAATTCAATTATTTAAAAAAATTCTAATAAAATCGTTCTCAAGAATTCAATTATTTTCATAAATAATAACATGCTTTTTAGGAATACAATTATTTTTAAAAAAAGTTTAATAAAATACTACACAGACATTCAATTATTGTCAAAAATTTTAATAGAATTCTTTGTAAAATTGAATTATTTTTAAAAACTTTTCGCAATTTTACGACTTTTAATATCTAATATTTTTATAGAATTTCCAAACAGAATTCAATTATTTAAAATTTTGTTGTAAAAATCTTCGTAAGAATTCAATTTTTTTCATGAATAATAAAAATTTCTCAGGAATTCAATTATTTAAATTAGAATTTGCATAAAATTAGTCGAAAGAAATCAATTATTTAAAATGTTTTTGATAAAATTCTTCGCAAGAATTAAGTTGTTTTTATAAATATTTAAATTCCTTCATGAATTATAAAATTAGTTGCAGGTATACAATGTATTAGCAGGATAAGAAAGAAGTAAATATTTTTGATGAAAATTAGGAAAAAGTCAGACAAATAAAGTATAGAATGGAATTTTTGTCAGTTTTGTGAAGTGTCTAAAACGAGATTTTTTGGTCGTCAAATTTAATTTTTCGATAGCTACTTGTTTAGTTTAAGAGCTACTTTTTGCTACTTTTTTAAAAATTAATTATCGATTGCGAAGTCTGTGATAACGTATAATAGATTATGAACATTCATTACCAATTGGCAAATCGTATGGTTGCACGAACGAAAGAAAAACTCGGAGAAAGTCAAAAATAAAGAATCCCTTGTCCAAGTGCAACATTGTCATTTTGTACCGATCATCGAGGGGGAGTTTGGGAAAAGTTAATTTAACTCGATTCTCCTCCCAGTCCTTTGGAGCGGCGATTTCCGTTTTCAAGTGAGAAATATTTGATGTCTTTTTGACGTCATCGTTCAACGTTTCCTGGTCAGCTTCACTCCCGTTCAAAGGGTAATATATCACAGAATCTTCAGTAGTTCCATTCAACGATGTGGTCGAGGTGAAATCGACCTCGAGCAGATCCTGCGATGCGCACGTTTTTAACATTGACACGATCAAAAGAATCGTTACAATTCTCGAACTAAGCAAATAGTTCATTTTAAACTTTAGGAATTTTTCAATATTTCCCAAAAAAAAAAAAAAACAGAAATTTATGTGATGAGAATACAAAAGAAATCTACATAACAAACTGGCAACAACTAAATAGAAAGAGTGAAGAGAAAAAAGAAGAAGTGGTAGTCTTGTCGCTGGACTGAATGGGGAATTTTAAAATGCATCTGTCGAGATGAATTCAATCTTTAATTGTAACTGCTCTGGACCAAACGAATGTAAATTGTCGAAGCCTTCGACCAGAGCCATTTGGTTGATTTTGATTGCGTTTTTTCTTCTTTCCGGTAATTTCACCGATAGTAATCGTAACTGACAATGAACACTTTTATAGAGCAACGGTCACAGGCAGACTGTCATTTCGATGGTTCGGTAAAGGCTTCCAGAAACCCCACAAACTCAAGTGTTGTCGAACCCCAGGACGGAGGTGAAATTAACTGGGTTACTCAATATATACATTCGAAGTGAACTCAATTGTTTAACAACTATTCGCAATGCATTTAGGTTAAATGGGTTCATTTTCGAACGTAATTATGTAATAAGTAATTGAAATGAATTTATAAATAACTAAATAATAATAAATTACATCAGTGATATTTTTTTTCAATTACTGTCGACACTTGCAAGTCTTGAACTCGCGCGTCTCTTGATTTTACCCCTTTTCACCTCGTGCAACTATTTAAAGAATATTTTAATTTATTAATTATTATTTTCTGTCCATTTTTTACTACAAGTGCTTATATATTTATTTAGAACCATTTTTGACTGAATTTTAGACTTGGGTTTATTATTTGAAGTGAAAAAATTGACTTAATCTGGTTTTAAGGTTAAAAATGAAATTAAAATGTCTCCACCTGCGAACGCCAAGGTCACCGGTAGATGGCAGTTCGGTTAATGAAATCAGATTCCTCGCCACCTGGTGGCGACCTTGGCGTTCTCAGGTGGACAAATAAAATACCATTTTAACCCTCAAAAACTTTTTTTTATAATTAATACAAAATTAATCATTTAAAATAAATAAATTCAATTAAATTTAAATAATAAATTCAAAATTATTTTTTAATTAATATCTCATATTATTATACAATCAGGGTTTCGAACTAGGTCCGTAAATTAGTATAAAGTCCGTAAAGTCAGTTTTTTTTTTAAAAAAAAGGTCCGTAAAGTCCGTAGTTTCATTGAAAAAACCAGAAAAGTTCGTAAATTTAACGATATAATTTGGAGAATTTTTGAGAATTTACAAATAATTGCAAGAATTAAATTATTTTTCATAAATAATAAAATTCTTCTCAGGAATTCAATTATTTTTCATAAATATTAAAATTCTTCATAAAAATTCAATTATTCTTCATAAATAATAAAATTCTTCTCAGAAATTCAATTATTTTTCATAAATAATAAAATTCTTCTCAGGAATTCAATTATTTTTCATAAATAATAAAATTTTTCTCAGAAATTCAATTATTCTTCATAAATATTAAAATTATTCATAGGAATTCAATTATTTTCATAAATAATAAAATTCTTCTCAGGAATTAATTATTTTTCATAAATAATAAAATTTTTCTCAGAAATTCAATTCTTTTCCATAAATAAAATTCTTCAAAGGAATTAAATTATTTTTCATAAATAATAAAATTCTTCTCAGAAATTCAATTATTTTCAATACAATTAATTACAAATTCGATTCTATTCAATAAATTAAATAAAAATTTCAAAAGAATTCAATTATTTTCTAAAGATTTTAATAAAATTCAAAAATTCCATGTTTATTTTCAATTATTAAGAAAGACGATTATTATTGTAAAAACTTGAAACAAATTGTTTATATAAAATTCAATTACTTTAAAAACTTTCAATTAAAATTATTAAAGAAATTCCATTTTTTTAAAGAAACTAAAAAAAATTCTTGAAAAGAATGAATTATAAAAAATTTTAATGAAATTCTTCCCAAATTCAATTATTTTCATAAATAATAAAATTCTTCTCAAAAATTCAATTTATTATCAAATTTTTTGATAAAATTCTTTGCAAGAATTCAATGATTTGCAAAGTTTTTATAAATTTTTTCGCAATAATTCAATTTTTTTTATAAATAATATAAAATTTTTATAAAGATTCAATTATTTAAATAATAAAATTCTTTTTATGAATTCAATTATTTTTATAAATAATAGAATTTTCGCAGGAATTTAATTATTTGCAAACACAATTTTCATAAAATTTTTCGAAAAAAAATCAATTATTTAAAATGATTGTTATAAAATTCTTCGCTAGAATTCAATTATTTAAAAAAAAGTTAATATAGTTCTTTGTAAGAATTCAATTATTTTTGAAAATTTTAATAAAATTCGTTGCAAGAATTCAATTATTTTAAAAAATTTTCATAAAATTCTTCGAATCAATTCAATTATTTTAAAAAATAATCAATTCAATGATTTTCAATATCTACTATTTTAATAAAATTTTCCAAAAGAATTCAATTATTTAAAAAAATTTTAATGAAATTCTGCGCAAACATTGAATTATATTCATATAAAATAATTTAAATTTTACAAGAAATTCAATTATTTACGAATTTTTTTATAAATTTCTTCCCAATAATTTCATTATTTTCATAAATAAAAAAACTCTTCACAGAATTTCAATTATTTTAAATTCAATTTTAATAGAATTTCTCGAAAAATGTTATTATATTATTCTTAAAAATTTTATTACAATTTGTCAAAAGAATTGAGTTATTTTTAAATTTTCTAATAAAAATTTGTTTTAAAAATGAATTTCAGTTAAAATTTTATAGATAATAATTGAATATTAAAAGCATTATAGCATGAATTTTTAGAAATAATTGTATTCTGAAAAGGTTTCAAATTAAAATCTATGAAAATTAAAATTGTAACTAACAATTCTGTGAAATTAATTTTTTTCAAAAGGGTTTAATTAAATTTTTTTTAAGTTGTTATTTTCTAACATATATTGAATATATTGAATTGAAGAATTTTCGAATAATTGAACTTTCGTAAAATTGAATTTTAATAAACAAATGGATTTGAAAATTGTCAAAGAACTTTTTTGAAAATTATTAAAAATAATTGTTTAAAGAAGAATTTTAGTTAAATTTATGAAAAATTTAATTTCTAGTTTCGAGCCTTGTACAATAAAATTTCAAATTTGAAAAAGAAATGAATAACTGTTATTAAATAAAAAATCTTTTTTCGCTTTATAGACGCATTTCTATCAAAGTTCAATTTTTATTTTTTACTATTTCTCGAATATAGACATTTATTTATATAGAAATATTTGTATAAATAAATAGAGAAATTGCACCAGCTCTCGCATTCTCGTCGCGTAGAATTTATTAACTACTGTAAATGCAAACGATGTTGTATTCTCAATATCAGTATTCTCAATACTGATATGATGATGGAAATTATGGGGGCAATTGATCGAAACAGTTTATCGCTTTGTTACGCTTATACAATACCTATTTTCCCCTGCAAAGGCGCAATATTACCATTTTCAAGATGAGTGGATGCACTAATTACTGTCGCGACATCATTTATCGATTATTTTAATTTATTTCTCAGAAAATTTCATAGTCTCTTTGACAAATATTTATATCGGTAAATTTTTATTAGTATCAAATAAATTTTATTAGTTTCAAATAAATATTTATTAATTTTATTAGTTGCATGTAAATTTTATTTTTTACAAATAATATTTTATTAGTTGCAAATAAATTTTAGTTTCTTCCAAATAAATATTTTTTCTCAAGTAAATATTGTTTCAAACAAATTTGATTTCGAATCAAATAAATTTAATTTACTCCAAATAAAAAATCGTATGTTTGCTAAATAATATTTTTATATTTAAAAAACAAATAAACAATTTTCTACGCTCTCTAAAAAAAAAAATACTTTTTAATTTCACTCCATTTGGTTTCAAATAAAATTTTTCTCTTCGCGTTTATAATATAAATATTTTAATAAAAATTCTAGGTATATAAAAATTGTTTTAATAAATAAAAAAGAAAATATCTTTTATAAATAATTGATATTGCAAAATAAGTGTTATTGTGTGAAAAAAAATTTTTGGCTTTGAATTTATTACGAACTTTTTTTACGATGTAGTGTGGGAAGAGAGAGGACGTGGTGGAAGTTAGAGTCAGTCCGTCGACAGCCTCCGACCCGATCACGACGCCTCTCGACCCTTAGCGATCTTGGCGTCGCGACGGCGTGTTATTTTTAAGTGAGAAACTTTCAAATTATGAACGATAAATGATAATAGAAAATATTTTAACTCACGTAAATTATTTCAAGTGCTTCATTCTAAATATTAGATAATGTTCATAGCAACAACAACAACAAAAATAATAATGAAAAAATAATTTAATAATAAGATTAATAACAAAAACAACAATTATAATAAAAACAGCAATAATAATAATAACAACAACAACAACAATAATAATAATAATAATAATAATAATAATAATAATAATAATAATAATAATAATAATAATAATAAAATAATAATAATAATAATAATAATAATACCTAATAATAATTATAATAGCAACTATAATAATAGAAACGAAATTCTAATAAAATTAATAATAGAAACAAAATTGAAATAAAATTAATAATGGAAAAATAATTATAATAAAAATAATAAGAACAGAAATAAATTATACTAAAAATAATAATAGAAAAAATCTATAATAACAAAAACAATAAAGATATCTCTAATGATAAGAATTATTGGTCCCGTTTATTAATAAATAAATTAACAAATATAAAATTCAATAATTAATATAAAAAACAAAAAGTTGGAATGTTTTAATAAATATATATGTGAATGGTAAAAAAACAGAAATAATTTTTTTTTAAATTGAAAAATAAGGAAAATTAAAAGACGATATAAAAATTTATCGATAATTTATCAATTATTGATTTATTTTATTTTTTGAGATAATTTTATGCATTGGATTCTTTAATCGCAAAGTTTCAGTGACATTATTTGTTATAGAAATGGTGAGAATATTGAGACGTCAGGAGGCAAATAATGTTGGAATAAAAATAAAAAACGTGTAGTTTTATGTGTCACTGAAATGCAGTTTACGTACGAGATATAAAACGTATAATAGCCTCTTCTTCGCCAAAATATAATTTTTAAAGACTTTCGGGACAAACTTTATTAGTTTATTTTTCGCTTATTTGGAATTTTTTCAATATTCATTTGTTTCTTCATCAATATATTTATTTAACAAATATTATTTTTAATAGTAATTATAATAATAATAATAATAATAATTAAATAATATTTTTTTTTCGAGTTCCA